TTTCGACACAAGATTTAAGAATAATAACACACCGAGACACAATTCACAATGAACAAAAAAATTACGCATGCGACAAGTGCGAAAATAAATTTGAGTTTCGAAGTCTTTTGAGTAGACACTACATAACGGTACACAGAGCCCGCAATGATTTTACATGCGACCAGTGCGAGAAGAAATTTGTCAAGAAATCAAGTTTGTTCACGCACCAAAAATTAGTTCACAAAGATCGCAAAGATTACTCATGTAACAAGTGCGAAAGGAAATTTGAAAATAAATCAACTTTACTCAAGCACAAACGAATATTCCACGAAGTTTTCAAAAATTTTTTATGTGAAATGTGCGCGAAGAGATTTGATACGAAACATAGTTTGCTTTTTCACATAAAGACAGTACACGGTGATCGTAAAGATTGCACGTACGACAAGTGCGACCAAAAATTTGGACACAATCGTAATATGCTGTCGGACATAACTACAGTCCACGAGGATCACAATGATTACGCTTGTGACAGTTGCGAGAAGAAATTTGGACGATTATGGCATTTGCTTCGTCATCAAAAGGCAGTCCACGAAGGTCGCAAAGATTTTTCATGCCACAAGTGCCAGAAGAAATTTGGAGAAAAATCGTATTTGCGCATCCACCAAAAGACAGTTCACGATAGCTGCAAAGATGTAGCATGCGATAAGTGTGAGAAAAAATTTAGGGATAGATCAGATTTATTGAGGCACCAAAAGATAGTCCATGAAGGTCGCAAAGACTACCCATGCGATAATTGCGAGAAGAAATTTGGACAAAAAGTGCAATTGATCAGACACCAGAAGACAGTCCATGACGGTCGAAAAGATTACGTATGCGACAAGTGCGAGCAAAAATTTGGCCAAAAAACACATTTGACCAGGCACCAGAAGACAGTACACGACGGTTGCAAAGATTACAAATGCGACAAGTGCGAGAAAAAATTTGGACGAAACGAGATTTTACTTAGGCATCAATGGCAAGTCCACGGAGGGCGCGAAATCACGCATGCGACAAACGCGAGAGGAAATCATGACGTACCTGAGCGAATTTAAGTTGACATAGAAAATCAACCCATAAAATTCTCAGAAATCATCTGTGTTGGGCAATCTTTAGAGTTTGTTAAAATTGCTGTTTGAATTATTACGAGTCTAATAACACATTTGCTTATCTACCTCTTCAATAAATCTCAAACTTATCAAAAAAATAAGATATTCCTTGAATGGTAATTACTATAAGTACATTTTAGAATATATTGACTATCGAAATATTTTTCATTAAATTCGCAAAAATTTAATTGCAACTAATACTTTTTTACATATTTATACTACTTAATTGTATAATAATCTTGATCTCTAGATAATACATTTTTTTATAATCGTTTGCTATATGTTAACTCTTCAAAAATCTTTCAAAATTCATTTTCTCATAATCAAAAATTTGCGCAATTGCTTCAAACCTCATGAAAAAAGATGATCGAGCTTTCATGAATTATTTATTCTTTGCCTTGATATTAAAAATTCAATAAAAATTAATTTTTTCGTAACTTATAAAAATTTCACTTTTATTTCGTGCATTCGCCTTTGTTCACTGTCGTGGTGTTGTTTTATTTTGAGATTGGACGAAATTTTGCCTACTGTTAATTGCTTTTCTTTTAATTATATAAATTTAATCCATATTGCAGTTACACCATAAAAAGCTCTTATTCCAAACCCGACTAGAGATTTTTTTTCTTTGATTTAAAATTTTCTTTAAGAACTATGAATTTTATTTCGATATAAGTACTTTGAAGTAAAAAACGAGAACCGCGTGATTCTAATCAGAGCCATAACAACTACAACAACAATTTTAAGATCACTCAATGATATGTTTGAATCGAAGAATAGTCTGATTATTGCCTAGCTTTATTATCAATCTTTTCTTACGTTTGATAGTGTAAGGACGCCCTAAAAATCTTTTGTTGAATTAAATCCTGATCGAATTTGACTAGCAAGCTCCCAAAGGATACTTGAGGAAACATTTTTCTGAAAATTTTATTAATTTCTAGTAGAATAGCTCTCTGTCGTTTTTCGTTTTCAGTACGTGTTCTCTGCATTTACAACACGTATGCGTAAAAAAAATTGTGCGCCTGAATGTATGACATTTTCACTATGATTTCGGCGTAGTTTTAATGATGCGTAATCGTAGTAAATTACTGCGTACGGACAGTCGATGGTAGAGAAGAAAAGAATAGTCGAGGATCTATCACAATTGAGGGGTCGACACGCTAATTACATATAAACTTGAAGTTTCAGTCGCTACTGAAGGGTCAAATTATTCAACTGTAAAAAACAACAGTTCCGTACTTATAATCGACTAACAGAGTTGGCCACTGGAGGGATTTAACCTCAAATATTTTCTCAGTGCGTAGCGTAAAAGTTCACATTGATTTTACGTATAATTGAGCCAGCCAGCATGGACAGCAAAGCGGATACAGTTAGGTAATAGTTTTTTTGTTCATTCCGCGATGTTTTTCGAAGCAATCGCTTTATCGTATTTTATTATACTTCAGGGTAAAGAAAGAGCCTAGCGATACTTGGCCAGATGCAGACAATTATAATTTCGATTCGGTGGACTATTGCGAGGTCAAAAATGTTGATACATTCAAGTTTTATAAATCATCGGTGAGTACAAAGTTTCATGTCCTACTTTTTTGGCGTCGAAAACTATTTAACAATTTCAATTTTAGGTAAATCATATGAATAAAGATATTGTGAAACATGAAAAGATAGATGAAAAAATATTCATAGATTTAGAGTGCAAAAATTTTAAACACGAATTACAATCATCATTAAAATCCAACTGCAAAACTGAGAATCCAAGTTGCCTATCTATTGTGAAAATAGAAAAACAAATTCAAACTAATCATTTGAATGATAAAAATCTGATAATTTTGATAAAAAAACAATTCGATTATGATAAAAATTGCCAGTTTGAAATCAATTCCCGATTGGAATTTGAAAATCATAAGAGTAAGAAAATATTTAGAAAAACATCTCAAACCAAATTTTCTCATAAGTGTGAAATGTGTCAGAAAACTTACAAAGGAAAAGTAAATCTACGAAGACATATCATTAGGAAGCACAAAATTTTTAGACCATATGAATGTGATATATGTCACAAATCATTTGGACAAAAAAGTGTCCTCAAAATTCACATCACTGCAGTACATAACCGAAACAAACTCTTGGAATGTGAAATTTGTCACAAATCATTTGGATACCAGAGTTATCTCAAAAGGCACGTCAATGTAGTACATGATCGGAGCAAACCTTTCGAATGTTATCTTTGCCACAAATCATTTAGACAAAAACATCACCTCAAAATGCACTTGAATTCAGTACATAATCGGAGCAAACCTTTTAAATGTGAAATTTGTCACAAATCATTTGGACAAAAACAACACCTCGAAACTCATATAAGTACAGTGCATAATCATAACAAACCCTTCGAATGTGAAATTTGTCACAAATCATTTGGACAAAAACATCATCTTAAATCTCACATAAATGCAGTACATAATCATAACAAAACCTTCGAATGTGAAATTTGTCACAAATCATTCGGACACAAATCATACCTAAATTTGCACATAAATGCAGTACATTATCATAAAAAACCCTTCGAATGTGAAATTTGTCACAAATCATTCGGACACAAATCATACCTAAATTTGCACATAAATGCAGTGCATTATCATAACAAACCCTTCGAATGTGAAATTTGTCACAAATCATTCGGACAAAAACAACACCTGAAAACTCACATAAATTCAGTACACGATCGTAAAAAACCCTTCGAATGTGATATTTGTCACAAATCATTCGGACAAAAGGGTACTCTCAAATTTCACATAAATACAATTCATAATCAAAAGAAACATTAAGAGCTTGGGTTTCGTCCGGAACCATTTGGTCGCAATGAAGACTTATACTCATAAGTACGCTATGTAATTATAATAAATTCGCATTAACATCCTTTAATTTTGTGAAAATCAATAAAGTATTTCAAAGTATTGTAATAATTTGTCGTGATTGTGAAATACCTTCTACTTGCCTCTACTACAGTAATTTAAGTGTAACGAAATTTCTTAATATCTTATTCCCTGTATAGAAAATTATTTCCTCCAATCAAGAGTCATTTTCAAATTTCTCTCGCTGATCCCTTCAACTGATTCTCGAACATGCAGAAAACATAAAAACATGAGTGGTCGATTAATCGATAAAAAGCTGCGTAAGTACTGATAATTTAATCCACTCGATGTAAAGTATATCATTGTAAAAAGACAATAGACAAGTCCGCAAATTTTATTACAATTTTCGGGATTGATCATCACCCTTAAGAGACTTGAACCATTTGTCAGGAATTTAATATTTATTCAATTCAATATCCTTCAATATCCTAGAAGGAAGAAAAAAATGAATTACTATAAGTGAACCTCTGCTTTTATGTATCTTCACACTTACTCGTGAGAAAAGCCGATTACGTTCTTATACAGCCGCACTGATAAAATCAAACACCCGCGTTGATACTATTAATGGTACTAATAGAGTACATATAAATTACAAAATACAAAAAAGCGTGTATACGACCTTTTTATCTGAGCTAATTGCACGACCGATAACTAACTTTTCATCGTACCATCGCGTAAATCTCACACCTAGAACGTTTAAACTAGCTGTAATATTGTACAGTTCGTGTCGAATAATAGACGAAGTGACAATGTTGAAAGTCGTGCCGCTGCTGCTGCTGTTGCTCTGCGTCGTGGGAATTTTTTGTCGTGGCAAGTGCTTCTCTTGTGTTCAATGTTCAATTATATATAATACTTACACCTGAATTATCCTCGTTACGCTTGATTTATAATTGTATACACTCGACGTACAGTAGCGCACGAAAAAGATGCGATCACTCACGGACGAGATGCCGCGGAAGGTCAATTCCCGTACATGGCGTACTTGAAGAAGTTCACCACCGAGAATATTTATGGGCTCAGATGCGGCGCGTCGATAATCAACGAGCGATTCGTCCTCACGGCCGCGCACTGCATCAAAGAGTGAGTACTTTTATGATGCATTTCGTTTTCGAGTGGATTTTCTCATTGATATTGAGATTATTTTAATAGCGTCGAGCCCGAATCGCTCGAGGTCGTCGTGGGTACCAATCAGTTGGGCGACAACGACAACGCCAAAGTTTACGGCGTGGCCAAGCTCATAGGTCATCCGCAGTACAGGAAGAAAATCGGATCGGATGTAGGTGTTTTTTTTTTTTTCAAAATCGTGACTCTTGTAAAACGTATTTTTGTAATTAATTATCTTTTCTTTTTTTATCGAACAGTCTTCGTCGATGAAAAATGATATCGGCCTGATACTGCTGAAAGAGAAAATAACATTCGACGACAGAACCCGACCCGTCCGACTCGCTCCCGGCCACTTGCAAATGACAACCGGAATGAACGCGACGGTCACCGGCTGGGGCTGGGACGTTCACAACGTAAGTATATCGTGTATAGTCGCGATTCATCTTTTGTGGGACACAAGTACATGATATTTTTTTTCAGATCTTTGACACAGGCGTGCAAAAGAATCTGAAAATGCTGACCATGAAAATCGCCGACAAGGAAAAGTGCAAGAAGGCTTGGTACGACCAGTCGAAGAAGTACGTGGACGCCGGGCTGATTTGCGTCACGACGGATTTTCACGGCTTGGAGGGTCACTGCTACGTAAGTCCGATATTCTCTCTATATTTTAAAAAATTAATGGCGCATCTAAAAATATTTTTTTTCCTCGTATATAGGGCGATTCGGGCGGTCCCCTCGTGACGGACGACGGCCAACAGATCGGCATCGTCAGCATGGGCTACGAGTGCGGATTGGCCGACACGATTCCCGACGTGTACACGAGCGTGCCGTACTACGCCGATTGGATTCGCGACGTCGTTGCGGCCAATTGAGTAAATTAGTTTAAAAAATCGTATAAAAATTCGGAAAATCTCGATTTAACGAGCGCGACTTATCTTAATTTTTTTTACATTTATATATCGGATATCAATAGTTATTAAATCTCAATATACACACACCCGATATAATTTAGATCGCGTACAAAGAAATTACATATTTTGAAATAAACCGCGTCGTGTTGCGTGTCGTGCCGTAACGCATCGCGATTAAAATTCATTCAAAGTTATAATGCCTTTGTGTGTATACGATTTTAATAACGCACAGCGCGTGGGTAGAGAGAGCTTTTCCCCGAGCGCGGGAATTGCCACAACGACAAACGCGATTTCGCCATCGCATCTCTCCCGTATAATGCAGTTCATCTTTCAATTATAGGATTCGTCCGCGCGTATATATACGGAAAACTCGATATTACTTAAGCTTTTATAACGAGTATACGCGGGGCGAAGAAATTCGACCGTTTACAATTGTAAACAGTAATTAAACGCGACTCTCGACACAAAAAGAGCCGCATTATCTTTCGTTTTAATCAAAAACCAATGCCGTATATACTCTACTTATGGTTAATTAACAATCGGATCGGAGCTACGAAGCTCGCCCGAGCTCGCAATTAGCTAATACTGCCTCTCGATGCGATGAGAAGCGTATACACTTCACGATTCGATCGGTCTATATTGTACAACTGGAAAAGGCAGAACCTGTGCACGCATTCCGATCGTCATTTCACATGCTGCTGCTGTTGACTTTTTTTTTCGCGTAATAGCGAGCGCAACGACGACGACGTCGACGCGTCACTTTCACTTTGGTTCCCACAATGACGATCGCTTCGGTATGAAAAAATTGTACGATTGATAAAAGCTCGATATCAGTCGGTTTTCTCGAAAATATAACGCGATGATTTACCCAGTTTCCATGCAATATGTCGCTAATTAAAACTCCAGGTGTAATTTTTGTCCTTTTCCTCGTGGTCTAAAAATTCTCGGGCGTCGAGGCGAAATCGTGGACTCGATCGTTCAGCGAGATTGTCCGACAAATTTAGGTGCTACATGGTGCAAACTAGCTTCATACGCATTCGTATGCGCACGAATTAATCAAAATGACAATTAGCGTCGACACTCTCGATGAAAGTCCATTTTTTTGTGCGTACGAGCGCAAAACTACACGCATGACTGATTAATTTTACTTTCTTATTGTGGACTGCGAATTAGAATGAAAGTGATCGAGTGGGGGGAATATTATTATTTAGATAGGAATTAGTATGACAACGTTGAAAAACCTGTAATAAAAAAGTTTCCAGAGTAACACCGGTGTATAAAAGTAAGCATAAGCCAAGGGGCCGAGAGGTTGAAAAGACAGATTTTGACTGATGATTTCTCGTGCAGTAGCTAAAATTTATTTAATATCATTGCTATTACAAATGTTCCGGTAATATCCTATATAATAATATACTGTATTCGTTCATGCGAAGCATGTATTTGTATAAAAATCAACGATTTTCAATAAAGATTCGATAAATAATTTTAATCACTAATTCTAAGTAACAAATATATAATTTTAGGATAAATGCATAACAGTCCCTTTTTTTCAAATCGTACATACGCATATAAACACTCGCAATGAATACAAAAAGAAGGAAACAATAATAGATCATAGAACCAGTCCGATCGCCACTCTTCAACGTATTATTATATTTTTCATATACCTTACACAGCCATGTCACCGAAAAAAGTAAGAAGGAAGAAATGTATCGAAGCTGACGCAAGTTCACACAAAATGCGATGTGGTTCCAGTGAAAGATAAAGAAACGAAATTGTCCGTATAAAAATATCATTTCGAAGCTCCAGAACAATAGATTTAATGTATATTGACAATTGCACTTTAATACTATAAGCTCAAATTATACTTCACAAGCATTGAAATCATAATTGTATATGAACCAGTTTTTATCAATCGTAAATTATAATCTGATTTTTATGCATTTTAGTGAATGTTATTTTCTAGTTTTAAGTGAGAAAGTACTTTACAAAAACGATAAAAATTGTCGAATATCTAGACTAGACATGAAAATTCATAGAATGAAGTTTATTTAAAACGTAAATAGCTGAATAAGACGTAATTCGTTTTAGATCCTAATAAATAACAATTTCTTTAACAACTTTATTACATATGTATTCTTCGAACGTACTTAGAATAGATTTAGCTATAACTTTTTTTAATGTGCTAAGCTTATTCGTAATTGTACGTTACTACTCATAATCGATTAGAATTGTTTCTAGGATAATGGATAACATGAATGGACGAAAGTTATGACGATAAACTTTATCGTCAGACATAGTGTAGATATAATCTTATATATATTTATTAAATAAAAACTGTAAATGGAAGAATTGTGTCCATCTTCAATATTAGTTTGTGCATAACATTCAAAATAATTATTATGAAATTTTTCAAGATATGCTGAAGAATCAGGATAATTTTTCATATCATCGTTATGCTCAGTAGTTTAGGATGTTTCAAAAAATTACACTTACAGCTATATAAATATTTCTTTATAAAATTTGACGAGAATCGCTCGATTTTTCTTTCAATATTTGATATGGTCATACTTTAATGATTTCAATTGATAATCAAACTTGTAACCTTTAAGTCGAATATTCAGTTCTGTGGTTTAATGGAATTTTTGAGAACAATAGGTATGAATGATTTTCTTGAATCATTTTGTTTCTTTACGCAACACAGAATTATTTTACAAAAAACTTTTAAGTAATAGTATGTACACTTATCCAGACAATTAATTAACTTCATAAACCTTAAATGAATTAATTTTGTATTTTTTCAATTATGAACTTTTAATTATATTAATCTTCATTGGAATTCACAAACTGGAGTTTTATACCATACGAGCGTCAAATTTAATTAGGAATGTACAAACAACGTCGATAACACATTTAATATCAGTCTAGAGATTTGGTCTAAAAGTATTTCAATTGCAAATTTGATAATCAATTGAGTTTATTCCTTAAACTGTCAATCATAATTAGAAATTTAAATATTTTACTTGAATAAATTTGTAATGAATTTCTTTAGTTTAAATTGTTTGAAGAATCTTCTAACTAGTTATATTTTCAAATATATCCTTTATAATTAGTGTTCCGTGAGAATTTTAATTTTTATAGTGCTGCATTAAAAGAACAGTTTTAATGCAATATTATAAAAAATAACGAAACACTCGCATCAACGTTTAAAAAAACGCAATTTGTACACAACTGTTAATAAAATTATTACTATAAAACATTCGTATAATAACATCATCATCAACATTAAAAAATTATGTTTTCATGGATTATACGATTTTATAATTCTTTAAATGTCTGCTCAACGGTATATATTAATTTATCATGGAATAAAACTCAATATATCTTGTAAGTAAGAATATCTTTTAGAAAATGTATTCAACTATGTTGAATGAATTTCGCATTGCTTTTCATTTCTTCTTGATTGACACATCATTTCCTTATGCCCAAAGAGCATATCATCTGATAGCTTACAGACATTTTTTGAACTTGAGTTCGAACATATTAATCAGGATTTTCATTTTTCTCATATCACGCATAAACTTTCAAATGAGTCACTCTATTTACTTACATTTTATACTTGAAAATACTATGATTTGATTGTACTTGAAATCGTAAAAATGACGATCATGTCGAATAAATATATATATGTGTGCTAATTATAGCAAAAGTATCGATTAACAATTAGATAATTACAAAAGAGATACTAGACGTTATATTGATCCAGTGTTGAATATTATGATACATATAAATGTCAATGTTTATTGCATCATATTTATATCATAAGCTTCATAAATTTACGTTGATTAAGGCAACTATTCATAATTTTTACGCGCATTCGTGCTTAAAAGCTGTTCTCTGCGTTTTCAACTCGACGATGCAGGTTTGGACAAAGAACAAATTCAGAATTAAGAGATCTCGATGATTATTCGATATTTGCATTTTCATCTTATCACAAAGTCATATTTACGAAATATGATATAAGTTGTTACAAATAGAACTTAATTAAAATAAATTTTTACATCACGCTAACTATAATTAGTTGTTAATTTAAAAATTATCTTGTAAAAATATGACACAAACAGGAAGCTCACTGCCAAACGACTTTAGTAAGATATGATCTGTTACAAGAAATATTAAAATATCAAATCAGTGTAAACCTAAAAAAAGTCCATCGACATAATTAGTCGAAAAACTGAGATAAAATTCTTAAAAATTGTATTTTGAAATTATCAGACTCACAGTCTCTAATATTTAAAATAAAAAACTAGAATTGTTATTTATCGTACTACTAATTGCTCATCTTATCATTGAGTAAATTAAAAGGATGCAAGAAAAATACTCGGTAACCATTTCGTGTTACCGATCATCAATAATCACTAGTTAAACTAATGGAAAATTTGAAAGACGATTGAAAGCAAAGTATTCTTGTTACCGAGGAAGAACCAGTTTTCCATTTCCTGCATCCGTCTCTAACTTATCACCATTCGCATTCGCTATAAATATGTACAATAATTCATAGGCATGGACCGCAAAGTGCAAAATAGCTCTATTCATTACGCTTCGATTAACTAATTAGTCTAAAAAGTCGTCGAAAGCGGCCGACGACGCTATCACTCGGGCTCGGGCGAGTCCGGCCTCTCGGTCGAGCCCATACGTTGGCGCAAGTATTCGAATTTCTGGCGCAGGAGCGAGCGCTTGTGAGCTCCGTGCGCTCGGAGTCCCGCGACGTCCGGTCGCGGGACATGCTGTTGCTACGCCTGCGATTGGTTCTGTGCCTGCTGCTGCTTCTGCTGCTGCTGTCGGCGACGCAGTTCGCGCCTGGATAGCGAGCCGGTCGGGCTCGACGGGCTGGCCGCGCCGTCGCGACCTTCCCCGTCGGCCGTTGGTGAGGGTCGAAGTTCCCTAAAAAAAAATTAGAGCGAGTTGTAAGAGATGTTCCAATGTCAGTAATGAAAAATGTCAAATTCTAATACGTTTTACACCTAGTTCGATAAATACCTATAATTGAGTAATTCTTCGTCATCAGGTACTCTAGATATGAGATCAAGCAATTCGTTATTAGGCACCGAATGTGGCCTAATAATTTTCTTCGTAAATTTATTAATGCCCCATAGGAGTATCAAATAGCGCAGGGGAACCAGAAACAGGATTATCGCCGCGCAGACTGTCAACAGCATGACCAAGCAGCTGAGATAAGGAACGGTAAAGTTGAACAAATTCTTGACCTTCTCGCAGAGGCTAGCTATGTAACCCATGGAGTTCTGTACAGTCTGCGTAACTTCTTGAATAGCCTGGAACGTCTCTCTCAGACTTTTTTTCTCTTCCTTTAACAAAAGCGGAGATTGCATTTATAAATTGAGATGAGAATTCTTGATGAACTTGGGGCAAAAAACTTACTTTGTCTTTATCTTCATCGTCTTCGTCGTCTTCGCCAGGGGTCGGCGGGCCGTCTTCATTGCCGTCCACCGAGTCATGAAGGTGAACACTCATCTGATTAGAAAGAGGAACTCCGGTAAAAACTGTGACCTGTTTGCAAAGCAAGGACCAAAGCTTATAACACGTAGAACGCTTTTTAACCCTCTCACGTTTTATTTTTAATTTTTTGGAATTGTTAGTTATTTAATTTGATTTAATTCAAGTTCATGAATACAAAAAAAATTTCAAGTTCAACGTAAAATGTAGTTAATTTTGTTTCTTTTTTAATTGAAGTATTAGTGCAGTTAATTATACGTGTCATCGAAATAGGTCAGTGAGAGAGAAGAAACGATCTAGAAATCTTTGATATAGAGCTTTTAGGCAAAGAGGAAGAGCGCTCAAGCATTGCTGTAATTTTTGCAATTCTTACCAAATAGTAATAGAAAATTATGAGGAACGCAAGGGTTGGCACCATCCATGGCTCGAAATAGTACGTTCCGACCACGAACAACACCAACGCAATGGAACTGCGCATTTTGTATTCCCACTCCCAACAACTCCTGCAAATCGAGCCGAGCGTTAATTTTATCAACGAAGAAGAATCAAACACAAACAAACAAAAAAATCAGCTACAGTAGTGGTAGTGGAGCGTGGATACTCACTGTATGTACTTTCCGCAATCGTAGAACCACATGACCACCGACTTGAGCCTCACCACGTTCCTGATGAAGATCTGTCGCTTGAACTTCGTCTCGGGCTCCATGAATTTCTTCTCCTTGGGATTTAGCGTGCGATAAGAGGCGCGCACCGCGTTCCAGACGACGTTCATCTCCAGCAGTATTTGCGGACTGTTGCCCTTGGCGCGACAGCGCAGCTTCTTGTCTTTGAGGGCGTACCATCGCTTCAGTCCGTTTTTCACCCTCAGCAGAGGTATCGCCACTTTGCCCAGAAATTCGACTTTGTGATCCCGATCTTCGTCGTATACAGTCACTTCCAGCACCGAGTTTATATCCTTTACATTGCTGCGCGAAATAAAAGTTTAATTAAGATGGATTACGAGATTGCTATTTAGAAAAAAAATTGTAGCTTCAAAGTGCAAAAGAACGTTTTGATATTCCTATAAAAACAAGTGTGCACTCTTCATTTTATTGCACTTTACAGTTGCGTAAATAAAAACAGCTGCAGTAAATTCAAAAAGCAAATGCAAGCGTGATTCAATTTTATATTTTTCAAAGCTATTAATTTTCCACTTTTTTTCATGCAAGGATTTTAAAACCTGCAACGCTTTGATTGCGCGTCAAGTCGATATATGTAAAAGTCTAATATTTGAAGAGCGCATTAGCATCTCGACAACGAATAAATCAAACACCGACTCTCGCACGTATCATGGTCAAAGGCACACTTACAAGGTGAAAATTTTCTGCCAGTTCGGGGTCAGAGTCTTGTACTCCGTCTGGGTCTGCAGTCGGGAATTGACGAGCTCCAGCACGCAGAAGGGATCGCTCTTTCCGCCGAGGTCGGCCGCGACCAGACCCTGCGCTCGATAAACCTGCAAAGATTGACGACAAAACATCGATTAATCGTTAATTAGACGATGTACACACAATGCCGAGCGGACGATCAATTAGTTATTGACTCGTCGTGAATAATAGAGTAAAGATGTCTCGAGCGGTGTGCGCAAAAAAAAAGTTTTGATCGATCGCAGAATCGAATCAACTAATGATGCGCGAGCGAATAAGAATAATGTATACAGCGAGCTATTCACGAACTTCTTATAGTTGCTATCGAGTTTGATGAAGATGTTACGAGGCAGCTTTGAAATTCTAGTTAACATTTATTATAAATGTTGAAAGGATTAAAAGTACGGTTTAATGGTATTAAAGCAGAATAGAAAACTTTTCTAATTATTAATTTGTGCCCGAGATAATTCACATAAAGTTGCTCTAATTTTTTGCTGTTGGAGTTTTAATTAAATAAGTTTGTACAAAAATCAATATTTTTCCATTACTCATTTCATTACATCGAGTCCGCGAGAAAAATTCAATTAGTACGTAAAGATATTAATAAATTTCAGCATAATGTACCGATTGAAAGTAAAGAAGCACGCGCGCCCGCTCAAAATTGATTTTGTTCCAACTTTGCATATCAGTAGTCGTGGAATCGATACCATTCGCTTACGGAGAATAAGCGTCGACCACTTGACACAAACGGCTCTCGTCGCGACTTCCGCGCGCGGAGAAGCCGTACAGCAAAATTGCTCGCAGGCCGTTGCACTATTCATATACGCAACTTTTACATTGCGTCTACATATTACAATGCAACGACCGCACGCGTTTTATATCTAGTATATAATATACCTTGACGGTGAGATGACCAACGTCGCGGAATCTCTGAAACGTGTTGCCGAGCGAGTACTTCTGCAGCAGCAGCTGCTTCTCCTGGGGCGTCTCCTCGTGCGAGGCCAGATCGCTGATCGTCTCGCTCGCCGTGGTGCCGCTTATCGTCAGCAGCAGATAGATGCTGCCACCGGCGCCGTCGTCGAGCTCGTGCCACCTGCTGTGGGTCTTCTCGCGCTCCAGCTGCGCGAGATCGATCACCACGCGGCCCATGAGATCGTCCTGGTGGCGGCTCTTGTCGCGATCCCAGACCGTGACCTCGAGCTCCTGGCCCTCCTCGTACAGATGCAGATCGAACTGCTCGAGCCACATCGGATTCAGCGTCTTGGCGATCACCTTGGATTTGTACTTTTCCACGCCGAGTCTGTCGAAAAAAAAACAATCAATTTTTTACGATTAAAAATTACGGTCGCCAGATTTGTGCTTTTCCGTAATATATATAACAGAGTCGCGCGAAACTTGGAGCAATAAAACTTATAGGTCGGAAGAAGAAGTTTCAGACATAAGCTACGCGCGCAATTTTACGAGGAAAAGTTTACAGCTCCGTAAGAGATAACGAGGCGCGGAATAAAACAAAGTGGATCCCTCGGCGTTATATTGGCTTACCTGAATTTGACGTAAGGATCCGAGGTGCCGTCGATGTCCATGGGTATTAAATTTTTGGCCTGTATGAGCACTATCGTCACGACGGAGCTCCATATTTGGGACTTTAATCTACGGTTGACGTCCGCTAGCCGACTGCTCTTCTGGAAGTACTATTGAGAGAGAGAAAAAAACAACGAATCATTGCACGTGTGTCGGTTCATAAATATATATATACAGCTCCTAGCAGTTTGACAACTCGAGACACACATGGTTAGCATACTGACAATTAACGCATCGACGAAGGTTGAATAATTCACGGTTACGATCGAATTAACATAACGAAAATATGTCTGGGTGTGTGTTTGTTTTGTGTATACCCTCTTTATCTCCTCGATCTTATCCCTGAAATTGCCCCTGAGCTTGTCGAAGAAGTCGGCCGAGTCGGGTCGCAGCAGTTCCTCCTCGTCGTCCTGCTCCTCGAGCCAGTAGTCGACGTCGACCGCGGAGCTGTTGAGCGACTCGGAGGCGACGTCCGACGGCACGAGCGACGTGGCGGAGCTGTTCAGGTCCTTGATCTCCTCATCCCGATCGTTGGTATCCAGCGGCACCAGCGTCGCCGACGAGGCCGAGTTCTTGATGTCGAGCTTCGGCCTCGGCGAGCCCTTGTGGCGTGGACGTCAAAAATGATTCATCTTGGTTATTGTCACGCTAAGTTGCGAGTGCATTCGCTTCGCTCGTTTACGTTTTTCGCATTTGAACAAGTGCGCGTTTTGTATTTATTTTCTTTTTTTTAACTCTAACGCGTTAGAGAAGCTCTTAAACAAACATACGAGCTATGAGTGCAAGCCATATAGCAGCTCTGCTTTGAGGCTTTTTCGGTTTTTATCGACCGTTTGCACGTACGTACACGCAATATATCATCAAAGTAAACGCAAACGAGCGAAACGAACACCGTATGTATACGTCTGTGCTCACTGCTCGTTTTTTGGTCTTCCGCCACCTCGCGCAGCCGCTGCCGACCACTCTTCCGCTGCCACCTTTGACCGACGAGGCGGAGCTGTTGTTGTTCACCTCACTGTCGGAGCTGTAACCGCGATCGACGATCGTCCTGTTGCTGCTGCTCGCAACAACTGCAGCCGCAGCTGGTTTTTTCTTTCGAGCTGCGCCCAAAATTCTGCTGTCCGACGAGGCGCCCGGCGATCTATCCAGCCTCGATTTCTTCACCAACGCCCACTTCTCGACTATCTTGTTCTTGAACGTTTTCACGTTCAACTTGACTCTCGACGTTTTCGTCGGCGACGACGTAGTACTCGTCGTCGTCGTCGTAGTCGTCGTCTGACTCTTGGCAGTCTCTGCTGCTACTGCCGCTGCTCCAACTCGCCGACGTCGATTATAATTCCGCCGCTTACGTTCTCGCTCGTCGTCGAGTCGTCGATACTCCGGCATGAGCCATCGCGGCGGCTTGTAATTGCGCAGACGTTCCCAGGAGGCCAGCAGTTCGTCGTTGTGGCGCCGCGTGCTGCTGCTGCTCTGCACCACTTCCGAGTCGGAGGCCGGCGGGGTCGCGGGTATAACTTTGGTGACGAGTCCTCCTCCGTTGGAGCTGACGTCGCGATCGCTGCTCGACAGTCGACGCAGGCCATCGCGCGCCGTCACGAACGACAGGTCGCTGGAGTTGCTTCTGCTTCTACGAGCGACGTCGAATGCCTCGACGCTGAGATACATTTTTTTGTCTTATTCGTTTTTGTTTGTTGTGTTATGGATTCTGTGTGTGTCTGCACACGCGTGAATATTACAGGACTGCCGAATCGACTCGCGCTCGTCTACGATAAGTCGATTTATACCGCCAACGATCGTCGTTTATAATACAGTTATTTTTCTCACAGCTAGGCTGTGTATTATCTTAATCGATTTATTACGACTCTTGCGTACAATACCTGAGTAATAATGGCATCATACGCGCAAAAAAAGCCAACGACTCATTACTTCTCTATGTTTCGTCTTATCGACGCAGACGACAAAATATCATCATCACCATCTCTCTCTCTCTCTCTCTCTCTCTCTCTCTCTCTCTCTCTCTCCAAAAGCTCGCGACCTTAATCACGCTCGTTGAAAGAGATATAGACACTCGCGAGGCACGCGCGACATTTCTCTCTAATCGATCTATCCAATATTTAGATAAAGGCGAAAATTTTTAAAATACATACATTATCTATCGATTCATCGAGTGTCTTCGTAGTACTACACGCGTACGTGCAACTTACGCGCCGATTAGTTAAATGTCGTAATAACGCAAAAAAAAAACGCTTCGGTTACGTCGTACACACCGACGTATGAATATTACGTTCGCGAAGTCCGTCGTCGTAATGTTTATTCTCTCTCCCTCTCTCTCTCTCTCTAATGTTTTCCTACGAAAACGCTGAAAATACACACTTACACGCGCGCATAAAAATATTACTTTTGCGAATAGCCGCGGCGCCGTTTGCATAAACGCGCCTCTGTATATAGCCGATCGACGTAATAAGCGCGTGCGCTCGTTTATTATTTCGCGGTACGGAGAGAGAGAGATATGTGCGTCATCGATCATCCATCTACTCCTCTCTCACGTGCGAGCTCCGATCGGCAAGACACAGTAAGAAATCGGCAGTCCTGTATTATTAAAAACGCATCGTGCATCGTACACGACGACGACGATGACGACGACTCACTCGTTATTCTCTCCGTCGTGATTACGCTCCGGTACAAACTCTGCAGACGACGTACAGACAGATGACGCCCAGGTGAAGAATATGACAAAAGATCTTAAATAAGTTCCTATACGAGATCACACATATGATCGTACACAAGATCTTGTGCAAGATCTGGCCTACGATAATCGACACAAGATCTTATATAAGTTCTTGTGTCAGATCGTATGTTAGAACTTATATACTTTGATATTTCAGAATCCTAATAATTTTCATACCTGACGGAGGAGGGGTACCAAGAATTACTTTAAGATTGTTCATTAAGTAATAAAGTATGGAAATGTATATTAAATAATAACAAATTATCAGATTTTTAATCGAGGAATTATTTTATTTTCAAGTTTCAAAAATGATTACATTTTTAAGTGCGACCTAACATAGATAGGTTTATTATTAAACATTTTCTACATCTAATTGACCAAGAAAACTCTAGGTTTTTTACGAATCAACTTACAGCTGGTTTTCACAAAATACACTTAAAAAACATATTTGATCTGATGATAGTCGAAGATGAAAAATAACCTAAGAACGGGTGTAGCACCTGAAACATGAATTTTATGAAAAATTACCACTTTCTTGGTGAATTCATGTATGTGTATTTATGCATGTATTATATTAGTATTAGAATAATAAGGTTATTTTGTTTATTAACTACATTACAAATCACTTATCTTATAAAGATGCTACAATCCGGCTCTGCTGCGACACTGCTTCTGTTGCAACTGCTTCTGCTGTTTCTTCAATTTTTTCACGAAAATCACTTGCTACGGTCGACGCCACGCAGATGACAGCGTTCTATCTCTGGTCAGTGACCGATAACTACCAAACTATTCACACTAGAATATATATTCTAAACCAGTTAAAAATTGATGTGAAATATATTATTTATATTTGGAAACACTTTTAAGATCGCTGTTATGCTGTTATTGGCGTGAATAATTTGGTAATTGTCGGTTACAAACGAGAGACAGAGCGCTGCTGCGTACGGCGCACGCTAATCTGCGTGGCGTCGACCGTAGCAAGTGATTTTCGTGAAAAAATTGAAGAAACAGCAGAAGCAGTTGCAACAGAAGCAGTGTCGCAGCAGAGCCGGATTGTAGCATCTTTATAAGATAAGTGATTTGTAATGTAGTTAATAAACAAAATAACCTTATTATTCTAATACTAATATAATACATGCATAAATACACATACATGAATTCACCAAGAAAGTGGTAATTTTTCATAAAATTCATGTTTCAGGTGCTACACCCGTTCTTAGGTTATTTTTCATCTTCGACTATCATCAGATCAAATATGTTTTTTAAGTGTATTTTGTGAAAACCAGCTGTAAGTTGATTCGTAAAAAACCTAGAGTTTTCTTGGTCAATTAGATGTAGAAAATGTTTAATAATAAACCTATCTATGTTAGGTCGCACTTAAAAATGTAATCATTTTTGAAACTTGAAAATAAAATAATTCCTCGATTAAAAATCTGATAATTTGTTATTATTTAATATACATTTCCATACTTTATTACTTAATGAACCATCTTAAAGTAATTCTTGGTACACCTCCTCCGTCAGGTATGAAAATCATTAGGATTCTGAAATATCAAAGCATATAAGTTCTAACATACGATCTGACACAAGAACTTATATAAGATCTTGTGTCGATTATCGTAGGCCAGATCTTGCACAAGATCTTGTGTACGATCATATGTGTGATCTCGTATAGGAACTTATTTAAGATCTTTTGTCATATTTTTCACCTGGGCGAGACCTCGACAGAATCGATTGAGACAGCGTCTCGCTCTGGACTTGGGAGGTTTGTCCTCCGCTTGGGTCTCTTCGGCGCTTCCTCCTGGCAGAGTTGACGATCGGAAGTACTCGGCTCGGGTGGGGGTCGCTGGTCGAGGCTGCACTTGGATAACAACGGGCTTGAGCTCGGGCTTGGGCTGGGCTTCCGCTGCGGGCTCGGACTCGAGCTCGAGCTTGGGCTGTGCCTCTGCTGCTGCTGCTGCTGCTGATGTTTCTTTGCTCGACTCTGTGCTTCGAGAAATTGGCGACATTTTGACTGAAGAAAATTCTCTGTCATAGCCTGTGTCTCCCTGCTGCTGCTTTAGTTCTTCACTATTTACACATGTGACACATAAACGCGCACGATACACAATTATATGACAAAGCACACGCACGAATCGGCGGAACTTGCTCGACTGACCCGAGAGAGAAGCAGAAGTCTACGTTCTCTCGACCGAAACTATATCGGAGAGGCCATGCCCCCCTTCCATCTGCGTTATAATACACACATGAAAAACGCGCGATCGTATTAGCAGCTGATCGCCGATAGCACTTCGACACACACACACATATAGATGTCTATATAACGATCGACAGAACTCAGAAGTATAAACATTATGTACGAGGAGCTATCGAAACTATATGTACCATTATTACGAGTGCGCCTGTACTCGGCATGTATCGTCTTGCAACATTATGACGTTCGTAATCTCTATAGAGATATCATTATTACGAGAACGTTTGGTCGGATGATGCTTCCGCGAGTGTGTCAACGCCTCGTATCGCTATATACTCTTAATTCGTTGCTCGTAAATAATATTCGTGGCCGCAATTATTAGTCCATTAGAGTCGTATGAGTCGATGCGTCATTGCAGATCGAGACAACGAAAATCCTTGTCTACGTGTGTGTATGAGCATCTCTTTTGCGAAATTTTATATCGCTAGCATTCCTTCCCACAGAATTTGGCCATTTATCTGGAAGCTCTCCTCGAGGCCACGCGCTCTGTGTATGGCGATTCTTCTCGGTTCTTCGTATTCCCACGATGGCATCTTTATAATCCCCAAAATTTGCATCAAAAATATATGTTCCGTATATAACACATGTATAATATCTCTATTAGCTGCTGCGTCGGGTTTTCCACGCGATGATTGGACACGCAAAACGAGAGAGAAAGAGATTGCGCGCCGATTCATAATAATAACCAGAACCAACCTTCGTGTCCCGGCGGAGCAGTACGCAGAGTTACAAGAGCAGTGCTTGCATTCTCCGACGCACGAGCATCATCCGCTTAAAGAGGTACAAGTACGAGATGAACCGGAGAAAAGCGCATAAAGTCTGCTTTTCATAAACTATATCATGTTCTTGCCTCTTTTATATATCTATCGAGTGCCTCGTTTCTTTTTTTCCTTCGGACGTTCCACTCGTATACAAAAATCGATATCGTACATTATACGAGCTTTCTATATGACCGCGTCCTGCACTCGTTCCCATATATAATAACTCCATCCAAATACCCAAGCAGTCAGCTTGTAAAATAATTATATAGAAAAGGAGACATCGATCTGACCCGGTACATATACTAGCTGTATACGGTACACGATGCGCACGATGTAATAAAGCCGAAGAACAATACTCGAAAAAAGAAAAAAAAGAGGAACGTAGACGGGAAAAGAAAACCACGCACAATTAGGAGCTACTCTCGTGTGCGCGCGCGCGCGTGGGTGGGTGTACATAGTTATACGATGTTATATACGCTCAGGTACACGCGAGCACGCTGATTACGGGATGAGTAAACACGAACCCGAGGTACACTGCAAAACGTATATAATAAAACAAGCCGCCTTCGCGAGCACACATACACACGGGCATACACAACGTAATGTGTCTATTTATTATCGCAAGCTGCATTTGTGCGAGTGTACACTGTACACACACGAGCTACGCGCGTATTTCCTCCGAGTGTGTAGGAGCTGACCAAAACAAAAAAAAATGTCAAGCTCGCGTCGATTGGAATTAATTCGTGCGAAGCGAAGAAGAGGCGCTAAACTTCATCCGCACACGCACATATACGCACTCGTATTCGCGCTTTGGCCAATAATTGTCATTATCGTGTTAAAGGCGCGCGAGCGCCTACGAGGGCCGCTTCCGGCCGTTGCGCGATTCGCGCTAAATGCGTTAATAGCGCGTACAAATACAATCGCACGCGCATGTGATTTACAATCTACACATATAGTTATTTTTTTTATAAAAAACTGGAAAGCTCCGGTAGTTTTCTCGCGCGTGGCCGTGTGCAATTATCGACAGATTTACGAACGAGGCCTCGCTTTGCATCCTTTTTTTTTGGTCGAAGTAGCAGCAAACAAAACTATGACAAGTGTGTACCGAGCTAAGTTGATTTAATAATGTTCCCAAGTGAAATTGACTTTCGCTCGTCTATTTTGCGCAGGATGTGTTAATTATAAATCTGCATGTAAGTGGTTTTAATTCATAATCTATATATTCATGAATAATGCAACGACGAGGAACAGCGCATTATCGAGACTATCGAGGTGAAAATCGACCGTTCATGCATTTTTCTTTGAATAAATAATCGAAAGAAAAAAAAACAAACATCGAGCACAACAGGGAAATATACATTTTAAAAAATAAATCCTATCGCGCTTCGAACGTGTACGCGCATATTAATTTGATGTGTAGGTCTCGGCTTCGGGATTTATAATATATACCGATATCGTATCGGCGCAACGCCGTCGCTGAATAATCATCGACAGAACCGTAATAGTAATAGGGGGTAGGGAATCGAGATTATATCCTCGAAATCTCGAACGAATCCATCGCTTCGCTTTATAAATAAAAAGTCACGCGAGCTTAATCGCCGCGGAAAGAAGAGCGAAGAAAGTTTTTCACTTAGTTTTACGCTTTGTACGAGACATAAAGATATCCTGTTTCGCATCTCAACTTGTATATACAAGACGATAACGTTGGCTTTCCTGCCGTGTAACTTGACTTTTCGACGAGATAGAAAAGCCGCGCTAACGCGCGTAACGAAAGCTCGCCGCCGCTGCCGTCGACGTTCTCAAGGTTTAAGCGGCATTATTTATTCATAAAGCGAGGGAATACAATTAAAAACCAATTCGCGCTCTCTCAACTGTACAAGGAAACACCGCCGCATCAGCAGCAGCAACAAATAATAATGACGCGAGCTTGCGGCTGGAAAATGTGTCGAGTAGCTCATATGCATTAAAAAATCAAGACACACACACACACGGGCCAAGACGCACCGATAACGTTCGTATTATAATAGCACAGTTGCGCTTTATGCTTAAAGCACATTATGTATGTATAGCCGCCCTCCTATATACAATACAACGCAACGAGGCGCTTTGCTTCGCGGCGCTAAATTTTACATTCTCGTTATATACTATGGCGATAGAGCCTGACGCGCTCGGTATACGACGGCAGCTTTTTATATACCGCCGTCAGTCAGAGCGCACCCCGGGAATCTTCTCTCCATCGTTCGTTTCATTAGGTCGATTTGAAAATTATCGACACCTAAAGGCGTAAACGCTGATTACGAACTACCGACACTATATAATATATACATTTTCCACGACGCTGATTACTCGCTAGCGCACCAGCACGTACTTCTCGAGTTAATGCGGTGCTTCGCCTACACACACACATAGTATAGAGCTCGTGTACACAATTTTTACCTCGTTGCTTTTTTTCTCCTCTCTTTCTTTCTCTCCCTCTCGCTCTGCACCTGCATAATGTATGTATACACGTTCGCGCAGTGGCGTTCGATAATGCAGTGCCGCCGCCGCTCGGCTTTCTGGTTGCGCTCGTGCACTCGAGAGAGAGAGATCTAACCCTCGACTCGATGTGTGTATTATCGAGGAATAAAAACCCTTTATGCACGGAGCTTCGGAGGTAATAAGTTTCTCGCGCGACGCAGAGAGAGAACGGTTTGTCGGGCTCGATTTGTACCTCATTGATTTTTCTATAATTCACCGTTTCGGATTGATCGCACATTTTACCTGTAATAGAGTTTTCAACCTTCGTCGACTGGGTGAGCAGCGATGCTCGATAAAATCGAAAAATAAAGATTGGTATATGCTATGTATAGGCGGGTGGGCCACGCACCTGTTCTTTCTCTTGTTGATTCTTGGGCCAGAGGGTGGCGGAAATGAAAATTTCCCCGAGTTGCCTCTGCGGCCTGGCGGGATCCTTCAGCTCCAGCGTGAAATCCTGCATCTGTCCCAGCTCCAGCTTCGTCAGATCCAGCTGTGCCGCGCCCATAAAGTCGTCCTGCAGGCCCCAGTCGTAATCGAAAACCTGTAAGTGTGTGTGTTAGTGCATCGAAAACGCATTAAACCCACGGCTCCGTCGATTCATCGATTTTACATTAAAAGCCACGAGACACAGGGCTTTGAATAAAATAGCTCTCGATAAAGCAGAGCTCTAATTCCAAAAGTAAGTTAGGGCTCGAAAAATTGATCCGATAAATAAAATTAGGACGCGGGCGCGCGCGCCGCAATATACCTTGAAATTCAGAGGCAGGAATGGATCTTCGATAGGTAGCGTGACGCTCTCGTCCCACACAGGATTCAGTTCCCTGTAGACCGTGCGAGATTTGTGCAAAAGTCGGCCGTTGCATTTAACTTTGACGTAGGGATCGCTAAAACCTGTTTGAACAAAAAAAAAAGTACAGAGATAAGTTGGATCGAAAAACAAAACGTCTATATATTTTGTATCGTAGATGAGAAAGCGGCTCTCGAAAGGGCTATATAAAAGCAACGACGCTCTTACCCGATCGATCCATGGCTACGAGATTAGCGCCTCGACGTATGTGCAGTCTCATCTGGAAGAAGGCGTGCTGACGCAGGGCCAGCTCCCTCCTGCGGGTGTCCTCGTCCTTGTCCGTGCCCGCGTCGTTGTCGTCGTCCTGCTGCTGCTGCTGCTGCTGCTGCTGCGACGGCGCCTCGACCACGCCGTCGGTGCAACTGACCAGAGCCGCTGCCGTGCTCGAGAAAAACGACGAAGACATCGCGTTGGTCGCAGCAGCTGTCGTCGAAGTAGTCGTCGCGTGGCTGCTGCTGGTCTGCTGCTGCTGCTGCTGCGTCGTCGTCGAGCCGTCCTCGGATCCTTTTTTCATCGAGCCGACGTTCCTCGGACTCGAGCGCGCTAACGGGGATTCTGTAACGAATCGATGATTATACAATTTTTTTTTGTTCGGAAAGCGCCCAAAGCTCGCGCATTATTAGGATCGACGACGATTGTTTCTGCCCCTCGAGCCAAGCAGAGCTCGTGTGTATATTATATGCGAGTGTGCAGTGGCACTGTGCCAGAACACTTACTTTGCGCTATAGTTTAATGACAAAAAGCGACGGTATACATTGTCTATTTACAAAGGCTTTTAGCCGTATCATATTTTAATTTGATTGTAACATAATCTAATATCTATATATTCTATCATAGCGGCTACTTATAAAAGAAAGATTATCGGGCACAAAAAAAGCTTATAGATTTTCTCGTACTGTTGGTAATGATGTACAACCTGAGTAATTCGATCCGATGTCGAAGCTTTTATTATAACAATTTTGACGTGCTTTGGGTCACATTGCAAAGATTATTACAGTACGCCATATAGGAAGTTCATTATTACTGAAAAATTGAATATTAATTACGTCTGAATGTAGCTCTGTTACGTAACTATAATAAATTTAACAATAAAATTATTAACAAAATGTTCGAACAACGATATGCACGATTTCATTTGTAACTACGCAAAAACATCGCATGTATCCAATTGATATCGTAACGTGGAAAAGCCGATGGAGAAATTAATCGAGCTATATGTCAAGGACGTCAGAAGCAAAGAGCAATCATAATACTCGGACGCGACTCCGGGTACAAACGACGATTCAAATATATGCAGAGCGAAAACCTATGTATATTTTTCCTTCAAGAGCAATCGCACTCGTGTACAGAGCGTGTATGACAAAGTTGAAACAACGCACACACGGCTCGCAAATGAAATACATATTCGAAACTGCCGGTCGAAGAGAGAGAGACAGAGAAAAATATTCGCGTCGGACGTATGATTGAACGTAAAAAATTAGTTCTGCTTGCGCGACAGAGAGAGAGAGGGTCGAAAAAATGTAGGTCGTCTAAAAATAATACTTGCTACACAGAGAGAGAGTCAGCGACATGGAACACCCACAAGATAGAAGAGATAAGAAGATGAACCTTAAGGCTGACACGCGTTACATATTGTATTAGCTCTAAGGCAAGGGAGTTATACAACAAAGAAAATCAGGGCTGCTGCCGCTGCGGAGCTTTCAGCGGAGGAGTATAAGATATATTATATACTATATACAGCGGGGCATCGTGTAAATAATGCCATTAGAGAGCCACTCGACTCTCTCTCTCAAGCTCAAGCTCGCAACCTCAACTCACCGGGGGGATGATTGAGCAGATGCCTGGCGGGACTCTGAGTGGCCGACGAGCTCCTGCTGTGATCCGCCGACGAGTAGTCGGCCGCGTAGTCCGAGTCCTGATGATGATGACGCTGCCTGTGGGGACTGGTCGACGACGTGCCCGGCGAGTCCCCGGCGAGCAGGTCCTTGGAGCCTCGTTTGCCCGTGCGCTCCTTGGCCCGGCTGGCCATCCACTTGGACTTGAGACTGGCGAAGAACGAGTGGGTGCGCTGCGCCACCGAGATGTGCCGATGGTGGTGCAGCTTGTGGACCACGTGGTGGCCATGGCCACCCTCGCCACTGCTGCTTGTCGTCGTCGCCGTACGGGACCTGTTGCGGCCCAGGTGAAAGAACAGCGGCGACTTGCTGCCGCTCTTGCGCTCGGCGCTACGCAGATCCGTGGCGCTGCGCGACAGCTGACGACGGCTGTCGTCGAGCAGCCCATTGTCCTTGTCGATTTCACCTGTTAGATAGCGACGACAGAAAAAAAATCCATACATCGATTAGCAAAAAAAAAGGCTACACCTCTACATCGTGTGTGTATACGAAATAATTTATACAACTGTCGCACGCGTCCAACTCGCGAATCGAAACGAAAACACATCGTGTGTTTATATTATCATTATACGTATATACCCATTCGCAGCTGACTCTCGCAGAAGCTATGCTGTAGATCCGACAGTATCGTGCCCTCGAGCCGGCCGAGCGTGTGAGGATGCACCCGAGCTGCCGCTCCTACTACCGCTCCGTTACGCTTCATTTTGCGTCGTGAACTAGATGCAATTTTCAAAGTAGTACGGCAGCAACCATTTCTCGGTGGGCGAATTTCACGGATTTATCGCCGACGACATTAGTACAACACAATAGAGAGAGAGAAAGATAAGACGACGGGACGGGGTCCGGAAATTATTAACGCCCGGTAGAGATATAAAATTATTAATTAAACGGGCTCGTGTTCATTAAAAATTTAGTTCGGAGCACGAACACATGATATATAATAATTGTATGCGCGCTCGAGACCGCGTACGTCTCGTGACTGCTCTATTCGCTCGTGAACTTGTTCGTTCGTTCGTTCGTCGTCTCTATTTTTTTTTTTTTTTTTTTTTTTTTCTCTTCCAAGTTCTTTTTCATATACACATCTTGTACATGTATAACACAGTCGTCCGCCTCTGCACACGTATATTGTATACTGTATATGTAGCACGCGTATATACCAATACCAAGACACGCACGGAATAGTATAGAGCATTTATAATACAGAGAGAGAGAGAATAGCCGGTTTTTTGAGCGCGAATCCCATTGAGCCAGGGTCGCGTATAGCGAGAGAGAGCAAACGAAACGAAGCGAAATGTGAAAAAAGGACGCCCGACACTGAAGTATTAGTGCTGTTTTCTTTTGAGGGTCAATTCGCTATATTATGATTATGCTTATGATGCTGCTGCTGCTGCTCGTAAATAGCATCTGGTATAAGCAGATTACATATAGCCGAGCATTAGCCGGGATGCTGCGTGTACATTGTTACATATAGAGTTGGAATAGAAGAAGAGATGGAAAAATCGTTCAAACAGAGAGAGAACGAGAATAACGGCGATAAATACGTTTACCGATAAATGCATTCACATACATACACATCATGATAGAAAAACCGATATTGCCAAGTTCGTACCTTCCAACGCACGTACGCGTGTTATTGCTTTTTGATTTTTATTTTTTTTTAATAACAAAAAAGCAGAGCTTTTTGCAATTCAAATTTATAGAAACGTGACACCGTAAAAGTCGCGCTCTGCTAACAACCGGGATTTGACGTCGAATTTAATATTTTTCTTTCCCTCCCTGACTAGCGCGCGCGCGCGCTCGTGCGATCGAATTCTAATCGAAATGAAAAAAAAAGAAAAATAAATAAACGAACCGAGAGCTTTCGTTGCGGATTGAAAAAAACCGTAAACAAAGTAAGTAACAAAAGTTTCGCTCGCGCATGGAAAAAGTTGGATTTGCGAGCGCTTCGCACACACGTGTGTACAGTATTGTACGTGTAACTACACGACGGAAGCTTCGATTTTTTCCCAAGAACAATCCGAGAGAGAGAGAGTATGAAATTGGCGACTGCATGTCGAGTAATTCAATACGATATGTCTCGCGTGTATAACAAATCGTTGGCGCATGCGACAATGTATTTATTTTATAATCCTGAGGGAGCTGTGCTGCAGCACAGGTCACGCACCGTGTCCGGGCTCGACGTCGTCGTTCGCGAGCAGCTCGACGCTCTTGCTCATGACGACAACGATGACGACGATGATGCAAATTGGAAAACTCCTCCTCGTTGCTCGCAGTGCACAGCGAAGATAATAATAATCGTCTTCTTCGTCGTCGTCCTCTGCGACGTTTCTGTTGTCGTTGCTCCGCGGCGGTGGTTATTACTTGACTGTCACGGCCTCCTGCTACCCTCGGCTCGGGCAGCATGCTCCCTGTGGCAAACGGCGGCGAAGAGGCAGCAGCGATCGATCTCCCGGCTCTCATGGATGATCCTCGCTTTCGACGACGACCACAACGACGACGATGACGATGAGCGACGGCTGAACTTCCGACTCGATGCTTTTACCGCTACTACTGAGACGCTTCTCGATTCCTTTGGCTTTTCTCTGATCATGCTTGTTGTAAGCTCGTGAAAGCTGAGGCTGCTCCTTGCATGCGACGTCGTCGTGATTCTGTAAACACGTAATTGAATTAAAGTTAGAAAAAGCCTTGCGGGAGAACAATTTTTTTGTTGTATTATACCGGTGAAGGGCTCTTTGATAAGTATTTACGACAAAAAAGTTGTAAAGCGATACTCGACGCTGCTTTTTTTTAATACACAATTTACTCATAGAGCACTCGGCCGCGAGCAAGCACAATACCCTGTAACGGGGAAAAAAATAAATGAGAAGAAAAATTACATCGCCAACTATAAAAGGCGGCGGCGGACGGTTTTGTGAAACGCCACGCCGCGAGGGCTGTGCTTTTTAGCTCGAACCCAGCCTATATTGTAGGCATCGATTTTTTCACCTATCGGAGCTGCTCCGTCAGTATAACGTGAGCGATCCAACGCGATAATATAATAAATAAAAAGTAATGCACAACGTTGACGCGGGCCGTCGAGCTTGGAAAAAATTTATATTTTAATCGTAACTCCCGCGACGATCGGGGAAATTTTTACGTGTATATACCTACACACGGTGTAATATTTTTCGTATATTATTATGTGCCGGCATACCGTACACACGCGAGCGACTTTATTGTTTTGATTATGCGAGCGTGTTCGCTTTTGTGTACTTTTGGAATTTGGCCTATCGCAGAGCTTCTCGGACTTGCGGTATGTAAGTGTCGAGACTGGACCAGCATCTTTGGAGACTGTTGTCGAAACCGGTGAAATAAACGAGTGTAATTACGTCGCTAATTTTGATCTAGTACAACTTGTCATCCAGCCGGGTGAGTTTTTGTTCGTTTCTCGTTGTAAAGGATTGATAATAATTGAACGAAAATAAAACGAAATACTCTGTAGACTACTTACGCCAGACATATTTCGTTCGCAGAGTATCAAAGGATTCCCAAAAACAAAAGGATTCACGGTTCAACTCGCTCGGGAGATTTTGCAGTTTAGGTAAACAATAAGCTAACAATGACGGACACTCGTCCCTTCTAACTTTTTTTTCTCTTCTTTTTTTTTTTTTTAACAATTTACTATCTGTCCATCTCCGGCAGGCAAACTCGCTCGATGCTTTGTTCTTCGCCCGTTGTAACAAAGGTATGAGATGCGTTTTGTATAGGTTACAGTAACGTTCGTTCGTGCAAGGTTTGCCAATCGCGCGCGCCATGATTTCAAACGGTCGACAGTCGAAGAACCGTAAAAATAATGAAATCATCTTCGAATGCATCTCGAACGTAATCGACATACCCGTTCTGATCAATTATTTAACGGTCAATTATGGCCCGATAGCGGATCACCATTTGATTTCTAATAAAAACGGAAAACAATTGTGCATACGTTTTCTTCATGAGTATGTATAGAGTATTTTATTGACTTTTTTCATGGGATTAATTGATGCAAATTTTTTTTATAGGGAAACTGTTATAAAACTGTTTAGTCATAGACGTCTATTCAACAACATGGTGTTATCGCTGGTAAGCGGATTTGGTGACGACAAAAGCCTCCAAAATGGTAAAGTGAATCTTTTTTGCTCAAAAATGCATGTGCGTTAACATAAATACATATTTTACAGACACGAGGGATCTATCAAACTCTAATGATTCAAGATTGGATACTGAAACAATAATCTCGGATCAGCTGAATAAGTTTTTAAATACCATTGCACTATCTGATGCTGAAGTAAAGCAACGTAATGCTGTCATATTAGAAGACCTCGAAAAAGTAATTCGACCACTCTTACAAAGGTGTAAATTGTATACATTCGGTTCAACTGAAACTGGTCTTGGGTTGAAAAATGCTGATACAGATATTTATTTAAATCCAGGTATAAACAGAAACACCTTACTTCTAATCTAAATTTATGATTCATTACGAATCTGTAATATCATTTATAATGTTTATAGGTAAACCAATTGTTGATAATGCATTTAGTCCAATTGGTCCTCATGTCGCAAGACTAAGCAATCTTTTATCAACTATAGCAAAACTTCTTTATGAATATCCAAAAGTTTTTGGCTGTATCATAAGTGTTTCCAGTGCAAGAGTTCCAATAATCAAATTTCAGCATATACCCACCAAAGTTTCATGTGATCTTTCATTCACCAGTTTAATAGGAGTTAAAAATAGTAAATTAATAAAATATTACTTATCAATAGATTCTCGATTTAGACATCTTATGATTATTATCAAATATTGGGTACAACACTGTGGGACAAAAAGTGCATTATGCATAAACAACTATACGTTAAATTTGCTTTTCATTTTTTTTCTGCAGAATGTCAAATTAGTTCCTTCTATTTATGATTTACAAAGACAATGTGCCAAGCCATTTCTTTTAAATAGTTGGCAAGTAAACTTTAGCGAACAGTGTCCATATTTTCATTCTGATCAAGACTTTGAAAAAAAGTCTATTCCTGAACTGCTTGGAGAGTTTTTTAAATTTTATGCTAATTATGATTTTGAAAATAATTTAATATGTCCGTTGACTGGTAAATCTTATGGTAGGGATATAATTATTGAAAAAATACCTTCTTTTTTGTTCAGATATTCAAATTACTTGAATTGCGAGAAAGACCCAAAACAATTAGAAGTGTTTACAGCAATGTGTGTCCAAGATCCATTTGAACTTAATTATAATGTGTCGAGAGCGGTTGTAAAAAGTCATGTTGAAAAATTTCAAATTTTTTGTTCTGTTGGATCACTCATGGTCCAAGAATCAGCTAAAAACTCCTACAGAAACTTTTTCTCACAACTTTTTCCTGAAATGAATATTTCCGATATACTTTCAAGTACTGAATCATTTAACATCTCATTTGAAGCTGCAGAGTTTTTAATAAGTAATATTATAGGAAAACGTTGCTACGAAGACTTCATTCGGTATCAGCATCAAAAATGGTTTGAATATATGTTCGACTCGATAATGATATTTATTAAGAAAGTTTTAAATTTCGATGTTGTTAGTGACGATGTTAGTTACCAGTTTTGCAATGATGAAGAAAACGCAGAACACCCTGTGATATCAATAAAGTGCAACGGAAAATTCATTGAAGCATTATTCAATAGAATAAAATCAGATAACACTGCTAAAGGTGTTAGGGACCCCCTAAAGAGACGGATTGCGATTTCCAAGGCCAAATTATCAGTATTAAACAATTCGAAAAAAAGCCCTGAAACAGATGATGCAAGTGTTGAAAAAGAATTCAAGTTCAAATTCAAAGCTTTCAAAAGAACCAGTCCTACCGTTCACATTTACATGATTTTTTTTAACGACGGGGGCGATAAAAAATTGTTCAAACATTCACTACTTGATATCTTCAATACGACCATGCGATCTCTGCTCAAAAAATCGTTCAAACATAACATTAGTTCGAAAAAATTGTAATATATTGCGAAGCGCTACATATTGTAATATTTGTTTACTTTCTAAGATTTAATTTAACTATGTTTTATCATTCAAAGTGCAAAGAGTTTTATGTAGTTGAAATTTTTTAAATTTTATATTGGAAAAATATAAACGTTTTCATAAGCAAGAAAAAATGACAAATCTGCCGTTCATTCATTTGCTCACGACCTCTATGCGACTTAGAAAAATATAATTGTGTACTCAACGATACGCGCCAATATCCAATCGAAATACGCAACACCGTACAAAGAACAATATCAGCTTTTAATTTGACTCTGGAGAATCGTCGCTAAAAGATATATATACCTAGTTTGCATGGCAATGGATCAAGAGCGTATGTGTGTGTCTGTGAGCCTCGCGCTGTGTCGACAAAGGGTACACGCGAGAAATAAAAAGTCAAGCCGGTGAATAATGAATGCAAAGAGCGCGAAAAATATATATATAGACCGATCGGGTCAAAGACTAGACGCGCCACTCTATACAATACATGAAGCTCGAGCGGATATATCAAAAGTATCGATTCGTGCGCGAGATGCAGTAATTGAAGTTTCGGGTAAAAGGCATCGCACAGGATTGGATCGTCGTCTATCGGCACGACGCGACAGACCGAGAGCATCGTCATCTTTGCAAAGTTCGTACATCGTCCGGATTCAGATTATCGTGTGTGCTCTTTGGCAACGAGATGGTAATCAGCTCTCCGCGATGATGCAAAAGCTTTTATGGACTCAAGTGTGCAAATATTTCGGATGATAATACGAAAAAAGCTCGGTTTTGGTGACGTCGCGGTATGTATGCAAGCCATTATCGAGTATTACGCTGTCGCTCACAGCTGTCGAGCTCGTTTTCGTTATCGAATTAGATATTTTGACGGATTCGTTATGGTTACTAGCATGATCGATGGCAGCTGCATTTCGATGATTAAGCACTATTATATTATCATGTACCAACGGCATAGATTCGTGCAGTTCGCTCGGTTATATTACCTTCGACATATATTCAAAAGTCGTGTAAGCCTCGAATATATGTATCTCGTGTAAATTATTTCCTCGCGGCATAGTGCAAATTTCAGTTAATGAAGCGAGAGATAATAACTACACACGTCGATGTATCGAGCAAGGAAACGTTACATATTTCGAAATTCGGGTTGATATCTCGCGTTTTGCCGTTCTCGTGATTACTCGGAGAGCAAAATTTAATTACTTCCACTGATACGCATACGTGTAACATGGAATTGAAGCGCGAGATAATTAATGTAATGTACACGAAAAAAAAGAATGATCGTGTCTCCGTTTTTAATATATATCATCGTATCATTCGCGGGTCGGCCAAGTGTGCAAATATACGAGTAAAATATCCGTTGAAATGAAAAGAGAAACAATCGCTCGAGCGAGCTTTTTCTCCATTGTATCGCGGTATAGGAGATTATAAAGGCGAGATTAGCGAGATTACGAAACAGAAAAAAAAAGAGTTTTTCACGCGCCGCGCGGCAAACGAATCAGTCAAAGTGGATTTATTATATATCTATATAACAGGTCGTATAAACGCGTGTATATACATAAGCCCACCGCTATTCCTCGTTGTTTCCACTCTACTTGATAGCTGGTAGATAGTTTAGCAGCTCTTGGCAGTTGCACGTATCTATAAAATATCCACGCGGCGCTTCGATTGCCTCGTGGTATGCGTAGAGCTAGAAATCGCCTAAATAGTTTTCCGAGTCGCGCCTCGCCTCCTACTCATGGATAAATTTCGGATAGACAGCTTTTCTTTTTATTATTCATTGGCCGTATCGAGTGAGCGTGTATATAAGGTAAAAAAAAAACGAGGTAAAGTAATTGTACGTTTTAATGAAGTATATATCGTTGCCGTGTGTGCACGCCGGTCAGGAATTATTATACGACTCTCGGACACGAACGTCAATTAATCATAAATGTCCTGCAACGGTCTTTGCACTGCGCGCGCGACAGCGACGACGACGACGAGAAGAAGAAAATACTTGTATATAAGTCATACGTGCGAAAGCTCCGTTGCTATCCTGCAAGAGGAGCTTTTTGGCTATATATTGTATATATGATAAAAGTATCTAAGGAGTGAAAGTCGATGTGCAGCTGCGACTGCACAGCACGAGGAGGAGGTGGATCGGAATTATTATACCTGTGCGTATATACCTATGAGAATGTAAATTAGCCCTCGAGAGGTTCTTCTTCCGAGAGCAGAAGACGACTTCATTATCCGTATATATACGCGTAGCGAGGATTATTTCACTCGTACGAAACTACTCGCGATTAAATTGTCGCGAAGAGCGCGCGTGGACTACATTATTATAATAGCGTCTTTAAATTTCTTGGCTTTTGAGAGGCGATAGCCTCGAGAGTCGCGATGAATTTTTTTGTTTTTTTGTTTCTTCTGCATCGATTCGCACTTATCTAATCGCGATCGAGTGCTGTATCGATGCTCTTGCATTTCATTTATTAAAATTTTTTTTTGATACGAAGATAAAGTATAGCTTCGCGAGAAAATAAAGTAATGTAGCTAGGTGAGAAAAATCCGGGTACACGCTTACCCCTTTTTTTTCAGATGTTGCGCTCTCCGCGGATATATAGGTTGTGCACACGTTCGGTGGAGGTTCGCGCGCGTCGTGTCGTGCAGCCGTCAGATATTGTGCACTTGCAGATATTTCACACATGCATGGGGGCACTGACACACAGACACAGACACCGTAATACGATACGTATACCCTTTGCTTACAGGAGCTTTAAAAAGAGTACACTGACACTGATGGAGATTTTTTTTTTTTTTAGTACTGGGATGGAAGCATGGACAAGATTGACGGATGAAAAATGACACACAAACACACACGAAAAGTAAGAGGTAGTTCGCCGGTGTTGTTACACGGGTACGAAAATATTACATTATACACGTAAGGAGCTTAACAATCGGTAAAAAGGCAGGAAGAATTATTACGTTATACAGCGAAGCTTTCGTAGTTGGAATACGCGCCTCCGTGAGTACGGACGACGACGACGATAATACTACTAATAATAATAACAATAATAAAATAACGACAGAGCACAGAGTACACTCGACGTCGCCCGCCGCCCGCCGTCAGGCCACTGACTGACTTGTCTCTCTCTCGTGCACTCGACTCGTTGTGTGCTGCTGCTATAAAGCGTGCGAGCGCGTGAGCTGCTTCTACTGCTGCTCGACGGTCGACCGGAGCTTGTGCTTGCTATATATATGTGTGTGGGTGTACGTGTGTGTATACGGAACTCGCGAGACGGTATTTCGCTCTGCCACTGCTGCTGCTGCCGTTTCGCACTCGTGCGTATACTACGTAGCTTTTTGTGTGTACCTGTGTTGGTGTGTACTATATATACAGAGTCGGAGGCGCAGCAGCGGACATGTGGCGGTGGCCCCGTGCGCGCGCCTATATACTAGGGAGCGCTGATACGTACAGGATACACATAAGAAGGAGCTTGCGGGAAAAGCTCGGCTTAATTTAAAATAGAAATTAGATATAGAGATCTCAGTCAAAAAACAAAATAAACACCGTTGAAGCTTTTTTTGGGGGGTGGGTGGGGGGGTCGCAAGTACAGCCACACCGGCGCCTTTCGAGCATCTCCGCAAGCTCTCGTTCGCGCACACATATACACACATCGAGTCGTCGTCGTCGTCGTAAGTTTTATCGACCGCTGCTCGCCAGAGAGAGAGAGAGAGAGAGAGAAAGCGAACACACGTGCTCCCAAAGTATTATATATATACTTTTGCACGCTAGTTAACGCTTGTGACGTCACGCCGGATCGCTCCATACGCACGCAACGATTACCTCACGCTGCTACATAATATAGCTCGCGCACGAGGCAGTACGGTATATGTACAGAGTTATTATATCTCGCTGTGTAGCAGCAGCAGCAGAAGACTCCGTTTATCCGAGTCCGTGTGTGTATGTGTGTATATGTGAGCAGCGCGCGGGAGATAACACGACCTATGTGTAGTATTGGGGATTAAACGATGCACGTCGCGCCACCATCGGTCGGTTGGTGAACCCTCGAGCCGCCCGAAAATCCACAAAATAACACGCAAAAATGATGAAATTAATTAATTGCAAATTATCCCGAGTGATATATGCATGAAATTTAATTGAAAATCAAAGCTTATGTGATAACAAATTTATATAAAAAAAAATCTCATTGTAAACTTTTTCCAATTTTAAATTATCGTATTATTAAGTTACGATGACAGTCCGCGACCCGACGCGCCGATTCAACTTGATGGACGATGTGCAATTGTTTTTGCTATTGTTGCAAACGCGAGGCAGAGAGAAAAGTAAAAATGAATCTCCCAAAGTTAGAAATAAGTTTATTTGATATATTAGAAATATTGGGTGACTATAGAAGGCCTTTCATCGAAGCTGAGCAAATTTTCTTGGCGGATCACATTGTTTTATGTGGATTCAAATACCGTACCGATCAAGAGATCTTAATTGTTTCCTATGTGACACAAACGTCAAAAATTAATGATATACCACATGAAGTTACGTTAAAAGTTGAAGTTTCTGAATGTAAGAAAGTTATTTGCTGTCATTGTACGTGTCCAGCTGGGGCAGGTGGAAAATGCAAACACATTTTTGGCTCATTACTTTATGTTAACAGGTAAGCGGTGATTAATGAATGTTTCAATTACATGTGTAAACTTAATGTAATATTGTTATGTTACACTTATAAACAATATATCATTTTAGATATCAGATAGAAAATTTACAAGAACTGAGTTGCACTGACGTAAGACAGAAATGGGGCAAAGTTAAGAAACATTTAAATCTGCCGTATCAAAAAATTATTCCCATACATCAGTATTGTCACTTTAATACACCAAATGCAAAAATTAAGTATCAAGTCTCAGATGAATTAAAGAAGATATTTTTTGAAACATTGACTTCAGGTAAGAGTTTTTTGATATGTTAATAATTTCTGTGTTTTCATTTAACTCACTTGCATATATTATTTTAGCACAACCAAACTCTGAAAGTGCAATACATATAAGTAGAGTACGCCAAACAACAAAATGCATGAATGTCATAATAATTAATAATAATGAATTCATCGAACTCGCCAAATCTTTATTGAGTGAAAATAAAATTTTGCCAGATCCACCCACAATCAACATCTCATCGGATTTTTATTGGAAATGTGTTACAATTACAAATGAAGAAGCTGTGAATATTTTTGTTAAAACCGTAGGACAAAATAATTCTGTGTGGCACGAAGAAAGGAAAAAAAGAATTACTGGTAGCATTTGCTACGAAATTTTCACTTACTGTACAAATAGAAATCCTGATTGGGAAAAAAAAGTATTAAGAATTTTCAATTCTGATTTTAAAGGAAATGACAACACCACACATGGAATCGTCAATGAAAGTGTAGCATTGAAAATTTATAGCAAACAATTTGGATTTAATATTTCCAAAGCAGGTTTTTTTGTACATCCTAAAGTGCCTTGGCTGGGATATAGTGCAGATGGCATAAACGTTGAACAAAATTGTTTGGTAGAAGTTAAATGCCCTATTGATGGGAAAAAAATGTCTGCAAATCTGTTGTTACAACATTTGCCATTTTTGAGTGTTCAAACTGATGGTTCAATAATTTTAAAAAATAATCACAAGTATTATGGCCAAATCCAGCTTGGTATGTTACTTTTAGGGCTGTCAAAATGTCATTTTATAATTTTTTCTTCCTTTGACGATTCCATTGTTGTTTTAGAAGTATTGTACGATAAGGACTTTGCTTTGAATATGTTTTATTCGTTACATGATGCTTACTTTTTAAATATTTTACCAGTATTAGAGAAAAGTATATTTAGTTGAGAAGTTTGTTCAGTTAACCAAACCAAAGAATAATGAATTATGTTTGTTCATAATATTTTAGAATAATAAATGAAAATAAAAATACAAAATAACTTTTGTTCACATTATTTTTAATTATCATAAGCTATAAATTTATCTGCACTCAAAATAGGTGTCTGTAAATTTGTGAGTGCGCATACAACATTCATAATTAAATCAATATAAGGTATGATTGTAGTTTCTAGAGGTAATCTTAAAATATTGAATTGTCTGATTCGTTGAATTTTTCTCTCTACATGAACTCGAGCTGAAGCTATATCTCTATTTGATGTTGACTGTTGAGGAGTAAATTGAGAATTTTTTCTGAGAAATGGAGGTCTAATTAACTTTATGCCCAGCTCAGCGCATTCTTTATCAATTAAAAATCCTTTATCGACCATCACTGCATCCACACCTCTTTTAAGTCGGTCCAAGAGTCTTGAGCGTAGAAAGATTTGTTTATCTGACACTCTTCCTCCATAAGCTTTACTTACAAATGTAGTCAATCCAGACGGTGCAACTCCAATCATGAACTTGACGGTATGATNTTTTTGCGTGTTATTTTGTGGATTTTCGGGCGGCTCGAGGGTTCACCAATCGACCGATGGTGGCGCGACGTGCATCGTTTAATCCCCAATACGTCGTGTACGCCACATGCCTCCGCAGTGCGGAGAGCGCACACTCGCGCACACGAGCGAAGTAGTATAGAGTATAGACAGCTGCGTGACTCCTGTACACAACTTTGCCCCTTTCCCTCCCTCCCGAAAACGCGATGGGAGCACAACACACGGAGCGAATTTTGGCACACTTTTGCAGGGAGCATGCGCTCGCGCCGGCGCTCGCCGCAGCAGCCAGCAGCAGCAGGACTCTCGCGACCTGCTGCTGTGTGTGTGCAAGCTCTCCAGTGCAGCTATGCATCCTATTAATTCCTTCGTATATACGTTGTCGCGTGTATTATTGGCCGAGAGCTTGCGCGCGAGCTTGCGAGCTGCAGTAGTCACGCGACTCGAAAGCCGAGCTTTTAGCTGTTTTTAGAGAAACATGATTTTTCTCGCTCGTTTATGTTTAATTTTCTTTCTGAGAAACTTGAATCAACAACGAGCTATTTAACAACCCCCAAAGTTTTTCCGAAGAGAGACGAATTTCGATTCGGTCGTAAACGGCATAGTCGGCGGCGGCACTCGGTTTATAATTAACGAGCCACTGCTCGCCTTCACAAATTAGAAACGGGTCGTTTATACACACATGGAAAGCTTGAAAAGAAGTCCGTCGTCGGCGACTCTCTTGAACGTTCAACCGATTCACGTTCGCGCGCTCGCAAGCTCCGCTCTTGAGCGAGCGCAAAGCGGCGCGCATATAACTTCTTACGCGAGAGTTTTAATTGGGAAAAGCTCGCTCGGACGGCGGCACGCTGTACGCATAAATAATTCGTAAGCTCGAGTGGCCGAGAAATAGAGAGAGAGAGAGAGAGAAAGTTAAATGTAATATCGCTCGAACCGACTCGAGGGGTTAAAAACTTTTTTGAACCTCGAACGACGAGAAGCAATTCTATTTATATGTGAATCGCTTGGCTCATGCTGCATTGTTTTGGTTCGAGAGCATGACCGATTACGTATTCTTCATAAATTTAACTTCAATTTTCTTGTATACTTTTGTGTAATCTTTGGAAAACAAACGTATAGCGAGCGTAACTACGTGTACTCTATTTTCATGCGAAAATTGTAAACGATTTTGGAAAGTAAATGTTAATTTAGCCGCTGACGCGTTGAAAAGACAAACATGAAAAATGTCAAGTAGTTCGAGTTTATATGGCTCTTGGCTCGATAATATTTTTATGTTATAGCTTTTGGTCGCTAAACAGAAAGGACGCCGAATTGAAATTTTTCATATTATGCAGTTTTCAAAGAAGTTGATACAATAATTTCAAATCAAATTACAACGAAACAAATTAAACAACAATCATTATGTATAAAACAAAACATTGGCATTCAAAAGCGTTCTTAAAGTACATGAAAAATATTACAATGGTTTTAAGATTAAAAATTTGATTTATTTTTTTTTTTTTTATAAAAAATGTGCATACACAGTATGCAATAAATGCAATTTTTTCGTTGCACGTAAGCTACGTGTAAAATTTTTTAGTGTGTAATACACTTTACATATTTATATATTCACAATTATTTTGATACAATTATAAAAAGACATCTATCAGTGCTTAATATCTTCTTTTTTTTTTAATTAGTCTACGCAGTCGATATAAAATAATATCTTATGAGGAATTGATTTTTCCACGAATCGCAGTTCGAATTACACTTTTAATAATTACTACTATCTAGGGAGCGAGTTCAAATCGTCGTGATATCAAGTTCGAAAGAGTCCGAGTATATTGATTGATAAATAATGGCAAGCTCGATATTTACAAAAAAGTCTATAACTGATAAAATTTACGCAATTTGTCATGAAAGAAAAACACTTAATTTCGTACAGTAATTATGAATGAATCAAAACCCATAAAAATTGATTTTTACGTTGAAGATTATTCAAATAAATCACTTCTCGACTAGATTTCATGAGTGGGTTGAGATTTTCCAAGACAAATTTATTTTTCGATTTCGGTATGTAATTTCAAAATGAAATGAAATGGAAATAAAAATTTTAATATCTTTTTTTTCATGCCCATATGAACCCGTGACATGATCTTACGAACATTTGTAAATAACTTGACATTGAAAATAACTTTTGACTGAAAACTTTGTCACAATTTATAATGTCGAGTTATCCGCAATAGATTGAAGATTCTTGGACTTACAGTTCACTTTTTTTCTCTAGAAGTTTGGAAATCTGCACTGCACATCGGAATAGGAAACTTGGCAGACATATTGGTGTAGTAATGACAAAAAGAGACAATTGTCACGCTTGAAAAAGTTAAGAAAATGGCAAGCAAAGAAATAAAAAGTTAAAATTAATTATCGTATCTCGGACTCTTTCAAATAATACTCAAGAAATGTGTTAAATTTCACGTTCGAGTTGAATCGCGTTTATCACAGATTGACTAAAAATGCTTTTCTAGCTTAAAATTTTTTTGACAAAACAATGAGTCAAAATAAAATCACAATGAGAAAACTTCACTGAATAAATTTCAAAATATAGACGGAAATCTTGATGTAAAAACTGGATGCTTGTAAGGACCGCATTTGGGAATTGAATATTTATTCAAGAAATCACGCCACATGTCTGGAATTCTTCTCGATTTATACAGTTAACTGCTGGCTAAATGATCAAGAGAAGTGACAGAAAAATATATTTTACAAGATGCAAGTATAATCACTTAAATCATACTAGTGTGAGTTTTTAAAAATTAAAGTATTGTATGAATTGAAAATTCATATTCGTTTTTTAAAAACGATAACTTATAAGTTATAAGGTTTGTCGCTTGATACATTCTCAAGGCAATAAACATTTGAAAATTCAATTTTTCATGTTACAGTAGTTTACAAAACATAAAATTCAGTCATACAAATAGAAGTTTCATGCATTTTGAATAATCATTAACAAAATGAATTGCGCAAAACCCCTTATAGTAAACTTACAAGGTGTATTTACTTCTAAATAATATCTTAGTACTAAATCAAAAAATGAAATATCTTATATTATCCATCAACAAAACCATCATTCCTGAACAAGGCATAATGATAGACCTAATGACTAATGTGATGAAACGTTCATTTACAATATTAAGAAGTTTGTACGATTTGCATCATCGGTATTGGTATAATTCAATGACTAACAACTCTTAGAATTACTACCTAGATGCATTAACATTCTTTCGGTACGATATTTACAAAAATTTGTCACTGACAAAATGTATTTACATCCACAAAACGTCGTTTCTTATTATAATTAGTAAACTTGCAAAAAAATAAGACATGTTTTACATTGGAACTTAGCTCCTTCATGTTACTTGGCTGTACTGGTTTCACAATTCTTACGAATTTTAGATGATTTTTCAAACTACCGTATTAGTAGTCAATACTCGTATAGTAGAATTAAAGTAAATTGATTTCAAAACATAATTTTATACATATAACATTAATACGTATTTCAATATTGATGCATCAAAGAAAAATGTTTTTAAATATAGAAACATTCAATGGACATTTGAACTTTTAAATTTAAAAACATTTTGGCTTCTTCGAAATGATCATTAAGATAAAATAATATTGAGCGAAAGAAAGTAGAGTGGAGCTAAAGATGGGTGATTTGGTTTTGTCACAAAACCAAAAATGAAAAATTAAGATTTTGTAGAAAGGCATTGTGTTTGTTTTAGTTACACACGACTAGTGATAGCATCTTTTAACCATAAACATTTGATTTACAGAGCAATAAATGAGTTGTAAAATCACAACTTTTTTTGAATATGTACCAATTATCAAGGATTATATACAGCGTGTACATATCCAACTGAAGCCGAGTAGCAGTCACTCGTTGAACGCATCGCTTCTATTGCTGACATCTTGATCGCGGTTGCAACTTCTTCAGCTTATAAATAATTTCTACCAGTTTTGACCACCCCTGCCTCTACCTCTATACATGTTACCTCCACGGAAAGGGCTACCTCTGTGAGGTTTCATACCGCGAGGTCCGAGATTCGAGCCCGGAGACGTCGGTTGAAAGTTTCCCATGGGCATCTGTCGTTGATGGCCGCCTCTATCCATCCAAGGTGGCCGTGGACTGCCACCAGGCGCACCGGATCCTCGAAACGCTGGATTTCCTCGTCCTCGGCCCCGTGGCATGGGTCCACCACCCCTAAAAAGTACTCGATTAATTGCCAAGCTGATAAAGTACATACTTTGAAAATTGACGAGCGGCGTACCTTCCCATTTGATTATCGAAAAATTCCTTTGATTGAGGGTGTTGATGGAAATCTTGTGGCTGATTTGGAGAAAAATTGGGTTTAAAGTCTGGTGTATTTTGATGAAACGAATGATTAGGCCGGAAATCCATGGGTTTATTGGATCGAAAATCTTGTTGTTCTTGATGGAAATTCGACTGTCCTTGCTGAAATTGCGGCAATGGCGGAGGAGGAGGAGGCCTGGTATCTACTCCTCGCAAATCTGTCGAGATATTACCCATTCTTGATCCACCCTAATGAACGAATCAAATAATTTAATACACTTGGCCATACTTTGATCAAAGAATTGTGTAAAATAAATAAAAATATACTTACGGTCGGCGCTGTTCGCATATCCATATCTTTTACGTTTGATCGTGACATTCCAGAAGGAGGTGGCACAGGCGGTAAATTAGGAATACGCATATCACGATCTTGAGATCGCAAATCTACTAATACTCTGTTAGCTTTTTTCGACTCTGCCTCCTCATCCGACATCTCCATGTCAACACTTTCTACATTATCGCCGGGAGCTTGCATATTCGGTCTTCTATAACATTAAAAAATGATCGTTCATTTTTAAATCTCAATGATGAATATAATTATTTACATACCTATAATCCTGATCCATATTTGACCACAAGTTATTAGAAGATCCCGATGGTGCATCGTTACTATTATTTGCCGGACTTCCCGTAAGACTGATAAGATTCCGATGGTCGACATCAACATTTTTTATCAAACGATACGGCATATCTTTCTCAGCTTTCATCGAAACCGGCAAAACCCTGTAATTTAATAAAATATAGTCAAGTTGCAGTCAAGATAAAGTTGTATGTGATTATGGTGTTTTTAAAAAAAAAGTGTTTGCCTATGATCAACGTCTCCAATACTACTAAGTAGAGGTTCTTGTGTTTGTGAGTCATTGTATTCCAAAGGAGTGTTAAAACTTGTTTTTTCGTACATTGGTGGAGATTCAGGAGTTTCCGAGAGCATCATATTTTTTTCATCCATACTTTCATTCCAAGCTGATTCGCTGTTGTTGAGGCTCCATTGATCGTTGCTCGACTCATTCCATGAAGGTTTTAGTTTACCATCTTGAACCGGCCAAATTGGATTAGTATCATTGTGTACAGGAAATACCACTGATATAAAATTATATTCATTTAATATTCTTAAGACTAATAAAAAATAACTCAGGCATTTCAAAACAAACCTTTTTCTTTAGGGGCTTCATTGGCAAAAGTCCATGTAGGGAATTTAGGAGGTAATTTGTTATAACATGTGTTATCATCCAAAAATTCTATAGGGGGCATGGGGGGAGGTAGAAGGGGATTAATTGGATTTGGTGCTGAGTCAAATGCATTTAGTGGTATCGATGTGTTGTTTTGACTACTTTCACTAGAGTATGGAGATGGAGTATGCGATTCACCATTTATAATACGATTTTGTAATGGTGTACTATGACTCATGTGAATTTGATTCAAGTTTCCTTTGGGTGCATTAGGAACATTCATCATTCTATCAACTGTTGGTGCCATGCCTACAACAGGTGGAGGACGATAATCATTTTGGATTGGCCTCTTATCAGACATCATGTCTCCAACATCTAACCCAAGCCCTGGTATAGCAGGTGCTTCATCACTTGCAGGTAGCACCGTTTTTAAGTAGTTGGAAACTGGTTCATTAGAATTATCTTGTACTAAAGAATTCCTTGCATCTATTTTCTAAAAAAAAAAGTGGTTTTCATTTTATAGTGTTTTACAATTTTTTTTATAAATGTTCTAAAAAGTGTTTTAAAATTTTTGTAAATTTCCTTACATCTATAGAGTCATACTGGTTGCTGTTATTGGATATATTAGAAGAATCATTGAAAACATTTCTCTAAAAATAAAAGTTTTCAAATTAGCTTTCATATTACTTTTTTTTTAATGCAACTGAAGATTAAAAATACTCACAGCATCAAAATCAATGTTCCCTCCCATAAATGAAGAAAAATTGTTGCTGAAATCTCCTGATGAGTTATTACTCAGGGCAGTAAGGGGATTATAATCTTGACTGAAAGATCCATACATAGTAGGTGGAGCAACATTTATCAAAGAAGATTGGTTCATTGGATTTTCTTCAGGAAGTTCTATATCACTGTCTGGGCTTGGAGAGGGAGCATTTATGTCAGGTGAAGGAAGCGGTGATGCTAACATAGGTATTAGTTCATCTAATTTTTTCTTTAAATTTTTGACTCTTCCACCAAAATTTCTATAAGCCTAAAAACAACAAATTATATCTTAAAATCCTGAATTTAGTTTTATATTATGAAGACTAGAAATTAATGATTCTACATACATTCACAACAATTTTTACTTCTCCTCTCTGAGTTTCATAAAATTGATCAGCTTGATCTAATAAGTCAAGAACTTGTTTTCTTTCTCCAATTTCAGCCTCCAGAGCTTTGATATAGTTTTCTATGCTTTTAGTAGCAATATCAACTTCTTTTTCTGCATCTTCTACTCTTCTACGATCTTTTAAAGATGAGCGTAGTTCTTCAAGATTATTAAAATCAGTATTAGTATCTCTAAGATCTCTCAATCTTGCATCAGTGGCTTGTTCCAGTGTAGCACATGATCTCATAGTTGATATAAGAAGTGGAGCTTGAAATTCTTCTGGTTGCACAGGCTGAGGTTCAACTTTTTTCTTTGGTGCTGCAGAAATGAGACCAGATAAATCTGCCAAAAACTCTTCATCGTAAACTCCTCTCTGATCCCAAATTTTAAAAATTCTTAATATACGGTGTTTCACTTTTTCGTCCCGAACCATAGTGGTGGCTCTTTGCAACGCAGTTCCCCATGATTCCACAAACTCAAAATTTTTTCTTTTGGAGTATTGTATTACATCATTTGCCAAGTAAAATAATGTCAGTCTGTGTTCAACTTTAACTGAAATAGACATATTAAAAGTTGCAATTTAAGTCATTTAGAAGTACTTGAACAGACTTATAATTGAATACCTTTTTTGAGTACTTGTAGCCAAGTTGCAACAATTTTTTTGTGATGTGTTCGTCTTTCAAGACACCATGCTGAAAGACTTTGAATAGATTCTTGTGAATCTTTCAATGATTGGAGTTTCCTCTCAAATGCCTCAGCATCAAATTCCGTAGAAACCATTTTTATGTTCTTAAAACTCTAGATCACATAGATGAACAATTGGCATATCTGTAAAACATGTTATCGAACAAGTTTAGTTAAAAATCCTTTTATCAAATAAATAAAATAAGAATATCTTGAATGTTACTGATTGATAACTCCATTGCAATGATTTGAATAAAAAAGGATTAAAAGATATTTTAGTTAGACTCTATTGCAAGATCAAAAAAGCATCACAAAATTAATAATTAAGTACTAACAAATGACGACGAAATACACAACATATGAGACAATTGTTCAAGTCCGGAGTCACTTGTAAATAAAAGCACAAAAGTGAAACAAAACCGCACGAACGAAATATCTGCCCGAAAATCAAAACTTATCCCCCCAAAAAAAGAAAACATTTACATTTTCTCGCTGATCCGAACGTTGTTGGGATGCGGGCGAGAATCGCGGGGCATCGTTATCTTGACAGCAGAGCGAGATTTTTCCACGCACTTCGTTATCCACCATACAAAACTCTAGGTTATGACTGACGTAGAACCATCGGTGCATAACCAGTTGACTCGACTCGCGGGACAGGCGTAGCAGGCGCGCACACAGCGTCGCGAAAAGCCTCGCCGCAACAATCAGCCGAGGTGTACCAATCGACGGCGAACACTCTGTTATGCGTTAATAACGAAGCACGATGCGACTCGCGGTCCTCGCGATCGAAATCAACAATCGTGTCCCTTTATCGCGCATACATATAAACTCTGCGGTCACAAATCACAATGTGCATGTATACAGCGAAGCGCGAGCTTATGACGATACAACACACACAAGCACACAGACACGCGCGGCTCCGATTTTCACCGCGACACAATCGTCTACGAGTTCAACGTGAAATTCGCACGAGCGGCTCGCGATGCATCGGTGGATCAGCCTCTGCGGTGCACCACGAACGCGAGCGAGACTCGTGCGTGCAGACTCTGTTTCGCGCGGCGTCTCGCTGGTGGTAGGTGTGCGACCTGCCTGTTTTTTTTTTTTTTTTTTTTTTCCCGAATACCGGGTCGTCACTGTGCGTGGGGCGCGTGTGTGTACGCGTATACGTATGTATGTAGTAATCCCCTTGGCGTGTTTTATTATTGGCACTCGACGACTGCTATGCCGCAGGCTCCTCGACTACGCGAAAACACGTCTCCGCCATTTTTCGCTATATACATATAAATACTGCCGCGGTGATGATCGCTGTTCGACCGACTGAACTGCGAACTTCGGCGAGGATATAATATGTATCGCATTATAGGGGTATATATATCTATATGTATTTGTTTGTAAGGTTTTATATCACGCAAGCGCGTAATGCAGCTGTGGCGGGCGGCGATTTGTTGGCGAATTTTTTGCTTCTTTCCTTTTTTTTTTGCAGCGTAACTTGAAACTCCGTCGTGAGCGATTAGGGAGAATACACGAGAGACATTTAAAAATCCAACGATTTCTGGGAATAAGATTATGGCGTTTAAAGAGCGTACTTGCAGCTGGAGAGAAATGATAACATTACGTTTGGTTTTTACAAATTTATAAAATAAAATATTATTTATTTTCATCGGTTGTAAACAATTTCAACATTACATTATATTACAAAAAAACAAGTACAATTACTTTACAGGGAAAACATTCAATGTTTTCGTTTTTTGGCCAAGGGATTACCCTCTCTCGATTGGAATTTGGTTTTGGCACTAGTTCTGGCTTCCTTGGTTCTGTCAAATTTCCTTTTACCTTTGGTGGTGAATCCAGCCAAAGTTCTCAACGATGGTGGCACTATGTACGAGGGGACATCTTTCAGATGGGGTTGCAATTTTACAGTGTGAAGAGCTTTGTCTTGTTTGAGAGATTCAAGATCTCTTGGATTATCTTGGAAATAAGATTTCAACTTTTCACAGTTCAGCACCTCAGCTTTTATTTCTTTGAGACGTGCTTCTCTTACTGCGATACGTGTAACAGCTTTCCAAGCATCTCTTGATCGATACCTGAATCCGTCAGCTTCTTTAAGATCAAATTCATACTTTTGGAATACATTCTCTTGTTTATAATAATCTTTGAGATGATCCTTGACTTCCTCAAGTAATGGTTGTTCTCTTATCGCAATGAAGTTTATAACAAAACCTTCATTGGTACCTCGAGCTGTGCGACCAGCTCTGTGTATGTATGAGTTGATGTCAAGTGGAAAATCAAAGTTTAAGACATTGGAAACAAATTGAAAATCTATACCACGTGCTACACCCGATTCTTTATCCTTCTTCCTTTTACTCTTCTTTTCTTTTATCTTGTGTGGCTCATCTAAAGATTTTTCATCAGATGCAATTATAATTTCATAAGTACCATTATTAAATTGTGATACTGCTCTGCATCTGGATACAGCAGGTAATTCTGAATTAAGTACACATGATTTAATGCCAAATTGTTCCAAAAATAACTTGAGCTTGTAACAACGATCAACTGTATTGACAAATATGATAGTCTTGCCTCTGACCAAACTCAATTTCAGTAAGGAGTACAGAATAGCAGCTTTGTCATTTTCTTCAGCATTTAAAACATACTGTTTGAGCTGAGTTGATGGGGCAATTGGAGCTTCTTCCAATTTTAAAATAGCTGGATTACGTAAAACTAATTTTTTTAAAGTTAAAACATCTTCTGACAAAGTAGCAGAAGCTAAAACTGATTGATGATTACTAGTTAAGAAAGTTAATACTTCCTTGATTTGTTCTTCAAAACCAAATGAGAAAACCTAAAAGATTATAAAATGAGAAATTATAATTGAAGCTTGTTGAAATAAATAATAGAGCAAATATAAAATTTTAATTATTCCTTACCAAGTCAGCCTCATCAATGATTAGAGTCTTCAGGTTTTTGACATTTAAATTGTTAGCTTTCAATTGATCTAATGCATTACCCGGAGTGGTAACAACTATGTCAGGATTGTCCTTTAACAAGGGTTTATGAGCATCTGTAACCAATTGTTGACTCACATCAACAACTCTGACTGATTTGCGACAGCTGGACGTAAGACCTATGATCACTTCATAGATCTGTTTGCACAATTCTCTGCTTGGTGCAAGTACCAAACATCTTGTCTTACGAGGTGCATCAACATTTCTATCTTTGTGTTCTAAAATGTCCTGAATAACAGGGATTATAAACGCACCAGTTTTTCCAGAACCAGTTCTGGCTCTGAGCAAAACATCTTTTCCATTACGAATGAGTGGGATGGTTTTTTCCTGGATAATCGTTGGCTCGGCCCATCCCAATTTTGCAATACTCTGCACAAAAAAAAACCATCGAATGTCAACTTTATTCACAAAATCAAAGCGGAGTTAAATATATTTCAAAAAACAACGTGCAGTACAAACCTTCAATAATCTATCGTCCAAACCAAACTCGTGAAACTGTTTCGCCTCTTCCTCGTCGGAAGACACGACGGGTTCGTTTTCATTATCACTCATATTTATTATTGTTTTTATAAATTAAAATCACTTGAAATACCAACAATTACGAGAAGTAACCTACAGCACGTGTGTCGATTCGAACGACTATGCTAGAGGCTGCTGCACATGTTCACTTTTCGTTCGCATGCCGGCGCCGTGACAATCGCTGGCGCGGCGACGCGAACGAAAGCGTGGCAATTTCAAAATAATTGTTTTTTATTTTACTACATTTAAACGGTGATACGCCGCCACGGGTGGGTAAAAGGTAAGGTTTAATTAAACCGAAAATTGGAACAACATTACAATTTTAATAATTATAATCTTTATGGAATTATATGAAAAAATAATCAAAAAGATAATGAAAAAAATACCGTAAGATATCAAAAATATTAATTAGGCATTAGCGTTGGAACGTATACTAGCAGATGTCAAGCGATAAGGAACAAAATACATCATTGAGATAGTAATATTCTTTTTTTGCGACCTATACGTAAGAATAATTAACAACATCTACTGAAACTTTTTTCAGTTTTTCAGAATTAAATTGCTTCTTTGCCTCAATTTCCTACGCGACTTCTTAGTCCAATCAATAAAGGTTTTATCTGGTATTTATTCTACAAGTCTTCATGAACAAATTATCGTTTTTATTATTGCAAATTGACTGGGAGGTCTCTATCTTTCATTTGCGACCTGTCTGGTCTTCGTACGTTGAGCCAACAACAAAGTTAATTAACATTCACTAGGGGAGTGTTTTTTAATAAACAAATGCAATATCTCGATAAATAATGCACTTAGCGAGATTTTGAAAAATGCATTGAATTCTGCGTAACGAGGGCTACATTTTCTCAAGATTTCATTGCCGTAGCACGTTTTAATAAATAATTATAAACAATTGTAAAAACGGCCACTTTTAGAGGTTTTTTCGACCTAGAGAATAAATAAATGGACGAAAAAATATGAAAAAAATACCAGAATAAAGGACTTGAAAATGCCTACAATTTTTGTTTGAAACATTTTATCGTAAAACTTATACTTTACGAGTTAAAAATTATAATATGCTTTTTAGCATTTTTAAAGGCTTATAAACAAAAACGCAGGATCAAAAAACAGTGGCATTTTGTGAAAATTAGTTGTTTAGGGTACCCAGAATAAGAATCCATCGTAAAATTCTGGTTGCGAATTTTTTTTTTAACATAAAGACAGATTTTCATCGATAGGGCTATTCTCTCTTCAAACGACTTCTCTATTCCAAACATCAACATAACATGGGATTTTGTATCCTTCGCGATTTATATCAGTCGTCAAACATCTTCCAACAAAATAAGTTCGATTTATTCTATTAGATAACATCGAAATTACGCGTACTATGCGTGCCTGCGAATATTTTTGTGGTGCCATCGTGGACGATAATGAATATGAAGTTAGTTAATTCAAAATATAGATCTTTTTGAATTATTGTGATCTGTTAAATTTACTAATTTTTTAAACGAATATTGTTTTACAGGCACACATCGAAATTTGTGTTAACCGATTCAGAGATATTTGGTTACCACCACACGGCCCTGATAACAGGGTAGCATTTAACCGACATATAATCCGGAATATTGAGCCAGCAGACAATGTGGAACTGAACGGGGCATGGGCTCACGTTTTAGGAAAATCTCTTGAGAGTTAAATCAAACGTCAAAAATTAAAATTTTGAATAGAATCGAAGTGGAGATAATCATAAAATAAAATATTTTTTGTAGAGGCACTGCGGCAATAATATCTGGATAGAGGAGGTCGCATATCATAATGCAAAAAACAAAGGTGCCAATGCCAAAAACTCCTTCTCGCAATTTGTCAAAGAAATTGCATGTTCGATAATCGGTATAGAAGGCTTAACAGAAGCAACACCAACTGGTAAGCCAAGGCAAAGAAAAAAATCGACCCAATATTGTTGGGAGCAGTGTATGGTAAAGTTAATTTATTTTTTTCGTTTTGTGGGAACTTAGCTTAAGGGACGTTTCCAATTAAATGCATATTCATGGGCCAGCTTTTTCATTATATATGTTCTTTTTTCAGGTATTTATCAGCATTATTTGGCTAAAGAAAAAAACATGGACCCCATACAGGCAGCAGCAGAACTAAAAAAAGTGCACTCGTACCTTTCGCAAAAAAATCATGATTTGAATTCTAAAAAAAGAGCGAAAAATGGTCCAAATTCTGATAAAAAGAAAAAAGCTCGAGTTAATAAAAGATCAAAGAAAACGCAGAAAGATAAAGAAGAAAGTGAAAGCGAGGAAGAGGATGGTAGTGATGAAATGAATGAATTTAAAGAAAATACTAAAAAAAAAGATGGAAATAATACAAATGAAGAATCTGAAGATACAGATCAAAAAAATAAAGATAAAGACAAAGATTCTAGCTCAAGCTCGAGCTCGAGCTCTAACTCAAGCTCAAGCTCAAGTGAAGCCGAATCTAGCGATAGTGATATGGATGTAGAATGAAGTTTTTAAAATGCGTTCTTTTAAAATATTGTAGGAGTTAATTTACCTATAGCTGGAAATAAAAACCCTCATAATACTAATATTGTTGAACATTTCCATAAAACTACTGAACCTATGCAGCAAGGTAATTTAATAAAAACATGTTCGATTCCCGTGATATCTTTTTATTAGAAATTACTTTAACTACTGCTAAAAAATATAATACAATAAACCATTTTATCATCAAAATATTCTTTGAAAAACCATCGAATATCCATAAAAAATCCATTCATTTAAATCGATAAAATCATTGATTTTCACGGTAAAAAACCAATATAATACGATAAATTATTTTTATGTGGATCAGAATATTCTTATAAAATCGAATGAACTTGGACGAGAAATTCCGATAAAAACGAGTATAGCTCGTATGTATAGTACCTTTAAAATTTAAAATTGTTTTATTTATAGTGTAAAAATAATATAATACTATAAAAAATTTAATTTCGAATCAGAATATCTTCATATAAACCAATAGACATGAAGTAAAATTTTGGTAGGCCCCTGACATTGTTCTGATAAAAATGTACTGTTCTATGATTTAAGGTTTTGATATACAACGATAAAACTTATGAACTTTGTACAACTTGAACTTTTTAACTGTTTTTTATAATCAACCTAGTATAAAACTCATCGTACTAATTATACACATATACATAAACATTTTCAAACTTATAAAAATATTTAGGAATATCCGGGTGCAGATACCTCATAAAAACTGACCGGATATTTTTTTTATCAGTATTTATAGGTTGGTTTCAACTGGGGTGTCATTTATGTTATTGCCCACAATTATAATTATTACTTATGTTCATATTCATTGAAAGTATTTAAAATTTTTATACTCGATATTTCATATAGACAAGAATTTCAAGGAATTTCATGCATAAATTTTATTTACATTTTACGGTAAAATGTTGCTTGTTCATGTTACATATGCAAATGCCCGACCCGACTAGCAGCCCTCGCTTCGCTCGGGCGTGCAAATGTCGCGGGCATTGGCAAGAGCATTATGATGTGAAAATAAACTACTAATAGATCGAGTTTTTCACTGGGTATGTGAAAATATACTATTTTTCTGCAAATATGAAAAACTTGTTGTATTTGATATCAGATTTGTCTCAAAAAAATTTTAAAAAAATGGAGGCCTTCTATGACACTTTTTCAAAGGCCCAAAGTTGGCCATTTTAGCGTTTTTTGAAAATTCATGAAAAATCATAAATATTTAAATAATTCCTAGATTGAAGTAGAATGATTCAAAAGTAAAAGTGCCTCTGAACTTTATTGTTGAAAATTGTCCAAATTTTCAGAGAAAACCCATTCCAACGTGATTGCAGAGCAATACCTGCGGGGTTAATAAACGAAAATAACTAGAAAAAAAAAACAAAAAATCTAATCGAGTTCGAACCGGACTTTTATTTCCAAAACTATGTAAAAAGCTTCCTAAAGATGTCAACTACTACCTGATAAAGGTTTGTAATGAGTCTTACAGTGTAACGCAATGTGGACAACAATACGTGTCGAAAAACGTGCAGTAAAGGTCTGAACAAGGGTGTTTTTAGTGATTTTAGGCATTGTGGGCCTACTTTTGACCTTTTTAGCACGTTTTTCAACACATAATGTTGTCCACATTGTGTGACACTGTAAGACCCATTGCAAAACTTCTATCAGGCAGTAGTTAACATCTTTAGAAAGCTTTTTACATTGTTTTGGAAATGAAAGTCCAGTTCGAACTCGATTAGATTTTTGTTTTTTTTTCTAGTTATTTTCGTTTAATAACCACACGGGTTACCCCAATCGCTTTGGCATACTTTTTTTTCTGAAAATTTGGACAATTTCCATCAAAGAAGCTCATGGGCCTTTTCACTTTTGAATCATTCTACTTTAATCTAGGAATTATTTAAATATTTATGATTTTTCATGAATTTCCAAAAAACGCTAAAATGGCCAACTTTGGGTCTCTAAAAAAGTGTCATAGAAGGCCCCAATTTTTCTAAAATTTTTTGGGACAAATCCGACATCAAATACAACAAGTCTTTCATACTTGCAGAAAAAAATTTTTTTTCGTCATTCGACTTTACAGAGAATCGGCCATTTATATGAATTTAACAAAAAGCTCGTTAAAATTTTTATTATTCCATTTAAGTTTATTTATAAAAAATTTTTCGTGTCACTACATATTACACAACTCTTTTCGTACCGTACAATTTCCTAAAGCATATAACTGCCAAAATATTTACATTTTTTATAGAAACTATTCTAAATTTTCTTCGTTTGTATGCTCACATAGATGAAGGATATCTTCGTCACTCATGTTTTCGGCAATTGTCCGGCAGGCAAGGTACGGAAGATTCAATGTGTAATAATCAGTCATAAAAAGATCAGCTGCGAATAATTCCAAATGTGGTCTTATCAAAATGTTTGCAATGTGTCTTTTTACCATGAGATTTATTGGATTATGCTCCAAGCTATTCAATGACGATAAATTCAAATTCTTTATTTTTTTCAAAATTGAGTAACCTTTACTGTAGTTCATTTGGCATAATTGGTAAAGCGATATATCGTTGTTTAGCTTAACGGCCTTTAGCTCTGTAATATCTTTCTCCCAATCGTTCCTATGCCTATGAATGAAAATGCAGTCTATCGCTTGAAGCGTTCTCCATTGTAAATCATCCTTTTGTTGGCGCAAATAATCTATGAATTCTTGTTTAAAAAAAAAACCATATTTTTCGTGCATATAAATATGATAAATAAATGCGTAATATGTCGCATATTCTTTAGGATCTTCTATTTCGTAAAAAGGAATTATATGTTCAGTACCGTTCCCTCTTACTCTCATCCAACATTTGAGCATCAAAAATCTAGTTTTGAAGTCCAGTATATAGCCAGCTGACTGCAATAATTGTATCACCTCGATAATGTTAAAAGTCAAAGGGTAGTTCTTCAACTCAATTGATTCAAAATTCTGACTAAATATTTTTTCTTCATTCAAACTGTCCAGACTCGCCCCGTGTTTCAAGAGTGACTTAACGAGCTGCTTATCATAACGGCAAACCGCCAACTGCAGCGGGGAATCTCCGTACTCATTTCGTGCTTCGATGTTCGCTTTTTTCTTAACGAGCATTTCAACGATCTTCTCTACTGGTTTTCTATAATCACAAAAAGATTCATAAGAGCCGCAATCGCACAGACACATCCACGCGAGGGCGTGCAGAGGGGTCGACTTTAGGTGGTCCTCCTGATTTGGGTTGGCTCCATTCTCCAATAAAAGTTGTACGATGCATTCTTGTCGATATTGGGCGGCGATGTGCAAGGGTGAACATTTCCACGAGTCGAAATTAACGTCGATACCTTCATTTATGAATCGGCGTACTGTTACTAGGTCGCCAGCCATGCAAGCTGCGTGAAAGCCCGAGTAGCCATGCTCGTCGATGTGGTTTTTCTGTAAATCCTTTACAAAAAATCGAACAATTTTTATGGTCCCTGCACGGGTCATATAATTTCTATGACTGGATTCGTTTAATTCGGCTAAGTAATGAAACACAGAATATCCGTCTTCGAAAAGAAGCTCGAGAATATTTACATTGTTTTCTTGAAGCAGTTGTATGATTCTTAAGGAGCGATATTTTAATGCGTATTTTAAGAAGTAAAACGTATCTTTGGAACAGGGAAATAAGCTTTTACAATTCAATACCTCTAATACAACCTCACGCATGAAATTGTTTTCTTCATATGACTCCATAAAGTAGCAAAATTGTTGGCGCCTGGCGTCAACATTTTTAATCCTTCGAAGTTCACGTTTTAGATCACACAGTTGTGAATAATATTGTGTATAATTATAGTGATTGTCTTCTAATGCCATAATGGAAAAAAACACTTGGTGAATTAATTTTTTGAATCCAACACTAAGCACGTGGACGACACACTGCACTAACCGTTGAGAGAGATAGAGAAAAAAAGAACGATTATTGGATGACGCACTGAGATATATAGGCTGACTTCTGAAACCATGTGGTCTAGTATATTTTTTCTGGCTCCGTAATAGAATAGTAGATTTTCTTACAAGGGGGAGAAATGAAACTTCCGCATGCACGTGATAACGACGCCGAGGCGAAGCCGTATAATATATTGTAAATTAAATATATTGTTTAAATATATTGTATTTTATCGTAAAACTTATACTTTACGAGTTAAAAATTATAATATGCTTTTTTGCATTTTTAAAGGCGTATAAACAAAAACGCTGGAACAAAAAACAGTGGCATTTTATGAAAATCATTTGTTTATAGGTACCTAGAATAAGAATTCGTCGTAAAATTCTGGTTACGAATTTTTTTTTTTTATTATAGTGACAGATTTTCATTGATTGGACTATCTCTGTTGATGCAAGAATTAAAAAAATCGATAACAAATTACGGCTTTTTTAATAAACAAAATTTTGCGGTACTAAGACAGTTATCAGTTTATCAGCACTGTGCCGCGTGCTTCGTCGTGCCTACCGAAGGGGGCGCGTGACGACTACGATTTCGCGCATGGTTTACTACACTACACGCACTGCACACAGTCAGTGCTGCAGACTCACGGCATGATTATATTTTTCCTCGCGGAGATCGCCTACGCTCGTAAATTTAACACCACTACACGTTTCCCGAGTGTAGTATAACAGGCATATATACACGAGGATAATAATCATAAAGCAGCTGCCAGTCAACGGCCGAGCCGACGCGATCGCGAGACGCAATCCAGCAGCAGCACTGCCCAAATGAAGATAAAGCTGCTCGTTTGTGCCCAAACCAAACAACACGTCGTCGTCGCCTGATTCCTGAACGGACAGGAATCGTGACTCGCGAGAGAAAAAGAGAGTCAGCGTTTTACTTCGCGCGACCAATGCAGCAACGGCAACAGCAGCAGCAGCAGTTGTGCCTAACCATTTTTTTTCCTTGTCTCGCATCGATTTCTCCAATATTCGAGACAATATAAGAACGCGATAAAGAGAGAGAAATACTCTCGGGAGTTTTTCGGAACACAGCGTCGGTTGCAGCAGTGTAGTGGCCCGTTCGTACATAGTACGAACATAACGCGCGTGTGCGCGAGTGCAAGAGATTCCTTCGGTCTCTTTACAAGATTTCTCCGGCGGCCGGAGTTTTTAGTCTGTGTATCGTACGCACGGAGAAGACACGGCTCTACGGAATCATAACCCGCAGCCGAGTCGAGCAATTACAGTGAGTTCACTTTTATACAACATATATACATAACAACGGTGAGAGACAGAGGCAAGCATCACAACAGTTCGCTTCGCTCGCATTTTGCAATAAAAAGTATATATCGGCTTGGAAGTTAAATTTCGCAACGAGAGGCACACCACACCGATATACATATACGCGTACCAGGCGGAGGTGGTTAGTAACCAAAAATTTTCGTACGAGTTTTTTTTTTGTTGTATTAGTGGTTTGGTTACATCATTGGCGGATGGATCGTATATAGATAAAGCATCTCTCGTGAATTGTCTCAAACGAGAAAAATTCAATTACGTGCCTCAGATAAGATAGTATACTTTTTCGTGCATTGAATTTTTATTTTCAACACATATTTTCGTTAAGTTGACGATCGAGAGATCGCTAATGGTAGTATACGAATTCGTTTCGTCGTCGTGTACACAAGGCCGTGTACGCGTGTTATTATACAGGCTGGCGATGCATCTCGAATTTCGATAAAGTGGAATTTCATGACTGTGTACTCTTGAAACGAGCCGACTTATGGTCATTCGATTAGATTTCCGAGAAAACTAAAAAACCTATGTACACACACGCACGCACGGCGCAAGCTGCGGCGCAGGCGGTTGTAGCAGTAGCAGTAGCACTAGCACAGAGCACTACTGCAACAACTACTTTCTTTGCGCTGTGTTTCGAGTCGTGACGTGACGTGTGGCTGCCCATTCACGCCAGCACCGGGTGCACGTAATTGTTATTATTATTATCATTAAACGAATCCTCGCGGAGTGAAAATTACAAAACGCATCGCGATTTGAACGCTGTATTTAATTTTGCGGGCCATTCGTCAAACGCTCTGATGTTCAGTTGTTTATTTACTCGATTTGTAATTCCGTTTTCGTGAATCATATATAATACGAGCGAACCTTGGTTCTGCAACGTTGCATCCGATTAAAAACATCGTTTTTTTTTTCTCTTACAGATATCGATGAATTTTTTTTCTCTCAACTATGAAATAAATAGTTACAAAAAGAGTTGAAAAAATTAAATGGTCGGGCTCGTTCACGCTGTAATCGATCGCGAGCACTTGGTGACACTGGAACAACTGGATTATTGCAAGTACTTATAGGTGAATATTTTTACCAAGGAATGGATCGATAATGATGATGTATTTTGTTTACGTGTAATTTTGATACAATTTTTTTCAACTTTACAGTACATACAACTGCAAAATGTATGATGGTATCTTTGAAGATTTTGAAAGACTCAAAGCTCATATCAACAAAAACGGATCTGTGGCGTATGAAGCCTCCGCATTATTCGAATTGCTCGAAGACTTATATCCTGTACACGGGTCCGAACAATCAATGCAAATAATCGCAGAAATGTACGATTTGCAATCAATCAGAGATTCTTCGCAATTACCAAGCACTACAAAAGATGAAGCTGCGTCTAATGATAAATCAATTATTGATGATGATATCATTGAGATAGCTGTACCTAAAAAGTATCATCCAGTAATAGATCTTACAGAAAACTCTCCCGAACCTAGCAATGAAGTTGCAGTAACTCCACCATTGGAAGAAATTCCTTCTACTTCGATGAACCAAGCGAGTGGTGAAAATTCCGATGCTAATAAAAACAGCGATGAGGAATCTGAAAATGCTGATACTAGTGATGATGATCTGGGTATGCTAGATTTTGAATCAAATGATTGGGATTTTGGAAATGATTTTCCTATGTGTATTACAGCTCCTCCTTTATTGGAAGAGCTAGAACAATATAGACAGGGTAATCAACAAAATAGTAATGAATCAGATGGAATTCAACAGAATAGTAATGAATCAAATGGAAATCAAAGGATATCTGTATCAAATGAAGTTCCTGAAATATTGGAAGAAAATAATAACGATCCTAATAACAATTTTAATAATCAAATTAATGAAGATAATGAATATCAAAATTTCATGGATGATTTGTATAGAACTCCTGAATATCCTGAAGAGCCACTGAGGTTAACTCCTGAATATCATGAAGAGCCTCTGAGGTTAGTGATGAATGATCAGCCCAGTACATCATCAGAGAACTTGAACAAAAAAATAAAACAAGAAATATCAAAACCTGGATGTAGTACACATGATAGTGAACGTTTTGTTAACAATTCATTTGATAGCATGTCCAACAGTTATATGCATATTCCAGGAAGTAATTCAAAACAAAATCATAAAATAGATGAAGCTGTACCAGGTTGTAGTAAAAATCTGAATGATACATTTGATGAGCAACATTCAGATAACAGCATTTTACAAGATGTAGAATGTATCAAAGAAATTATACCATGGGCTCAGGATGATATGATTCAAAAACTGTTGAAAAGAAATATGCACTCTCCTGATAGAAAGCAGCGGGCTTTGTTAAAATTAGTCAAACACAATCCTAAAAATGAAGAAGCTATTAAGAAGCGTAAAGTAGAAGACGATTCTTACAAAAGTTATCACAAACTTCCTAAGTTTGAGACTAACAAAACTAACAAAGAAGATTCAATGATTACATCATCTTCCGCCCCGACTCACTATATAAGTAGTATCATTTCGAGAGACCCATCTCGTCATTCTTATGTTCACCCAAGCAGCAGTAAATCTGATCTCTCAAAAAGTTATGAAATGCCCATGCATTCAAAAATGAACACAAATTCTTATTTGCCATATAGTAATAAATATGTTCCTCTAAAATTAAAAATTTCAAAATCAAATTATCAGAACAACACTGATGTGGTCAGACAGTATGCCCCATTGCCCTCACGAAATTCCGTTAAAATTAAAAATGAAACAATTGTGAGCGGCTCTTTGTTGGCTCCATCTCAAGATGCAGTAGCAATGCCAGCAGGAATAACTGTAAATGACACAAAACCAAACTTTGTAGAGGCATTAGCTAATATACCACAAATTATACATATAAATCAGACAAAAGGTACGTTATTATTATTGTTTCATGTATCTAAATTTATGAACACAAGAAAATAATATTATTATCATTACAGAAACTGACTCAAGACTAAATGTAAATAAAACTAGCCCAATCAAGCCAGCAAAATTAAATTATCGGCCTATAATTCCGGCGTCAATTCCAGATTCAAATCCAGTACCAAAAAAAAATATGTTGAGGCCTTCATTATTTGGGTCTTCATCAAGTTATGATGACGACGTGACCATATTTCGTAGACCTTTCCCTACAAATAGTAATAATCAAGTACAGGATTTAAGATTGCATGAAGATAATAGTAGTAAGTAATAATAATATTAGCTTGGCTTCAGTGTCTCCTTACTTTGGTTATGTTTTCATTAATATTGACTAACTAATATTTGCTCAAGTTTATATTAAAAATCATTAAAATATGTGTAAAAAATTTGTGAATTGCAAAATAGAATCTGTTTGCTGTTCAATAAATTAAAATTTTTAAAGTAATATTAAATTTTATCAAATCAGCAGGGAATGGTGTTCAATTAATGCCAGAACCAGTAAGATTAAAAATTGATAACAATGTTCCAAGCACATCATCTGCAAAGGAACCTTCAAAGGAATATGATATCAAAATCTACGACCATTTAAGAAGTATATTCCCAGATGTTGAATCCAACTACATTAAGCTAATCGCCAAAATCCCAGAAGGCCCTGATCAAAATAGGGATAAAACACTCAATGATTTGATTGATCACTTATTACAAGTGGGACCACAATATACAAGACAAAAGGTGGAATACATCCCAGTGCCAGCAGTACATGCAAGTATAGATGAACAGTATGATTACCTGCTTGGAATATTTCCTGATGCTGATCCTACATATTTAAGACATTTTGTTGAAACAAATAATCATAAGGAGCATGCAGTACAAGAATTTGTTCAAAGTAAACTAGAGACACGTGATTATCCTACAAAAGAACAATATTTGGCCAAAATTAAAATCACAGAACAACAAAAGCAATATACTACTGATTTTAAAGTTGAAAAATTTCTGGAAGTTATACCTGACCCAACTTCATACTTCGAAAATCCTAGCAGAAAATGTACTCATGATCCTATAGGAAAAGAATTTTTGAAACATATATTTAATAAAAATAAGGTAGGCATTTTTTTCTTTTTTTCAGTTTAATTCAATTCAATTTATTAACATTAAACACATTTTGTTCTAGGTTCATACAATCTCCAGGGTCTACAGTTCATCTAATTATAATATGAGCATTACTGCAGCTAGTTTAAGCGAATTAGGCCCAGACATGAGATCGAAACGAGCCTCATCAGACATGCCTACTGAAAACATTCCCCTTTTGCAAGAAATGGCTTATATAAAACATAAAGATGCCATAAAACTTCATATTGAAAACCTTAGAATTACAGAAGAACGTCTATTTAAGGACTTGAAGGTAAAATGAAAATTTTTGATTGAATCAGTTTTGCTTAAAAATTTCGAATTTGCATTTTATTTGAAAACACTTTATTCTTTGTTTCAGGAAAAAAATTTACTTGTTACTTGTCAATGTTGCTATAATGATGAGTGCATGCCATCAAAATGTGCTCTGTGCAATGAAGGTCATACGTTTTGCTACGATTGTGTGATTAGAGGTACAGATTCAATTCTAGCTGATGGAGGAACTCATGTTCAGTGCTTTACAGAGTGCTCCAGTGAATTTTCTTTATCCACTTTACAAAAAGTACTAAAGCCAACAAAATTCAGCGCTTTGTTAACGAAAAGACAGTTAGCTGAAGTTATGGCTGCAGGTGTGGACGGACTTGTATCTTGTCCATTCTGCCACTTTGCATCCATACCACCACCAGAGGATAAAGTATTCAGATGTCTGAATCCTGAATGTATGAAAGAAACTTGCCGGTAAGTTATACAATTTTGAAAAATTGATATAGAATTGTAACTATGAGTAAAGCCTAATATTATGATAACAACAATTAATTTCAGCCTTTGTAAAGAATTGAATCATATACCACTAAAATGCGATGAAGTCATTAAGAAAGACAAAGCACTAAGAATACTAGAAGAAAAAATGACACAAGCCTTAATTAGAACATGTCAAAATTGTAAAAGACAATTCTACAAAGAGGATGGAGGTTGTAATAAAATGAGTTGTGTATGTGGTGCCTTACAGTGTTATGTATGCGACCAATTGATTAAAGGTTACGATCATTTCAACTCGCAAGGATCAAGGAACACCGACAAGTAATATATTGAATTATCATTTTCCCACGTTGTATTTTGAAACATTTCAATGTTAACACATTTATTTTATCAATCATTAGGTGTCCACTGTGGACTGATGATCGTCGGATGCACGCCGAAGGAGTCAGGAAGGTAGCCGAGGATTTGAAGAAAAATCTACAAAAAATGAATCCTAACTTGCAAATAGATACAGAAAAATTATTGCCGAAGTTGCCTCCTAAAGTTAGAGGACCTCATGATGATATACCGAATTCTAATGTGCTACCTGTAAGTTTTGATACAATTTACTTTGACTTTTATCATATATTAGTGAATCGTATGTTAAATAAACTTTTTTTTTGTAGGAACACGTAAGAAGAATTGCAGAGTCAAGAATCCTTCCACCTTGAATGTTTATATTCAAAGGCAATCATTATGCTTACCAAAGATTGCTCTGTCAAAATTATAGTTACTTAATTTTATTTCAATGTTTGTAAGCACTCTTTTATGTTACGTTATTTAACTGTTCGTTTATCATTATTATTCAAAGTATTAGTAATATTAAAAAAATGTGTTGTAATCTTTCATCAAGTCCTGATGTTACTTGTCTGAAAGTTATGTTTTGATTAAACGTGTTTACAACGTAATTTTAAACTATGCCTGAACTAATAATTTTTGTTTTAAACTAATTCCATACTCAATATGAAGCGCTTCCCGAAACATTTATATTTTTTCAAATGAAAGATTCAATCATTTGGAATGAACACTTTCCGCCGACGGTCAGACTGAAGTATTAACCGCGTATATGTACATAAGTACCTGATGGCCTTTTTCAAGAAATATTTCACAGCGTAAACTAATGAATGTGAATGTTTGGATTATCCATTTTAATGAATAGAACGTTTTCGTAACCAAGTGAAAACAAGAAAAGTGTACAATTTTTTAAATCAATATTAATATTAACAGTTAAATGTAAGTTGTACATTTTATTATATTTATATTAAAAATTGAAAAATTCAAGTACGTATTTTGTCTTATTTAAATCCTTATTCCATCCAAAGACTCAACCAAAAAATACTTTATTCAGCGTAAACCATTTAGGTACCTGTCAGTAATACCGAAATTTCATTTTACGGTGAAATTTAATCATTTCGCAAGCAGCAGTGATGTAAATAAATTTTCAATTTAATTTCGATCGATACACAAATTGTCTCGCGACTCGAACGAGCAATTGAAAAATGACAAAGTATCAAAATTTTCTTATCAACGCAACGAAACTTGCAGTAACTTTTTTTTCTCTCTCATTAATACGATACGCGCTTAGTTTCTAAAGCAATAGGCAAACAACAACAACAAAAACACGCGGCTCGATCATCGTTCAATGCATTATCAGTCTGGGGTATTTCCGATAACGAAAGAGAGACGTTTTCGATGTTCGCACGGTCCACGTTTCGAAATTTTCGTCAAATTAATGTTATTATTCTTGGGCTCCTGTTTGTTTTGATCGATTATACCTAATGTGATACACACGCGAGGATCAAAATTGATATCACGAGAGAATCGTATAACGACGAATTGTATAATTACTCGATCGTGACGAAAATTAATAACTGCATTTAAGCTCGAAGGATTTTTTTGCTCCCGAGAAACTGCATTAATCTGACCTGAATCTCGAATACATCGACTTCAAATTCGCAACTCGTTACACGCATTATAGCGTGGAAAACCCCGTACAAAACCGACAACAAATGTGTAGATTCGTATGCAAATATAATAACATTATGTAGTTCGCGCGTACTTGAAAATTCCCAAGGCGGCCCGCGCGCGCGATATGTATTTTTTTTTATTATTGAATAAATCAATTTTTTATCCAAGAAATGGGAAAGACCTTGTTTCGTATACTATACCGATCATCGTTATAGCATAGGGGGGTATCATCATCGCGATTTTCTGACACACACACGAGCCACGAGAGTTTGTTTGTGGTAAATATTATTTGCACTTGGATGACATTTTTATTTATACACGCGATGTTGCTGCTGCTGCTACATAATATACAAAAACGGAATGAGCTGTCGTCGTAGCGATGCCGATAACCCCGCGTCACGTCGGGAAATATTATTATATTATTCCTCCGCGCGCGGCCGCATTATAAAAGAAGAAATTTCGTCGAGCTGAATTCAGAAGTCACGGTAGCACTCGACGGAGCAACATGGCTAGCAAATTCGTAAGTACTCCACATTCATCATCAACTCCGAACATTTTCTCACCCGCTTTATGACACAGGTACTCTTGGCATTGATCGGCATCTGCGGCGTGGCCACGGCCCTGCCCTACGGCCAAGGCGGCTTCGGCGGTCACGGGGGTCAGGGCGGCCACGGCGGCGGCGGTTTCGGCGGTAGTCACGGCGGCCAGGGCGGCTTCGGTGGTCACGGAGGCGAGGGAGGCTTCGGCGGACACGGCGGTCAGGGCGGCCTCTACGGCGGTGGCCACGGCGGTCAGGGCGGCTTCGGCGGGCCCGGAGGCCAGGGTGGCTTCGGCAGCCACGGCCAGCCCGGTGGCTTCGGAGGACACGGCCAACCCGGTGGCTTCGGCGGACACGGCGTTCAGCCCGGAGGCTTCGGTGGACACGGCGTTCAGCCGGGAGGCGGCTTCGGAGGCCACGGAAATCAGGGCGGCTTCAACGGCGGAGTCCACGGTGGCGGCGCGCACAATCAGCACGGCGGCTTCGGCGCCTTCGACAACCTCGGCGGTTTCCAAGATTTCCGTTATTAAATGATAAAAACGATCGTTGTGTGAAAATAGTGCGAACGAAAAGAAAAAATGGGATTGTAATCTCTGTAAGTTGGACAGTGTAGTTGTAACATTAGTTGTGATAGTAGTAGCAGTGGAGCGAGTGTTCAAAAAACTTTTTTACGCTTATACGTACTCAAAAAAAAAAAAAAAAAAAAAAAATTAATTAAATAAAGTATTGNAAAAAAAAAAAAAAAAAAAAAAAAATTAATTAAATAAAGTATTGTTTCAATAATTGTAATCAACTTGTACTTCATTAAAAGCTCACATCTCACATTTCTACAATCAGCTCTCGACAGCTAAATTCTCAAATCAATCGTGTGATTGCTGCTGCAGCTTCGATTCTATATAAGAGCCATTAAATAATCACGCTCCACCGGAGACGCTGAGATAATTGTCGCGTATCTTCCGTTGCATAATATTTAGCCGGCGTAAAATTGCAATAAATCATAAACACACTATAAGCGATCAGCTAGTTCGCGAACGAGTGCTAATTTCGCGACAATTATTGTTTTTTTTCTAACGAAAAAGTCTTCCTACTTATTCGCCGCGCTCGAGACGTTACAAAAATGTTGATATAGGAAATCGCACTACTCCCTCCTCCTCGTTTGAAAAATTGATCGCACAGAACTCAAGGTCGTCGATACATACTTTATAAATAACGCGATTCGCACGGAAAACAATCGACTGAATTTTACGCCGGTATATGTACTATCTAATGGATTTGCGATGCATCGAAGCGGGACCTGCTTGCAACGCAAGTCCGCGATCGCGCGCCAGATGTATCGAAGCCGGCGACGTCGTTCTATCTGACTTTACCGCGCGTATAAAGCGATGTTATTGTAACCGATCGGAAAAGCGTCGTCGTCGCGTGTGCTTCGTTTTTTTTCACTCAATATTTGTTCGAAAATTCGTTTAATTATTTATCCAATTAATCATCGCGAAGTGTACGCAATGGCGAAATTCCACGTCGTCTGTATAGTTCTGATGATCGCCCTGCAAACTATAAGCGGCAGCCTCGGCCAGAACTGGCGCTACGGCGGCTACTCGAACGGCGGCTATCGGGCGGTGCCCTATTACTATCAGCCCCAGCGGCCGTCGTACACGCAGACCCTGGGCCAGCAGAACTTCCAGATACCGCCGGGGATCAGCGTGTCGGGCGCCGAGTGGGTCTGCAAGAATCCGAAAACCGGCGATATGGTGAGTCATTGTTGTGTTTCATTGGATTTTATTACTAACTGTGCGGCATTTAATTTTATATGTTTCCGACGCGCGAATGCGTGTAAAAGGATAGTAAACAGCGTATAAAGAAGGTGTACAATGAGTCACTCTCGCGCATCGAATAACAAACAATTATTGAACATTTTTTTCAAACGAGGAAAAATACGAGACGTTGATTCACACTCGAAATCTCGTGGTTAATTTAATTTTAATTAAAACTAAAATTACGATTCATAGATGATCATTACCGCCGAGGAGGGTCCGGCACAACCAACCACGGGTGGTGGTCAACAGCAAAGTCCATTTTACCCCGTGCCACCATCCACCGGCGGACAGCAGCAGAGACCGTTTTATCCCGAACCACCTCCGGTACCTCAGCAACCACCATCCCCGCCGGCGGAGGAGCGGCCGAATTTCACGATTTCTCCGACCAATCCGTTCCTGAATCCGAATAATAAATTTCCCACGACGCAGCAGCCTACGCCGACCAAGCCCCAGATGACGCCGACTACGCAAGGTAACGTAATCTCGCACGATACGTCATTCATTCGTATAAGAGAGTATAATTTTTAATTGATACATTTTTTTCTTCATTCTACAGCTCCACCGAATACCAACGGCGAGGGCCTGATAGACATTAGAATTAATTAAAGAGGGACTGAAAGTGCAGCTGATTCTTGGCAGTAGAGCATCTCATAGACACCATCGTAACATTTTTTTTGTACCGGTTGAAAATTAAATTAAAAAGAAAACAACAACAACAACAACAACGATGTAATCGAGTATCTTATCATTGTATATCGTATACAAAACGAACAAAACTATCCGTCATCGAGTCTTCTTCTTTTCTTTTTTTTCTTTTTTTTTAAGCCGCAAGTCACTTCATAGAATATTCATGAATTTGAATAAAGAATGGTAAAAATATAAACTCGTACGATTGTGCCGGTATATATAGAGTTAATAGTCTTTGTTTTGCAATGGCCATTCTCGACTCTCAAAGAGTTGAACAAAAAAAAGAGTAACTAATTATGGATTCGGATGTATTGTAAAAGTATTTATCTTTTCGTCGGTTCTACTGATACTACATGAGTTCGTCGATCGTTCGGTTCGTTACTCGCTATCGTTTTAAAATTTTTGATTTTCTCCTGCTCCGATGCGTTTTCGGCCTCTTCCGTACTGCCGCCGTAATACTTGTGCTCGAGCACCAATATCGCGGTAATGAAGATCGACACTCCGGCGAAAATCACGAGTACGGACAGTTCCAGCAGTACCTGTACAAATAAAAAAAAATCAAATAATTATGATAGTTGGAAATATTTTGAAAAGTTGTACTTGCTTCAAGGGTGACCCTGAGTATGAGCATGAAGTGCTCGTGTTTCGCCAGCCATCGACAGATCAGCACGGGCGACAGAATAGCCGCGATCAGTGCCTCGAGCGCGTGAACGACGGCATTGGACACCAATTTCGCGAGCACTCCGGAGTCGAGGCGTCTGCGCATACGAAAATTATTATATTATTTTTTTTTCACAACGATAAACAAATCACGTACACTAACCTATTCGACGGCAATCGCGGCTCGTCGCTCGACAAATTTTCCAAGATATTGGAACACGACGCATACACCCGCGAATCTGTCATTTTTTTGTTTCAATGAGGCATGTTTCTAAAACTAGGAATTTTCAATGAGTCATTTTTTTTTACGACGAGTTTAACTGAAACACTTTAATGCTCGATGAATGCGAGTCTTTGAGATAGAGATGGAGAGGAAAATGCAACCTGTATCGACTGCAACAACCTGAAAAGGAGAGAAACAAAAGATGCGAAGCGTGGATTTTTTCTAAAGAGAGGAGATGACTTTTTGACGCTCGTATCGTGAGCAAACACATCGATATTTATGCTAATTCGGAGGAGAAATAACTTGCAACTTATATAACTTTAATACTATGTTATTATTATTTTTTTTTATTAAATAAAGTTAAAAAATAATATTATAATTCGTAAGCTTAAATTACAAGTACACATATTTTAACCACAAATTCAAATATTTTACTAGAATACATTTATAATACACACGTATAGTAAAAAAAAAAGTCGACTTAATGACTAAACAAATCCTAAAGGTGCAATGATCAATCAATCAATTAAATCAATCCTAGTAAGTATACGGAAAGTACGAATTCGGATAGTAATAATTGTAAATGCTCGGCCTGGCTCTTCTCTGGCTCTGCGGCGTCTGCGGTTGATCATTCTTCGACGATCGCTTGGAGGCTCGGTCGCGCCTGTCGTTGCGAGCTTTCAAGCGCCTCGCCACCTGCTGACGGTAGACGAACAGCGGCCGAAAGACTTTGGACTCGGCCACGTCGAGGTCGTGAAAATCATTGTTGTTGTTGTTGTTGTTGTTGTTGACAGTTGGGGCTCGTTGGTCGAGGGAACGCTTGGATTTCGGCTCCGATGCCCTGGATAACGATGCGTCATCGAAGGCGTTAATCCGTTTTTCCGAGATGTCCTGAAAAATATACACGGAACGAGGAACGATTAGTCAATTTTTTTTCTTTGCAAGTCGGTGTGTTACTATATTGTAAATTAGCGTGTATAACACACGTAGTCGAGGAAGCCGATCGATTGCGAAAAAAAATATTTAACTTTGTACATACACGCGCGGATTAATAGCTAAAGGTTATTTCGTTTAACATCGTTGCGAATCGTAATTGACGTTGAGCAAACGAAAATATTATCTCACCGTCAACCTGGCCGGTCTCTTCGATTGTCGGCCGAAAGTAGTAGCATCCATCGTGGCCGTCGACTGCAGCCTCGGCTGTCTCTCGTTCAGGCGCGTGTCCGCCTCGACGGGATCGAGACTGAAGCGTATCGAGTGCACCTTGCCGTCGAATCCGGTCTCCTGTTTCACGTGGACGCGCTCCAGTCGGCTGTCCGGACTGCCGGAAGAGCTGCCGATTGCGTCGTCGTTATTGCCGATCGATTCGCTGCTGCTGCTGCTGCTGCTGCTGCTGGCTGTCGATCGGTCGAGGGCAAGCGACAGTACGGCGAAGGCGAGGCAGATCTGAGACGCGAAATTGAAACGATTAATTAAGAGTTCGAAGCAACGAGAGATTTGAAAATTACGATGAAGAATCGTATATAGCTTACTATGATTGATTTCCTCATTGGTAATCCGCACTTGGACGAAAATAAAATCGATACTCGAGAGAGCCAATACAGATCGAAAGCTCCAGTTTCGAATTAAGCTCGAATCTTCACAAAGTTAATCACTGCTATCACACAATACGATTATAACACTTTGCGTCTCTTCGATCCCAAAAAATCTCAACTCCTTTTCGCAATGACACAATCGGCGCACTCGAGAGAGCCAGAGAGATAAGCCCGTGTAAGTGTGTGTACTCGAACTGTCCGTGCGTGGCTCGCAACAATACTTATATATCATCCGCGGCTCGTGCTGCTGCTCGCAGGTGTACTCGCTCGTCGTCTCTCTTTGCTCTCCTCTCCGCGTGCGGCTCGCGGGACGCGCCGGCCCGCATCACCGCCACGATGCATCACACCAGCAACAGCAGATACAGGAGAGATGGCCTCAGTACAGCGGCTGCCGCTTCCAGGCAACATAATCGTGTGTGTACATATAGACACACGGATCGCACGAATATAAACACGTAATCTTGTGTATACATACACACTTGCGTGTGCCCGAGCACATTTTGCATGAGAGATGTATCGGTACAGCATTAAAGGAGCTCAAGAGCAATGCTCTCCGCTCCTTGAGTTCTTCTCGACGATGCTCCTTTTGTAAATTTACCATGCTGCGTCGCGCGACAGAGATCATATGTACTCGTCTCGGCGCGTATTATTACATTTGTATAAATACATGCATACAGCCATACGGAAAATTATGGATGACGATGATGATGATGATGATGGTCGCACCACGCGATGACGATAATGATGATGACGGGAGATGCGCGCGTACAAAATACCTAAAGCCTCCTCAGCGGGATCCTTCGCGCATACGAGAACCGGAATTTTCTCCGTGTCTAGCGGGGCTATTTTCCCTTTGCGAAGATATATTGCTTCTTCCTTTATGCATGTATACATAATGCATCGTTATACAGAACGATATGAGCGATTGCAAATCGCATATAGCAGCGAGTCTATACTTATTATATTCCACTCTTTTCAGCCTGCAGACAGAAGAGAGAGAGCAAAGGTATATACGTATGTAAGGATGATCTTCCAGATGCATTACGGTATATATCCTTATAGTGATCATCGCGCGCGGACGTATATATTTAATATATAGGGTGGCGCTGCAGGCTCGCCTTTATCGCTCCATTTGCCCCGCTCGCATCTCACAACCTTTTTATTCATATACATTACAGTCTATATGGTATCCAATAATTTTTAATTATTGTATCGCACGCGACGGGTATGTACATTATACGCACAGATATGATATTTGCGGTAGCGATCCCGGGCATCAGCTTACAGACGCCATCTACTATTACCCTGCGATATGATATATGCATGTAAAAGTAGCTACTGCATCGATATCCTACATGTACAACGATGATAATCAATCGATCGATTCTCAACACCCTTCGGGCGCCAAACCGATTTACGCATTCATAAGTATTTATAGCCGTTCTTATAACCGATTTCTATCGGAGACACACACGGGTCAATGAGGAGGCATCGTTGTCTCGCCTCGGCAGCAACAGCAGCTATTTTTCAAAACTTCCATTTACCGATCATCGCGCGGTCGACGATCGCCGCCGCGTCGTGTATTATTGCGCGAGTAAACTTTAATAATTCAATTACCACGTTTTCGATACATTCTTAAAATGATGCAATCGCCGTCGTCGTGTATGCACGAAACATACACAAGCGTTGTACTCGGTAAAAAAAAATTCCAACACCGCTGCTCTTGTTGCCGACGACGATGATGATGATCGCGCGTACTCCGCGTGTATCATCGCCGTTTTTCACGGGTGCTAAGTGCCGAATCACTATCTTGCTGCTAAAAAAAATGCTTACTACACTCGTTGCAGTATTTTTATTTTTATTTATTTATTTTTTTTTTTTCGTGTACGGTACACGACGGGTGTTACTGCGCGCTTCCAAAATTCTGCCGTCTTTATATACTCGTCTTAATATGGCGATATTAACAGCCGATAAATGGTAATGTACTAAAAGAAAAAAAACGAGAAATAATGCATATATGGAATTTATTTTCTTACTCGTTTAACCTTTACCTCCTCGCGCGAAGTCGAGAGTGTAATATATAGCGTACAAGGCGGACGATCGGTACGCGTATCGTATGGCATTGACAAGGTGTTTTCTCGTTAAAGATACACACGCGTATTATGCGTGATATTCTTAGCTCGTCTATACGATATATTTTTTTTACTCCTTTATTTTTAGATGTAATAGTGCTAAATTCCTACGGTTTTTTCGTGCCTCATTGGTGCGCATCTTTGGTATAGAAATTTGCAAAATTTTACCTACTAATTAATTTCAGAGGAAACTATGAGGATTATAAAGATTATGGGAGAAAAAAAATATGTAACTCAGATAGCCGCATATATATAGCTGTGGATAAATCAACATTTTGATGTATATTGACAGAGTCCAAAGAGTATTAATGGATACTGCTAATTCTCAGTCACTTAGACGCGAGACTATCTACACGCATCTATTCAAATATCGCTTTAGAAGATAGACAATGTGCAGTCACACTTCTGAGAATCGATACGTGCAGATATATATGATTCGGAAAACGTATATAAAGAGACGAGTGCAGTTGGAAAACGGAAATAGAATCTGTCGACATGTCGCGATGTTCGGTTGGTATTATATCATCTTATACTTCGTTACATCGTAATTTTTCAACAAAAGTTTTTCATTGTGTCTAGATTTACGGATGCCTGACGATCGCGATCGTTCTCGCTCTGATCGGCCACAATAACTGCGCGATCGACGCCCAACCGATCGATACGGCGATCAATGAGTCTCAGCCACGCTCCTACGCGGCAGTCGCCAGCGATTTGAACACCGACGCCACTTTTTGGAGGTAAAATACATTCCCGATACGAATTTGGATTATTGTAACATTTTTCGTAACGTGGAAAAAATTTTTTCGCCATCAGCAGAAATTATTACGGCTACAGACCGTTCGTAGGCGGTAGAAGTGCTTACGTCGGCTACGGGCCCGTCTATCGCACCGGTGCCTACTATCAACCCGACGTCGTCTTCAACGTCGTGGGCGGTAGCAGCGGAAGAGGTTACCGAGGCTACGGAGGATATCCGAGATTCGGTGGCTACGGATGGGCTGGATACATTTAAATTTCGTGCCTTGGATAATGTATTGTTATTATTGACGCAAATAAAATCAATAAATTGATATCAAGAAAAAGCGTTTACGATCGTAATTATTTCTTACCCTTTTCTTTGGATCACAATAATCTAATTTTCTGTCAAACGAAGATGACATTTTTCTAAATTAAACTAACAAACGAATGATTTCTCTGAATCGATCGCGCAGTCGATGCACTCGACGTTCGTCAATCTGTTCGATATCCGCATGTGAGTGGAGAGCATAAAAATGTCCAAAAAAATAGAGAGCTGTAAGGTACCATTTTGCCAGATACTTCTTGATGAGAATAATCCGAATGATTTTATGCTGCGCGTAACGCGTGGAAAAGAAATCCCATCGTCGCATGAAGTAATGATCGCCACTGGCAGTCCAGCCACGACACGTTCGAGAACAAAAGCCAATCGCAGTTTCTGGCAACGTCGAGACTCACGAAAGTTCCTTGACTGTCGAAGGTTTTCTGGATTGTTTATAATAAATCATTAAATTATCAATATCTTTGAGTTTTCATATACGAAGAACATCATTTGAAGAAAAGTTATAACATATGTTTGATTAAACGCATACGGTGACTAAATATTCACAGCTAGGTGGCGTTCCGATCAGGTTACAGAGCCCTATGAATTTGTACGAACACTGGTTTTTAACTGATCGTTTTAAGAACGCATAAGTGGCGATTTAATTAAAGTGGCGATTCAAGTCCTGACTTTTGACTCCCGAGTCTTGACTCGGCTTGTGAAACGAGCAGATTATTATCAGTCGCGTTCATCTAGACCTATACGTATAACATTTTGTGCTCGTGTGAACAAGTCTCGAACTACTTCAGTGATAAGTGAATCTTTACGAGCGTATTTTTTCCGAAGTGTAACATATCATTCGGCATGCAAGTCGGCGGTTTGGAAAGGGGCCACGAGGACGATATTGTTACATGGAGGATATGTACGGATTTATCATTGTTGTTGAAGCATAAAGAGGTTACATCGGACACATTCGAATTCGGTGACGATATTAGAAACAAATTTCAATTGAAACTCTGCAAGGGCTCAACTCCAGATGATTGACGTAATTCGCCCGATTACAGAGATGTTTGGCGTTTGAAACTATGCTGCATAGATGTAAAAAATTCATCGATAACTTGGAACTACAAAATATCAATATTCAAGAATGCCGAAATGTTACACACGCGAATCCACAATTGTAAGTTTTCTACGAATGAGAGCGAAGAACTAATTTTCATCATGTTCTCAGACGAAATCGATCAGTTGATTCCTCGAGCTGATCATTTAAAAATTTCTTGCCATTTAGAATACATTAAAAAAAATTCACATAACTTGGTAAAGGACGCGTCTGCTGAAATGATGGAAGAATTGGGATCAATGTTTAATAACGAATGGATATTTCTTAACGAAAAGTTGAGTGATGTCAAGCTTCGAACTGCATGTGGAAAGGAAATCCCAGCGCATAGAGTCCTGCTCGCTAATGCCAGTCCTGTATTCAAAGCCATGTTCAGTCATGATATGTTGGAAAACAACAACAAAGTAGTAAATATTACGGATATCAGTTATGATGCTGCAGTTGAGATGCTGCGATACATCTACAAGGGTAGCGTCGTCGAGACTCAAGAATTTTCCTTGACTGCTGAAGTTTTGGCAGCCGCTGACAAGTATCAGTTGAAAGGATTAAAAAACAAGTGCGAGCGCATATTGGGCTCGAATTTATCCACCGAAAATGCTTTTGTGGCTCTTAAAATTGCTAGAACATATAGCTCGAACCATTTGAAAAAACAAGCAGTTGATTTCGTCAGGTGTATTATAGACGGGACTTTGAACGTCAATCAACTGAACGATGCGATTCTTAGTTTGATACGATTCGTTTCAAAACAGTGAGATAACTAGCAGAAGTACACTTTTCATCTTTCAATTTCATTCATATTTTTCATTTATAGTTTGAACTAATGTACACTTTATAATAAAAACAAACATCTCAAATGATATCGGTGTCTTCAAGTAATATTGGGAAGACGTCTGCTATCAAAAATCATTTACTATTTTTAGCATGACTGTACAATTGTCAGTATGGCAGAATTTTTTCGAAGTTTTTTTTCGAGGTTATTTTATTACATTTTTTACTTCTACACAAGTTATAACATCATGTAATTTGTACGTATTCACTTTCTTTTGAAAAAATGAACAATTTTTGTACTTGAGATTTAAATAAAAATCCCAATTGGCATTAGAAAAAAATTATTTTACCTATCCTTTTCATTATTTAAATATTACAATGTAATGCAAATTGCTCAACGGATAAGCACACAGGAACGTTGTAAGATTTATTTGCCAAAAGTACAATTTAGAACCGATGTAAATTTACCAACATTTTCTCTTTTAAATTTGAAAGCGAGATTGCACTCTGCAAGTCGAATGTCATGAACATTTTTGCTCATAAAATATTTTTTTACGAACCGAATTAACTTTCTTTACATCTTATGCAATGTATCTGGATCTTTTTACATTTTTCGATACAAAAAATTTCCTTTCCAAAACTAAGAGTTAATGGACGCCAATTGAGTCAGAAAGTCGATAATTAAATTAAAATTTAACTAGATATTTCTTGGATAGTTACAAATTGCATGTAAAAAAGTCGAGACATAACCGAAGCTCTAGCAGCGGATCTAGGTTCGAAAATTCTGAACAAATAGAAAAAATTAATGAAAATTGGTGCACAAAGTAAAAGATAGTTCATACTCGGGTAATATAATGAGATATTTAAAAAAAGATGTCACTGTAACTTTCAATGGTAACTGACATGCTGAAATCTATCAAGAGTATACAAAATAATAGAGGAGACAGTATTGAAATTCGCAATTGTTGCTTGCAACGGTAGTCAATTGTATACTATTTATTTGATCATCTTTTCATAATTATGTTAATGGTAAAATCATGAATTTGATGATCTATTTACATTCTTCATTGATCATTGACATGTAGAGATAATTATAATTGAAAAAAACGAGTAATTTTAAATCATAAAAAGTGATTGTTATTAGTATCATGCATGTGTCTAGCATATTGCTTTTCAATTTTTGTAATTGATTTTTTAAATAATCGATGATTTATCAATATCTTCGAGTTTTTTGATAACACGAAGAAGATCATATACCTAGCAAAGCAACGATAAAAATTTTTTTGTGCTTCGTGTTTTTCAATGGACATTTATTTATTTTATAATAAAACAAAATAAAAAATACAGATAATTCCATAATGCTGACTGAGATGGCGTTCCGATCAGGATCTCTCAAACTTTAAGAACGCATAAGTGGTAATCGCGAGTCTTGACATGTGAACAGTGAAACAGACAGTCGTAGCCAGGCGTTGGTCGTCAGTCGTGTTCACGATAGATCTACTATCTTTCATTTTGTGTGAGTGTGTTAAAAGTCCCAAACGACTTGATCGGTGATAATTGAATTTTTCCAAGATTTATTACGAAGTATAAAATGCATGAAGTAATCGGTCTCCTGGATCCTCTTGGGGACAATACTATTAATTGGACAATGCAGGGTGATTTACGATGGTTATTGAGACAAAAAAAAGGTTTATCACGTAAATTTTGTGTCGACGCAGATGATAAAAAAAAAATATTTCAAATGAAACTCTGTAAGGGTGCAACAACTCTAGACGATTTTCGTAATCCGCCCGAGTACAGAGATGTTTGGCGTTTAAGTCTGTGCTGCATAGATGAAAACTCATCGATAATGTGGAACTACAAAATATCAATATTCAAAGATAACGCAATTTTACACTCTAGAACACACGATTGTACGTTTTCCATGAATCGTAGTGAAGAAGTGATTTTCATCGTGTTATCAGACGAAATCGATCAATTGATTCCTCGAATTGATGAATTAAAAATTTCATGCCAATTAGAATATATTAAAGAAAATACAGATAACTCTTTAAAGGATAAGTATGACGATACGATCGAAGATTTGAGATCAAAATTTAATAATGAATGGATATTTCTTAATGAAAATTTGAGTGATGTCAAGCTTCGAACTGCATCTGAAAAGGAAATTCCAGCTCATAAGGTCGTACTCGCCATGGCAAGTCCGGTATTTAAAGCTATGTTTAGCAATGATATGTTGGAAAAGAAAAGTCAGACAGTCGATATGAATGATATTAGTTATGATGCTGCAGTTGAGATGCTACGATATATCTACATAGGCAGCGTCGAGACTCAAGAATTTTCTTTGACTGCTGAAGTTTTGGCCGCCGCTGAAAAGTATCAGCTTGAAGAATTAAAAAATAAGTGCGAGCGCATAATATGCTCGAATTTAACCACTGAAAATGCTGTTCAGGCTCTTCGAATTGCTGATATGTATAGTGCGAAACATTTGAAAAACAAAACAGTTGATTTTGTCAGGCGTATTATTACAGGAACTTCGGACTGTGACGAAATAAGTGATATGATTCTTGATAAGGCTAAACTCGCTTCAAAATAATGTGAAAAGTGTCAGGAGTAAAATAATATTTCATCTTTCAATTTTGAACAATTTGAACTTCAACTAATGTAAACTTGTAATAAAACAAAAATCTCAAATGATACCATTAAAATTTATTTTACCTTTTTTAATACGTGGCATTATATATATTTAACTTAAAAAACACGCAAATATCAAAATCCTTGAACAAATATGGGCGTATAAATGTGTTTGAGTACGTTTTCATAGAATAGAGAACAAATTGAATAATAAACTACAAACTTTAATTCACAAAATGTGAATCTGTCAATTGAATCAATTGAATTACTAACAACCTTCTTTTCTTGTACATAAAATGAACTAATCTCTTAATTCAACGGTAAAAAAAAAAGTATTCAATGTTGAAAAATTCATGTTCATTAAGACTGATCGATAGGTATTATTTCAGTTCTGAAAAACAATTGTTTTATACTTGACATCTTACATATACTAACAAAGCTTATAATTTTACAATATTCGTCTATTGTTTATAGGGCTTTTTCACAGTCGTCACTAGTGCGTAATAAGTGTAGAGAGTACTCAGCTCACACGTCTGAAGTTGTTTATCAGTTTTTTTCGAGTAATACAACGTGGACGTCCGCAACTGAAAATCATTTACTTTTTTTTGTATAAAAGTCAGAATATAAATGTATTTAATTACACATCTTTGTTCAAGAGAAACGATCGAAAACATCATTTTCTATATAAACTAAAAGTGCTTTTTTCAATCGACTATTTCACTACCTTTATGTGACGCTCACGACGCCATTCGAGCCAGTCGAGCGGCGGGCCGCTGAGTTCGCAAGTTGCCTGCAGTAATCGGAGGATAAAATTTCAAACAAAGGAAGGTTTCGATCAGTTTTAGAACGCAGTGCGTAACGCCACGAGACTAGATTTGTGCAACGGTCAGTCGTAGTCAGCGGATTGTCGTGGCAATATTAGCTGCTTATTGTCAAAAATCTTGTGCGTGCGATAGAAGTCCCATTTGATTCGAGTGATAGCTGAAGTTTTTCGAGATTTTCTCACGATATAAAATGCCGAGTATCGCTAAAGGTACATGGCGTACGTGCACTGACAAAAAGTACTGCGATTATAAGTGGATAATAAACGATTACACATTCTTTGCGGCAAAGAATGGCGGTATAATAAAATCGCCCGTGTTCGAAGTCAGCAGTGATAAAAAAAATAAGTTTCAATTGCAAATTTGCAAAAGCGACGTTTTACATGATAAAATGTGGACGAAAAGTGTATGTTTAGAACTACACTGCATAGAAATAGTTGAAACATTACCATGCCAGTACAAAATTTCAATGATCAGGGATGACAGAATTATTGAAACTTTTACGGATGACGCACATTCTACGAACGCGACAGTGAGAGAACCGATTTTTAACATTATCCCAGAACAATTCAAAAGATTCATTTCGTCTACAGGTACTGTTATTATTCGCTGCGAATTAACACTTGCAATAGGAGTTCGAAAGGACTTTCTAAGCGATGAATCTATTGATACGTATGCAGTGTCGGTACCAAAATATCATTTTGACGGGATATATCTTGACAAGAATTTGAGTGATGTCAAGCTACGATCTTCATGTGGTAAAGAAATCCCAGCGCATAGAATCGTGCTCGCCGCTGCAAGTCCAGTATTCAAGGCCATGTTTAATCATGATATGCTGGAAAATAAAACTCAATCAGTCGATATGAATGATATTAGTTATGATACTGCCGTTGAAATGCTGCGATACATCTACACAGGTGCTGTAAAAAATCATGAAATTCCCTTCATCATTGATCTCTCCGCAGCCGCTGACAAGTATCAACTTGAAAGTCTGAAAAATAAGTGCGAACAAATATTAGGTTCTAAATTATCTGCCGAAAATGCTATAGTTATTTTAAAAGTTGCTGATAAATATAGCATGAAAAATTTAAAACAAAAGGCAGTTGATTTTGTAAAGAGTAATATTATCGATTCTGCGAATCCTGATAAAGCAGGTACTATGATTCTCAGTATGGCTGAATTTCTTTCTAAGTAACTTTTTTGATTCAAACTTACTTAAGATAATATAATGTATTTCTTTGTAATTCAAATTTACTTGAAAACATGATGCTACCATTGTACCTCTGATTGAAATAAAAATCTCAATTTGTATCAGTTAAATTTATTCAACCTATCCTTTTCGTTATTCAATTTTAAGATAATATTAAAAACAAAAACATTTTACTGCTTCAAGAACGTTGAAATTGACTAAATTTCTCGATATTAATGCACACGTAAAAGTCGTAAGTTTTGTTCATACAAGAATACTTCAAACTAATCCAAATTACCAACAAGAGCTTCTAGCACTAACAAAGCAGGACTTTGATTCTATAAATCAATTAAAATGATTATCTTATTCGTCACATATTTTTTCTACATTTCATACAATCCGTAATTTTTCGAGCCGAGAAGTTTTATTTTCATAACTAAGAACAAAGCTGGACCAATCGGTTCTATAATACTTGAATTGAAATCCTACTAAATATTTCTCGATGAAAATTGATGCATGTGTAATCATAATACACATTACACACCCATGAGTCTAATCGTCATCGATGTTACGTGTCGAGCTGCTGCGATGCATGGACGGATGAACGGCCACATCCACGGTTCTGGGAAATTAGAAAAAATAAGCTGCGAGACGGAATTTTTTATATGCGATCTGTCGAGGATGAAGTATTCATTTGACCATTAAATTTAGTATGAAAGTATGCACGATGATTTCATGAATAGTTACAAATTGCATGTGAAAAGAACGAGACAGACCCAAAGTCAACCCAGGTCGCCCATCCCAGTCCCTCGCAGCGGGTCTAGGTTAGGAAATTCTCAAATAGAAAAAAATTAATGAAAATTGGTGCACAAAGTAAAAGATAGTTTATCCTCGTATAGCATAATGATATAATTAAAAAAAATGTCATTGACACTTTCAACGGTAACTGACATGCTGTATATCAATACACTATACAATAATAGGTGATACAGTAATGAAAGTCATAAATTTGCTTACATCGATATCAATTATATACTATTTATTTGACTCTTTAATAATTACGTAAATAGTAAAATCATGAATTTGATGATCCACGTCTATTCTTCATTCATCACGACATGTGGAGACGTTTAACTATAATTGAAAAACAAAACGCTAATTTTGAATCACGAACAGTGATTTTTATTCATAGTATCATGATTGGGGGCTAGCATACAGCGTTTCAATTTTTGTTATTGATTTTTTTAAATCACTGAAAGATAAATTATCAATATCTTTGAGTTTTTCAATAACGCAAAGAAAATTATGTTTTGAGCAAAGTTACGATAAAATTTTTTTCATTAATGTTTCGAGTTTTTCGATGAACACTTATTCATTTCATAATAAAACGTAAGGCAAAGTGCGGAATAAATTTCATAATGCAGAATGAGATGGCGCTCCGATCAAGATTCGGTGCTCTCTTTAAATTTTAAGAACGCAAAAGTGGTAATCCCGAGTCTTGACATGTGAACAGCGAAACAAACAGCCGTAGCCACGCGTTAGTTGTCAGTCTTATCCATAATATCGTCTACTCTACTGTGTATTGGGCTATTCCACAACAGGTGTTGCAGGCCCAAAAAATGAAGTTGAAAGTAACCATTTACTTTTCAAGAACACAATGAAAAATGAAAATCCTGAAGGGCACAGCCCCCTAGGTCCAACCCTTATGGATCTACAGGGGCTCAAAGTTGGATTTTCATGGTATGAGGATATTCTGCTTCTTACTCTGCTTTTCTGGGTGGACATAAGAAAAAATTTTTAAACCATGTTTTTTCATGTAAAATTTGATGTAGAATTCAAATCTGTACTCAGATGAGACATTAATAACCTCAAAACCCCTTGAAATAGAAAGTATGGTCTAATAGGACATAAATGTCAAAAAAAAAAATATGTTCGTATACCTCAAATCAGCCCATATTGTAATATGTTCATCGATACACCAAAATACAACTTCTGATAAAGTTTGGTAACTGAGTCTCCATTACAGATCATTATGTAGCTTTTGAAAGCCCAAAAAACATGGTTTTTTCCTCATTTTCCATGTTTTTTGCCTCTTCGCTAGCTACCAAATTGTTTCTATTAGAGACTCAGTTACCAAACTTTATCAGAAGTTGTATTTTGGTGTATCGATGAACATATTACAATATGGGCTGATTTGAGGTATACGAACATATTTTTTTTTTGACATTTATGTCCTATTACACCATACTTTCTATTTTAAGGGGTTTTGAAGTTATTAATGTCTCATCTGAGTACAGATTTGAATTCTACATCAAATTTTACATAAAAAAACATGGTTTAAAAATTTTTTCTCATGTCCACCCAGAAAAGCAGAGTAAGAAGCAGAATATCCTCATACCATGAAAATCCAACTTTGAGCCCCTGTAGATCCATAAGGGTTGGACCTAGGGGGCTGTGCCCTTCAGGATTTTCATTTTTCATTGTGTTCTTGAAGAGTAAATGGTTACTTTCAACTTCATTTTTTGGGCCTGCAACACCTGTTGTGGAATAGCCCATTATTTTGTGCGAATGTGATAAAAGTCCCGAACGACTTGATCAGTGATAATTGAATTTTTCCAAGATTTATCTCGAATTATAAAATGCCTGAAGTAATCGGTTCCCTGGATCCTCGTGGGGACAATACTATTCATTGGATAATAAACGCTAGTTTACCATTGTTGTTGAACTATGAAGTATGTATATCGTCCACATTCAATGTCGGTGTTGATGATAGACAAAGAAGTTTTCGATGGAAACTCTGTAAGGGTTCAACTTTAGACGAGTGTTATGATCCGCCTGAGTACAAAGACGTTTGGCGTTTAATTTTATGTTGCATAGACGAAAACTCATCAATAACATGGAACTGCAAAATATCATTTTTCAAGAATGACAAAATGTTACACACCCGAAGCCACAATTGTACGTTTTCTGCGGCTCATCGTGAAGAACTGATTTTCATCGCGTTCTCAGACGAAATCGATCAATTGATTCCTCTAACTGATATTCTAAAAATTTCTTGCCAATTAGAATATATTAAAGAAAATACAGATAACTTTGTAAAGGATGAGTCTGTCGATATGATCGAAGATCAGTTGAGATCAAAATTAAATTTCGACTGGATATTTCTTGGCAAAGATTTAAGTGACGTTAAGCTACTAGTTGCGTGTGGAAAGGAAATCCCAGCGCATAAGGTGGTCCTCGCCGCTGCCAGTCCAGTACTGAGAGCCATGTTTACCCATGACATGTTGGAAAATAAAAGCCATTCAGTTGATATAAATGATATTAGTTATGAAGCTGCAGTTGAGATGCTACGGTACATCTACATTGGTAGCGTCGAGACTCGAGAATTCTCCTTGATTGCTGAAGTTTTGGCCGCCGCTGAAAAGTATCAGCTTGAAGAATTAAAAAATAAGTGCGAGCGCATATTGGGCTCGAATTTATCCACTGAAAATGCTGTTCAGGCTCTTCGAATTGCTGATACGTATAGTGCGAAACATTTGAGAAAAAAAGCAGTTGACTTTGTCAAACGTAGTGTAAACGGACAATTGAACTATGACGAAATAAGTGATATGATCCTTGATAAGGCTAAGCTAGCTTCAAAATAATGTGAAAACTGTCAGAAGTAACCTTTTTATCCTTCAATATCACTCATATTTTTCATAAATAATATGAAGTTCAACTAATGTACACTTTTGATCTGAATAAAATTCTTAAATGATATCCTAAAAATGTATTTAACCTTATTCCATTCATGGAAATATTTATCATCGGCTTAAAAAAATCAGAAATATCTAAATGCCTCAACAAATATAGATGTACAAACGTGTTTGAAGATGTATAGAAAACAAATTGAATGTGAAACTACAAACGCGAGCTCACATTATTATACTCTTTCAATTTGATGACAATATTTGCCGCCGCCAGTAACAATTACTTTCTTTTCTTCTATATAACATGTTAACTTAACTCTGAATTCTACGAATGAGAAAAATTATCATTTAAAATAAATTGCTGAAAAACTGAAGTATAATTTTACGACTATCGTAACGCTTTGATGATTTTCCAAAATCATTTTCAATTCGTTGAATCCATCATATGCATGCTTAAAAAAGACTCAGCTTACAAATTATTTACATTTTTTGTTTGTTCAAAATTCAGTATAAAATTATTTCACGTCGTCGTTCAAGTTAAATGGTCATAAATAGTATTTTCTAAAGTAAACGAAAAAATTAATGATTTCTTTAAATGGACTATTCCGCTAACTTTAGCGGCGCTCGCGGCGCCACTGATCGAACCTCGCAAGGTTCGCGAGAATCGCGAGTCGCTAACAAAGACAGTCAAAACTTGAAACACAGGACTGTTTGATCAGTTTTGGAACGCATGTGTGGAACGATACGAGTCCCGACTTGTGCAACGGTCAGTTGCCGTCAGCAGATTGCCGTGGCAACACGTAGTCAAAAGTCTTGTGCGTGTGATAAAGTCCCAATTCGCTCGAGTAACAAATCAAGTTTTCCAAGATTTCCCACAGCTCATAAAATGTCAAGCGCTAATAACGCTACATGTCGTACGTGCATTGACAAAGAATACGGCACTTTTGAGTGGATAATAAATGATTTCTTATTCTTAAAGGGCAAGGATAAAGGCACAATTCTATCGCCCATATTCAATGTCGGTAGTAATAAATTTCAATTAGACATCACCTACGGCAGTTTTTACTATTTTGAAAAATGGATAACGGGTGTGCGCTTATATCTACGCTGCAAAGAAGGTGCGGCAAAATTACCATACAAGTACAAGATTTCAATGATCAAGGATCACAAAATTGTTCAAACTTATTCAGGCGATCCATGTTCTGACGCGGATAAAACGATTTCAACTATTACCCAAGATGAGTTCAAGACGACATTCATCTCATCTCAAGGTGATGTAATTATTCACTGCGAATTAACAACTGCAATAGGACATCAAAAGGATTTATTACTTCATGAGCCTATCGATATGAACCAAGTGTCTGTACCAAAATATTATTTCAACGAGATATATCTTGATAAGAATTTGAGTGATGTCAAGTTGAGATCGTCATGTGGTAAAGAAATCCCAGCACATAGGGTCGTCCTCGCCGCTGCAAGTCCTGTCTTCAAAGCCATGTTTAGCCATGACATGGTGGAAAATAAAAGCCAATCAGTTGATATGAATGATATTAGTTACGATGCTGTCGTTGAAATGCTGCGATACATCTACACAGGCAGTGTCAAGACCCAAGAATTTTCGTTGACCACCGAAGTTTTGACTGCTGCCGACAAGTATCAACTTGACGACTTGAAAAATAAATGCGAACAAATATTGATATCCACTTTATCAACTGAAAATGCTATCAATGTTCTAAAGGTTGCTGATAAGTACAATTTAAGTCTTATGAAAAGAAAAGTAGTCGATTTTGTAAAGCATAAAATCACCGAGTCTTCGGACTCCGATAAGGCCGGCACTATGATTCTTAGTGTGGCACAATTTCTTTCGGAGTGATTTTAAGTAATAATTTCTTGTATTGCTAAGCTTTAATAAAATGTAATTGTTAATACTTTTTATTGAAATAAAAGTCTCAATTGGTAACAGCAAAATTTACTTCATTTATTTTTATCCGCTATTTAATTCTAAAACATAATAAAGACATAAACATTTTACTGATTTAAACACGTTGAAGGTGCCTAAATTTCTCTACGCCCATGCACACAAAAGTCGTAAGTTTTATTCAAACAAAAAACATTCTAAACTAATTCAAATTACTAATGTGAGCTTCTATAGGACTTTGGAAGCAAGAATCGGACTCAGAGAATAAAAAAAAATGAACATACCTTGCTCTTCAAATTGTTCTTTCAAACCAAAAGTAACTCCATCTAAATCCTAATAATTTTTCGGGCAGAGAAATTTTAATTTTAAAATAAACAACAAAGCCAAGCCAATCGGGTCAAAGATGCGATACGTAAATTAAAATCTGACTGAATATTTCTCGATGAAAATTTAAGTGACGCCGCCAGCGTAATCATGATACACCCCATCCGAGTCGTTATCGAGTTACGCATCGAGCTGTCGCGTGCATCCGAGCACGAAACTGGAGAAAAAGATGTGGACGGATGGGCAGTCACGTCCAAAGTTCTAGAAAGACAAAGAGAAAATGAGCCGGTGAACAGAATTTTCAATCTGTTGACAAGGATGCAGTTTTCATTTGACAATTAATTTCGATTCAACGCATGCACGATGATTGACTTTTAAAAATTCAGCAAATACAATATTATATCAAAGCCAACGAGCTTTTTTCCAAACGCAGCAGAACGACTAACCATCCACGGGCCTCAAGTATGACAACGATGACGTAATTCAGACCTCCTTACATGTAAACAGGGGATGACAGTACGGCGCGGCAATGTGCACGCCTAAAGCGCAAAGAATGCAAACATTTTCGGATTATATTTCGAAATTAAGATTGATCAAGATAATGGCTGCAATTTGTTTTTTAAAATAAAAAACATAAAAAACGAATGGTTTCTGCAATCAGCCTAAATAGTCCCGAGTTCTCCGTTAAGCATTGTCTGCGGAGCCACTAGCATGAAGATTGAAGAGGCCTGGAGACTGGAGTCGAGAGTTGACGGACTCTCGCAGCTCGCTCTATCATGATTTCATGAGTCCTACTGACTAGTGGTGACGCCCAGACGGTTGGTCGTGAACTTGAAAGTTTGGAAATGGCAACAGCGCAATTCTTTTGATCAGATTAAGAACGAACACGAGTCTTGACTTGTAGGTACGTAGGTAATACATACATTGTACAACGGCCGAACGCAGACTCGCACTCGTAAAACAGACAACAGTGTCGCAAGGTGTTAGTCGATGTCTCATAAGTCATACCTATCGATTCATCATCATTCCTTGTGCGTGTGATAAAAGTCCAAAGAAAGTATAACTTATCCTTTTTGTGATTTTTTTCAAATAAAAAAGTCAAAAGACGTTAAAATGAATAGTTTAACTCGAATTAAATCAAAATATTTCAACTATACGTGGGTGATAAGGGATTATGTAGTAATTTTTGGAAAAGAAGGAAAAATAAGTTCGCACATCGTTAATCCTGGTTTTGACGATAAAACACGCTTACAATTACATTTCACAAAAAACAGTGACGACTCTAGTTATGTTAAGTTATCTTTACAACTACATGACCTGAAGGGAGGTGGAGACGAAGAATTTTCTTACAAAATATCTGTTATTAAGGATGATGAAGTTGTTTACACCCGAATAGATTTTGTTCACTACTTAACAGATGAGATTTTTAATATGCTACGTACAGATGTCAACAAATTCACTTCATCTACGGGTTCTTTAAAAATTCATTTTGAGTTAACATATGCTACGGGAAGTCCGGAACACTTCTTAAAGGATGAATCCGATGATACGAATGAAGTGTTGATGCCAAAATTTAACTTTGACTGGATATTTCTTGGTAAAGAGTTGAGTGATGTGAATCTGCGTGCTAAATGTGGTAAAGAAATCCCAGCACATAGGGTCGTCCTCGCCGGTGCAAGCCCAGTATTCAAGGCCATGTTTAGCCATGACATGGTGGAAAATAAAAGCCAATTAGTTGATATGGCGGATGTCAACTACGAAGCTGCAGTCGAGATGCTGCGATACATGTACACGGGCAGTGTCAAGACTCAAGCATGTTCCTTGACTGCTGAAATTTTGGCAGCCGCTGACAAGTATCAACTCGAAGAATTAAAAAATAAGTGCGAAAAAATATTGTGTTCCAATGTATCTACTGAAAATGCTATTGAAATTCTAAAAGTTGCTGATAAGTACAATGTAAGTTGTTTGAAAAAGAAAGTAGTCGATTTTGTAAGGCATAAAATCACCGAGTCTTCGGACTCTGATAAGGCCGGCACTATGATTCTTGGTGTGGCACAATTTCTTTCGGAGTGATGTTTTATTATATTTTAATTTGCACTATAGGTAAAATTATAGTACAATTTAATTGTTTGTTATTCACATTTACTTGAAAATATAATGCCTTCATTGTACTTCAGGTTTAAATAAAAATTCTAGTTCGTATATCAGTAAAATTTACTTTATTTATACCTTTTCATAATTCAATTCACCGCAATACGATAAAAATGTCTCAAGTCACGCACATAATATTTTTTTCTTCAAAATTTAAAGTAAAGCTAACTCTAAAGCGCCAAGAGTGCAATATTTTCAAACTAATTTTTAAATAACTATTGCATGCAATATGCATGCAGCATGAGAATCATGAGATAGCCTCTGTATAGTTCCCGAATTCACCGCTATAAGGAATGCCTACGGAGCCACTCGATGGTGGAGTGCAGTCGTCTGTATCACACGCTGTTTACGGCCTATACTGCTCTCGTTACGACAATAACAGTGGTTTAGTCAACAAGTTTTTTTTTCGGTATTTTCAGAAAGTATATGATTTTTGAGTTATACATTTGATCGTGACCTGTTATCTATTTTTCAATATTTTATTTGTGTGTGTGTGTGTGTGTGGTAGAAGCCGCAAGAGAAAATAACTGAACCTTATTGCGATTTTTCCAAGATACATCATGTCAAGCCATCATAAAATTACAGGCTACTCTCAAATCAATAAGGAATACTTTGATTTTACTTGGGTAATAAGGGAATTTTTACTAATTCTCGCAAACGAACCGGCAAGCCTGTGTTCGCCAATATTCCAAGTCGGTAGTGATGATGCAAGTTTACAATTACGATTCAAAAAAATCAAAAAATTGGCTGTTGAGCAATTTGTTTGTCTATATATAGATCTGGATGGCATTGATAAAACATTTTCTTACGAAATATCAGTTATCAAAGATGACAAAATTATTTATACCCTAGTTGATTTTTTCGATGATGAGCTGATAGGAATACGAACAAAACAAGTTTTTCAAATGAATCGTAATGATATAAGCCAATTTATTTCATCCACGGGTACTGTAATCATTCGCTGTGAGCTAAAATTGGCAACGGGAAGTACGGAACACCTTCTAGACAATGAATCCCGCGATGCGAACGAGGTGCCAAAGCTAAAATTCGATTGGATATTTCTTAACGAAAATTTGACCGATGTCAAGCTACGAACCGCATCTGGAAAGGAGGTCCCGGCACATAGACTCATGCTCGCGGCGGCCAGTCCAGTATTTAGAGCTATGTTTACCCATGACATGTTGGAAAATAAAAGCCAATCAGTTGATATGATCGATATTAGTTATGATGCTACCGTAGAAATGCTGCGATACATCTACACGGGTGCCGTCGAAACTCAAGATTGTTCATTGACTGCTGAAATTCTGGCCGCCGCTGAAAAGTATCAGTTAAAAGAATTGAAAGATAGGTGCGAGCGCATATTAGGCTCCAATTTATCTACTGAAAATGCCATTGATGTTTTAAAAGTTGCTGATAAATATAGCATGAAAAATTTGAAACGAAAGGCAGTCGATTTTTTTAAGCATAAAGTGAACGAATCTTCGGACTCTGATAAAGTAGGTACTATGATCATCAGAATGGCAGACTTTCTTTCGAAGTAATTTTCGAGACACGATTTGGCTACATCTTTTAGTTTTAACCGAGCAATAATATAATAAAGTTTGTATTGACTTTAATTGAAAAAAATAATGCTATTTTTATGCTCCAGATTAAAATAAAGAAACCTGTTGGGATCTGCAAAATTTACTCTACCCGCCCTTGTTATTAAACTCATTCCAATATAATAAAAATTTCTCCATGCACATTAAATTTCGTAATATTTTTTTATGCCAAGTATGATTTGAATCTGAGAAAACTATAAATTTGAATTAAGATTAATTATTATTCAAGGAAATCAGAATCTTACATTATTTTGTGCCAAAAAATGTTCTTTTAAAATGTAAATCTATATGTACACTGATCAAGTAGAAGTCGATTCTTGCGTGTCTGTTAGCACGGCACGTACAAAACGTAAAGAATGTAAAAGACTTCGAACTACGAAAGGGCTTTTTGAAATTAAACCGAATTAATGTATAGGGCGTTTTCCAATTGTCACGAAGTGGTCACTTTACCGAACAGCTGATTTGCCTGTAGGCATAACAAACCGCGCGCCCCTATACTTCACGTGTTAAATTAGAATGTTAAAAGTACTTGTAATTAGTTTATAATAAAGTTAAAAAAAAAAAACAAAAAATATCCGGAGAAAGCGGAAATCCTCGTGTATCGAGTTATCGAAGCGGTTTTTAGTTAGAGTCTTTAGTTTGTAAATAAAAAAACATTGAAATTTCAGCTTTTTCCGGATATATTTTGTTTATTTTTTTAACTTCATTATAAACTAATTACAAGTACTTTTAACGTGTTAATTTAACATGTGAAGTATAGGGGCACGCGGTTTGTTATGCCTCCAGTCAAATCAGCTGTTCGGCAAAGTGACCACTTCGTGACAATTGGAAAACGGATCGACCAAGTAGTTCCCATATCTTCCGCTACTCAGTGCCCACTTGACTACTCGTAAGTCTTGATTGCAGATTTACTCGATCACTCTTGACTTTTGCAACGGTTAGCGGTAGCATATTGCCATCAGTCGTGGCTTGAAATCTATTGTCCAACATTTTGTGCGTGCGACAAAAGTGAAAAATAATAAACGAAAATAATAAACGCTTTACCGCGATTTTTCCTAGATTCAAAATGTCAAAAGACCATAAAATCATGTACTGTTCTCAAAGTAATACTGAATACTTCGATTGTACGTGGGTGATAAGGGATTATTTAGCAAATTTTTCGAAAAAAACAGATATATATTCGCCATACTTCAAGATTGGTAATAATCAAGAAACGTTAAGATTTAACATCTACCGATTAACAAAGACCAGTATGGTTACATTAAGTCTGGAAGTATCTGGCCCGACTATTTGTGGATGCTCTTACAAGATATCAGTCATCAAGGATGACCAAATTGCTTACACTCGAATCGATGAGGCTTTAGGAACAGTAACAGTTTTCAACATAGATGCTAAAGATGTGAACGAGTTCATTTCATCCTCAGGTACTTTAACTATTCACTGCAAATTAACAATTTCTACGGGAGAAATGGAACACGTTCTAATCAATGAATCCGTTGATAAGAATCAAGCGTTAGTGCCAAAATTTAATTTCGACTGGATATTTCTCGAAGAAAATTTCAGTGATGTGAATCTGCGAGCTGCATGTGGAAAAGAAATTCCAGCCCACAGGGTGATCCTAGCAAATGCCAGTTCTGTCTTCAAAGCTATGTTTAGCCATGACATGTTGGAAAATAAAAGCCAATTAGTTGATATGATCGATGTGAGTCATCCAGCGGCAGTTGAGATGCTGCGATACATCTACACGGGTAGCGTCGTCGAGACTCAAGAATTTTCCTTGACTGCTGAAGTTTTGGCAGCTGCCGACAAGTATCAACTTGAAGGACTGAAAAATGTGTGCGAGAAAATGTTTATATCAACTTTATCAACTGAAAATGCGATCGAGGCTCTAACGATAGCTAAAAAATACAATATAAATAAATTGAAAATAAAAGCGGTTGAATTTCTAAAGCATAAAATCAGCGAATCTCCGAATTCTGACGAAGCAGGTGATATGATTTTCAGTATGATACAATTTCTTTCGAAGTAATTATACAGCTTTAATTGATGTTTTTTTTTAAGTTTTAACTAATCTATAATAATATGTAATTTTTTACAAATCACTTTAACTGGAAAGCATAATGCTGTTATTATACTTCGGATCAAAATAAAAATTCCTTTACCTATCTGTATTGTTATTCAACTCATTACAATAAAATAACAATTTCAAAATGCGTTCGCATATAAAAACTTGGTAAGGTTTTTTGGCACAAAGACAAATCAAGTCGATCCAACGTGTGCTTTCCCTCTGCTGGTCTTAAAAGAAAAAATTGGACTCTCTCGGATCAAAATTCAATTATTTTTTTAAATATTTTTCTCGTTTTTTGAGAAATTGTCTTTTGATACTAAAAGAGCCACTTGAGAGACTAGACTCCCTCTTTCGTCACTACGCAGGATCGAAAGTTTGCGACGAAGTCAGCGAAGGGCCTTTTTGATCAATTTTAGAATACATTGGTATGTGGCGGTACCACTCCAGTCTCGACTTGGACAACGGACGGTCGAGCAAGACAGTATATTATCGTCAGTCGTAGCGTAGCCTCTTTGTCTTTGTCCAACATTTTGTGAGTGTGATATTCATTTCAAGAAAAAATAACTAACATACATCGTGATTACTCCTGGATATAAAATGTCTAATGACCTTAAAATGGAATGCTTTGCTGAAATTGAACATGAATGCTTCAATTTTACGTGGGTAATAAAGAATTATTTTTTAATAATGGGAAAAGAAGGACCCCTGAGCTCGCATAGAGCCAGCATCGATATTGATCACGGAATACAGTTACAACTGTATTTCAAACAAAACGATAGTAACAATCGTTATGTTATTTTATATCTTTATCTACATGGCTTAAAAAATGATACAGATAAAAAAAAGTTTTCTTATAAGATATCAGTTATCAAGGATGACCAAATAGTGTACACACGAATGGATTTTCCGGATAAGGCTTTAGGAGAAAAAATTTTCGAAATGGAACGCAAAGATATTAGCAAATTCGTTTCATCCACTGGTACTTTAACTATTCACTGTGAATTAACATACGCTACGGGAAATCTAAAACAATTCTTAAACAATAAATCTGTCGTTACGAATGAGGTACCAAAGCTAAAATTTGACTGGATATTACTTGATGAGAATTTGGCTGATATCAAGCTACAAACTGCAGAAATAAAAGAAATCCCAGCGCATAGGGTCGTGCTCGCCGCTGCAAGTCCAGTATTTAAGGCCATGTTCAGTCATGACATGTTGGAAAATAAAAGCCAATCGGTTGACATGACGGATATTAACTACGAAGCCGCAGTTGAGATGTTACGTTACATTTACACAGGCAGTGTCAAAGACTCAAGAATTTTCGTTGACTACTGAAGTTGTAGCTGCTGCCGACAAGTATCAAATTGAAGGACTGAAAGAGGAGTGTGAGAAAATATTAATATCCGCTTTATCAACTGAAAATGCGATCGAGGCTATTATGATATCTAATAAATACAATACAAATAATTTGAAAATAAAAGCAGTTGATTTTGTCAAACGTAATATCAGCGAATCTCCAAACTCCGACGAAGCTGGTGATATGATTGTCAGTATGACACAATTTCTTCAGAAGTGATTTAAATATTACATTCTTTACTTTCAATCAAGCTATATATTATAATACAATGTAATTGTAATTCATACTAACGGAATTATTTTATACTAATATCACTGTATTTAAGATCGAAATTAAAATCTCTGTTATAATAAAAAAAAATTCTTTTCACTGATCCTTGTCGTCATTTATTCATTACGATATTATAAAAAAGTCTCGACATGTTAGCAAACGTAAACTTTGTAAGATTTGTTTGTACCAAGTAATATTTTCATATCGATGTTAAAATTAGCAACGTTTGCTCTTCACGGTCTCGGAAGCAAAAATAGGACTCCCTCGGACCAAAATTATTTCTCTGAATATTTTTTTAATTTTTTCATAAATTATCCTTCGATACTCAAAGAGCTACTCGAATGTAGAGACTCGCGCATTACGTCACGATAAGCAGACGGTTAGTCGAAAGAGATCGCACAGCATAGTCTTGAGTTGACTGTGCAACGGTTGGATGAGTTCAGATTATTGTCGTCTGTCGTCTGTCTCATATCTATTGTTCAATATTTCGTGTGTGTGATATAAGTTTCAATAAAAGATAACTAAGAAATACCGTGATCACTCCAGGATATAAAATGTCTAAAAACCATAAGATAAATTGCGTAACTGAAATCGATACAAAATCCTTCGAGTTTACATGGGTAATAAAAAATTATTTGGTAGTTTTTGGATACGAAGAAATCATAGGGTCACCTGAAGTAAATGTTGGCATGGATGATCAAATAAAATTAGAATTAAATATCTTGAAAGGATCCAACGAAGTTAAGTTAAATCAATATCTAACTGGTGTAAAAGACAAGAAGGTAAATTTTTCTTATAAAATATCATTCATCAAGGGTGACCAAATTGTTTACACCAGAATGGGTTGTATAAAAAAGGTTTATGGAGAAGAGGTTTTTGCAATGAATGAAAAAGATATGAATGAACTCATTTCATCTGAAGGTACTGTAACTATTCACTACGAATTAACATGTGGCACAGGACCGACAAATCACATCCTAAGCGATGAATCCGTCGATACGAATGAGGTACCAAAGCTAAAATTCGACTGGATATTTCTCGATGAAAATTTAGCTGATATCAAGTTACGAACTGCATCGACAAAGGAAATTCCGGCACATAGACTCATGCTCGCGGCGGCCAGTCCAGTATTCAAAGCCATGTTTAGCCATGACATGTTGGAAAATAAAAGCCAATCAGTTGATATCAATGACATTAGTTATGAAGCTGCACTTGAGATGCTACGATACATTTACACAGGTGTCGTCAATATTCAAGAATTCTCTTTGTCTGCCGAAGTTTTAGCGGCGGCCGAAAAGTATCAACTTGGAGGACTGAAAGATGAGTGCGAGAAAATATTGATATCAACTTTATCCGCAGAAAATGCGATCGAGGCTATCATGATAGCGAATAAATACAACATGAGTCGCTTGAAGAAAAAATCAGTTGAATATGTAAAAATTAATATCAGCGAATGTCCCAACTTTGATGAAGCAGGTGATGTGATTCTTAGTATGACACAATTTCTTTCCAAGTGATTTTCGGGACATTGAGTTTCAATTAAACTGTATTATTATGTTATCGTTTGAATTCGTTTTAATTTAAAAATATAATATACTATTTTTGTACTTCAGGTCGATAATAAAAAAAAATTGACTTCACCTATTCTTGTTATTATTTTTTTATAACATAATAATTATAATTTCGTGACGTATACGCAAACATAAACTTTGTAAAATTTTTTCATATAAAATGCAATTTGGATCGATGTAAAATTCCCAACGCGTGCTCTCCTTGCACTGGGAGGCAAAAATTAGTCTCTACGAATCGAATGACGAATCTTATATTTTCCCGCCATTTTTGTTTTGTAAGACGCGCGCGCATGCCGGTGTCCCGTCCGATACACGTGCTTCTAGACTAAAAAAGTTTTTCGTCCAACCTCAGTACTGTATTATTACATGTGGAACTAGTAATTCAAACAGAAATCAAACAAAAATGAATAACAAAAACAACTTGATTTTGAACAAAATATGTGGTGGCAGTATCATCGACATAAAGCCACTGTTTTCCAATGATGGAGAGTGAGTATTATTTATTCACTGACAAGGATGCAGTTTATATCAATCAATCAAATACACTATAAACATAAATATTTTTTCAGGACAATCTTTACCGTTGAAAAAAATACTCATATTAAGGCTTACAATACCTCGACTAGTGAATTAGTTAAGGAATTTGAGTCAGCCGTTCATAAAATTGTTGGCTTGGTGCAAGATCCGAGTAGCCCTGATTGGATTGTTGCTTGTTTAGAAAATGGAGAGATTGTCCATTGGGATACTGTCAGCGGTGCTATCACAGCCAAAGATGTAATCAATCATTTATTATCTATCAAAAACATCAATGAAGGATGTGCAAATTTTCTAATCATGTCTCATTTACAGGAACTCAATATACTTCAAGATGTTAAAAATAATGAAAAAGATATGAAAATAAAAACTTTTAACTTTGTTACATCTCGAGATTTTAATGGTAAAGAAGTACAATATGTACTACTAACATCTAGTGTAGACACATACACTGGAAAAACAGTTCAAGTTGCTTTATATGATTTATTAACTGGCAGTAAAATTTCCAAATACATTTTCAGGTAATTTTTTTATTTATTTCAAGATAAAACTTTAGCAAACGAATAAAATTTGGTAATCAATATTTACTCAATTTTTTTCAGAGATATTCCTGGTGACTACTATGTTTCAATTGTACACAATTATGGAGATAATATAATAGTTTTTGGTTATGACACATGGATATGTTTAAGCAATTCTGCTTTAATTTTTAATAAGTACTATATTCATTTTTCTAAATTTATGAAGTTATTTTTAAGGATTTATCACTAATTCACAATATTTTATAGGCATAAAACAACATGCCCAATTACCTGTTTATGTGGTCACCCTGAAGAAGCAACTGTGGCAGTTGGAGATAGCTTAGGGCGAGTTATTGTATGGAAAGATCTTTTGAATATTCCTGCAAAAGCCACATATCATTGGCATTCTTTACCAGTTACAGATATTGCGTTTAGTAGCTCAGGTAAATAATACTTTTGTCAAATTATATGTCCATAAAAAAATACATTTTTTAATCATTGTTTTCAATTTTTTAGGCAAAGAGATGTTCACTGGTGGTGGTGAAGCTGTACTAGTAAAATGGATTTTGGCAAAACCACAGGACAGACGTTACTTGCCTCGCTTGCCAGCAATGATAAAGCACATATCTATTGCACCTGATAATGTTTTGATAGCAATTTCAACTTTAGACAATGGTAAGAATTGTTTGAATATTGAATGCTTTATTGAAATTTAATAAAAATAGTAAAGTGATATGTTTTCATTACATTTACTAACACTTTATATTGTATCTTTTTCAGGGATCATGATCACTGATTACGATAGGAAAATAAAAGCAGTGATTCAAAATTTTACAAGAGATTTGTCTGGATCTTCTTTGTATTCTGCTGGAATTTGTGAAGATTCTCGAAGTGGAAGTGTAGTGCTGAATAGTAGAATTGGGCATATACAATTCATCAGACCTGTCTCAAAGAGCCTTTTATATAATGTAAGTTTAACTTTCCTGGTGAATTAAGTCATGTACTTATATAAATATTTGATTCATGTTTCAGTTGGATATTACCCAAGAAAATATTATATCTCAAGAAAGAAATATGAAAATCACTAACACTACTGTCACAAAGATAGCTGTAAGCTCTAATGGAAACTGGTTAGCAACCATAGAAGAGCGAGAAGGTTCATTTATGGAAGTGCGATTGAAGTTTTGGGAATTTAAAAAAACTCAACAAACGTAAGTCTATATTAATCTAGAAGTTACTATTTATCAATTATATGAAATAAATATGAAATAAATTGTATAAATTTAAATAATGTTGTACTTTCAGATATGAATTGAATACTGTAATTGAGGATCCTCATGTTAAAGGAGTAAATTCATTAAAATTTAGACCCAAAACGGAAGACTGTGATTCGGACAGTGAATTTTTAGTAAGTACAGGCAAAGATAAGAAATTCAAGGTCTGGTACTTGGCTGATGGTGCAACTATTGAATGCAGTAAAAATTATTGGAGATCTTGTGGTAGTAACAATTATTGTGAAGAAATTCCTGAAGATGCCTCTTATGTCACAGATGGTTCTGTACTGGGTGTAGCATTTGGATCATCTCTAACTCTTTGGAGCTCAAAAACGCTCGCTTTCAAGGGAGCGTTAGAACACATGAAATTTCCACAAACATTAAAGTAATATTTAGTTTTGTGTATATAAATTATTTTTACGTATGATTTTTAAAAACATGAACAATTTCATTTTCAGGAGAATCGAATTTGGAACAAAAGATTGTTGCCATTTAGCAGTTGTGGCTTCGAATGAACACTTGGCTGTGTGGGATTTAACTTCATTCAGGTTAAAGTGGGTTGCTCACATAAATCTGGCAGTTTTGGCAGCTGATCCTCGTTCTACTTATATGGCTGCATTCACCACTGACAATAAACGTAAGTACAATTTAAAATGTGGATTGACTTCATTTCATTTTTAACAATAATTTTTGGTTGTTACAGTAATTGTTTTCAATCCTAAAAGTGCAAAACCAATATATGAGATGGAATCGGTGGTCAATTCGGAAATTTCCATCATGAGTGCATGCTTCGTTCGGAATCAAGAAGCCAAAAATAACACGGTTGATTGGCAAAAAGAATCAAAATTAGTTTTCCTGACTTCGGAACAAGAACTTTTGAACTTGGACTCAGAATTTGAGTCTAACGTAGCCTTGGAGAATCTGTCAGTCAGCAAAAATCTACCCCTCACATCATTCAGTCGCTTGATTGCAGCTGAAAGAATATCAGCCGTTGAAAAACCAAAGGCTGCCGTTAATCAAGATTATGGATCATACAAGACCTTATGCGAAGAGGTAATTTTTTGTGCAATTTGCATTGAATATAATTTTCTTGATCTTGGCCAAAAAACTAAATGTATCTTTTCTCTTGTTATTTTTTCAGCTCTTTAATAACTCAGCCAACTCTATGCCACCTATGAGCAATTTATGCTCGCAATTCCTGTTGCAGCTTTTGAAGCTGAATTCTTCTCAAAATAATGAAGAATAGTGTGGTACTCAGCTTGATATGAAAATTTGTAAATATAAATCATGCTAGATTAATTTTATACATACTTGTATTTAACTGATGTATATAAAACAAAATATTGCCACCAATGTTTGAAAAACTTGTATTCTGTTATTGCTTTGATAGTCACTGGTCAGTATCAATTCAATGCAAAAAAAATCCACGAGTGCGATCATGTGTATTACGAACGACTTTAATAATTCAATTAGTAGTATGGCAATAATTTAACTAGTACATAGTTAAGGATATTTCGAAGCCGATGACGATCGTTGTGAATCGACTGTTTGTTAACAATAAAAAATTAAAAATTTATGGATTTGGGTGGAAATATTAAACTTCAAATCGTTTAAATGCATTGAATGATATTTTTTTTCATATGTTTCATTAAAATATATTATATAATATTATAATTCACTGACTGTCATTCAAAAAGCAGTCCAAGTGTTTATTTTTTTTATCATTTTGCTAATTCGATATACAGCAATGAGATCTAAAGATAAACTCTCTTTCATTTATTTCAACATTTGTCTAGCTTAAATTCAATATTATTTACAATAGATAAACAAATCATTCATTAACACTTTACAAATAAAATACATATCATTATGCAAACTGAAATCTCAACGAGGAAAAAACAAAAATCGTCTTCATTCGTAATCGGAACTATCGCTTCCATCGGAATAATCGCTGTCGTCGCCGTCGCCGTCGTTGTTATAATTTTTATCGTTACCGTAAGAGTGGTAATTACGTCTCGTCGTGGCCGCCTGCACCTCCTGTCGCGAGCGAGCCGCGCGCAACGAGTCCTCCCGCTGCCTGACTCGCATCTCCTGCCGGTATCTGAACAGAGGTCGAAAGACGATGTCCTCGGCCACGTCCATGTCCTCCTCGTCGCTGGTCAAGCTACTCGTGGATCTTAGCTTGATCGCTCCAACGAGACCTTGGCTGCCGCTGCTGTTGCTGTCGATCCTCAATTCTGAAACTCTTTCGACCTAGAAGGCAGGTGACAGGTCAACGAGAGACGTGGGAGGCGCGCGGGAGATCAATCCTACAAATGCATGGTGTGTGTTATAACTCGTGTACACGTGTCATTATTTTTTTAACTGTGCGTATATAGTGCAAGATAATTTTCTCTGATTTTAATCGTACTAACCGAAGGATTGTAGCGCTCCGTCGTGTAATTCTGCTCGATGTCGTCGGACAGCATGGCAGCCCTCCTGACCAGCGTCTTCATGTATCCCCCGGTAGTGGTAGTCGTGACAGTGGTCGATTTAATCTCGTCGCTGTCGTCGTCGTCATCCTCATCCTCATCCTCTACCGATCTCTTCTTCACTTCCGCCGAAGTAGTATCGACACCACTAGTAGTGGTGGTCGATTTTTCCGTCACACTACCGTAAACTGCATCGTCCACCATATCTCCATCCTCCGCCGAACGTTTGGTCAACTCCGTACTGACACTGCTGCTGCTGCTCCGGCTATCCTCATCGGAGCCCGAACCATCTTCCTCGCTTATGTCGTAGTACGCCGATCTCTTGACGATACTCCCGATGGTCGTCGAATTGCCATCCTCCGCCTTCTCCTCGCTCGAATCATTAGACTCGTCGCTACTACTACTTTTGCTCTCGTCCGAGTCTACGGACCTCTTGGCGTTTCTGTAGGATGTGAGCAGCGTCTGCGGCGTACTACTGCTCGACGACGCGATCACCGAGTCCGACTGCGCCAGCGACTTGGAGAGCAGATCGACGATCGTCTGCTTGGGGAAGCTGAAGTTCTGCACTCCGCTGGGCAGCTCGACCTTCTCCGTGGCCATGCCGTGCGACAGATTGAAACCCGACACGATCTCCAGGAGTTTACCGGGTTCGAGCACGGAGTTGTTTTGGTTGCCGCTCGACACGGGGGCAGCCACGATCGGATAGCTGTGGGTCTCCTGCGACAAAGCATATATCGATCGATTAAAATATATCTATTTGAAAATGTCTATCGTTATTACTTACGGTCTCGTTGTCGGTATCGTTGGTCGGCACCAATTGCGACAGGCTGTACTCGTTGACCTCGGCGACCTCGGCCGCGGTGGGTTTTCCCGTGTCCGCGTTGTACGAGCCGTTGTGCGGCACCGCGTGTATCTCCTGCCTGTGAGCTATCACCTATACGCGTAACACGAGATTATAAATTTTCAATTTTCGACGATGATTAAATATAATAATCGATGTATATACTTACCAAATCGGGCGCGTTGACCGGGAACAGCAGCAGATCCTTCCTGACCACGACCTCGGACACGGATCCGTTCTCCAGTGCCGATTTCACCGTGGCGTCGACGCTCGGATCGTGAAAAGCCACCGTCTTGGTGTTGCTGGTGTTAGACGGCTCGTCTTGGCCGTACGCGAGAACCGCCGTAATCAGCAGAATCAAGAACAGAGATCTGCTCGTCTGCAACAAGAATCGATGGGAAAAGTGTTTATACGGCTATAATTGAACGATCGTATTGCGCAGCGAAAATATATATAAACATTGCACAATCGATTACACGCGCAATGCGTTACACGCGCGAAGCCCGGGAAAAACCCCCGCGCTTTCCCTTTGAATTATGTTTGCCGCGCGCGCGAGAGCTGCAACGTGCATTCTCCGCGCCGGGAAAATTCGCGAATGATATAAGTTGAATGATTAGCGAAACTATGTAGATCGATTTTACAAAATGATCATTTTTTTTTTTACGAGCGAGAATGTAAAAACACTTTATATCAATCTTACTTGTTCGAGTCTCTTCATGATTGTGTGCGAGGACAATCCAATCGAATATTCGAATTATCGTCGCGACTCGAAACTCGGGAAAGGTAGGCTTCTCGAACTTTTTTCGCACTTTTTATTTTTTTATTTCTCCCGTTGCCGTAGTTACATATATCCGGTGAAAAAAAGATCTCGGAGTCTACTACTGGCCGATAACGGTCGGCCGACAGTTTTTATATCGGACCAGCGACGCGTTTAGCACCGCGTTGCTAAAAAAAGTACATACATACGCGCGACGACGATATGCGCCTCGTGCCGATACGATAGGATACGTCGTGCATCGATGAGTAATTTTTTTTTCGGGGCTTAGGAGAAAAAAAAATCGTATGCCTTCGTACCCACGCGGATTTGCTCCGATTTCGTCAGTTTTTTCTTGCAAGACGAATATAGAAAAGGAGTGTATTTACATAGGTGCAATTCATCTCGGGCGTATTCGTATTCGTGGCGCGTACGTTAAATAATAACGCATAATATTACGAGCTGCAGCTCGTAACGTGACGAAATCTTTCTGATTTCAAATTCGCGTATTTCGTTGCGAGTGTATGTAGGCTAATTGTTATCGTTTTATTTTTGCAAAAAGCCGAGCGACACATCGACTACTGCGTTATACATAACGATCCTCAAAACAAACATCGCTTATTTCCTATTAATATAGACGTGATATCAACAACAAAGAGGAAAATTTATAACATATAAAATAATAAAAGCCCATTTATATACACATATCGCAATGATACGTACATTGTACGTGCGCATATGCGTCACGTATAGGCCGAGACGCGATCCGCGCGCAAATTTTTTCTCGGAAATTTTGTTTATCGAGTTGTTAAATGGTTAGCACACTTGGTGTCGAGTTTTTTTAGCGCATATATGTACAACGAGCTTCAAAGCTCACGTGTCCGCCACGAGCTAGCTCCAATGCACACACATATATAAATCGACCTTCCAAGCCTCCGAGTAGTCGTCTATGTGTATCTTCTTGCGAGTGTTCTTGCGACGACGCGTGTGCGTGGCTCTACTCGAGTTTTTGAAAAACTCGCGCGTGAATCTTTTTTCGAGCGCGCATCGGTAATCGATAATCCAGTGCCGATTTGAGGTAAAAAAAGAGACGAGTCGAGTTTGTGTTTGAGAGTTTAGAGCTGCCAATCAACAATCGAGATGAGACAATCGCGAACGACATTAGCAGCTCTGATGGTCGTCCTCGTCGCGGTGGCTGAGATCTGCTCCGCTTCAAGGCCATCGTCATCGACCGAAGAAAAGAATAAAGAAGAAGTTACAACTGCGAGACTCGAAATCCGGAGTGATCCGGATCATCAGCGTCATAATTATCGAGAAATTAATTTTCCGTCGCTTTCGCGAGACAATCAGGGTGGTGGATTGTCGGTCAGAATCTTAAACAACGACAACGAAGCAAAGACAAAGCCACGAGTTCGCAGGTGGGACTACTCGTCGTACAGCAACGACGACGGCGGCTGGGGACCGAAGAGACACTCGTTCTACGATCCAAGACCCTATCGCGTCCCGAGCGACTACGTTTTCCCGAGCGACAGACGCAGACAGCCGCCCAATCGAAGAAACAGCCAAGTCAACAGGTTCAACAAGCCGACCTCGAGGAGACCCTTCAGAATTTACCCCGTTTTTCCGGGATAAAATTATGATCGAATGAATTTTTTTTCCAATACATACATGTACTTGAGTAATTATTTATTGTTTAAAAATGCGTTCGCTCTTAAAAAATACGTACGTACAAAATTCACAAGACTCGACCAAAAACAGTTATTTGTATTTAGCATGTGTTTACTACAACTAGCACCAAATCACGCAAAAACATAACGGTGTATCCTCGCGCGCTCGCTCGCACCACACGAGTTCAACGAACTCTTTTTTCTTTTCGATGTGTATATCCGTGTCTTATAATTTGCTTTCTTTCAATTTCTTTCGGCGATTTGCCAGGGGGGCCTCTCTCGCGCTCGCGAGAGCCAATAAAACCATCGATTCAAATACATTTTCTAAGAAGGTATACAAAGCACGCGTGAGCGTTTGTCTGTTTTTTTTTTTTTTTTAGCTACGTGCGAAACTGGTATTTATTGTTATTTATCAGGTATAACCAGTCTGCACTTGTATAGTCTTTTAGTTTTATGATTCACATGTAATGATGATTTTAGCGAGTAAAGAAATTTCAATAAAGCATTTGTACACAAACATTGGATTATTTTTTAATACGATCACTCTTTCTCTGCCCTATATTGTAAAGATTAAATTATATTCATCGCAACATTTTTTGTGCAGCCAGTAGCAGCTACAAACATTTTTCAAACGATCGGATAATTATAATTGTGAGTAAGCGCGTATATAATCCATAATCGTCACGAAAATTGGAACTACTATTATGCAATTACATGCTACACGTTAACTTTTTTCGCACCCGCGGGTGTGTATAATTTCTTTCTCTCTCTCTCTCTCTCTCTCTCTCTCTCTCTCTCTCTCTCTCTCGAGTACAAATCATCGCATCGCAACGCGCGGCGTATTACGCAAGCAGCCCTATTAAGTCGAATTGGGATAATCAATCGCGATCCCGTCGAGACAAACTACTGAACTACTGTGGCCTGTATTTTTTATTATCAAATCACCGAAATTGCTGACCCACAAGACTCCACATTGTGCCTTACGCGCATATAATAAAATATGTATTTTTTTGTTACCCGGAAACATCTCGTTATACTCAAGGTGCATGGCGCGCATAAAAGTTATGGATTTTCGCGTGATTATAATATTATGTAACGCGAGCACGGCTATACAAGAATGTAAATTTGGCAATCGATCAAATGGAAAAAAAAACTACTACTCGTGTTGTGGAGCTCGTTGAACGTATGATATACGTATATAGAACCACCTGTAATCATCTGCGTATACATTAACGTCAAAAGAAGATGATTCTTATATAGCGACGGGTCGCATCCTCGTTGAGTTTGTAACGCGCACGACTGAAAATACATTTCATTTTTCTTTTTGTTCTTCATTACCCAACATTTACGCACTAAAGTCGTAAATTTTGCAGCAGAGATACGATCCATTGCCCAACGAGCACTTTTAAGAATATTGCCATTGCACCGCTCGCGCGTGCCACATATCGCAAACATTGTCTCTCTCTTATACACGTTACGCGCTACACATTATTCTTACCTATTTGTAAAAAAAAAATGCGCGATGTACATAGTAATGCGCATAAGTCTTGAAAACTTCGACGTCATAATTGTGTGTACGCGAGCCGCATATCGTTATTTTACGCACACGCAAAAAAAAAAAAATTCATCACGCGTTACGCTGCGGCCTACGCGAACCTTTCTTCGCTCTTCTGTTCCGATTTTTATAGGCCAATTGACGCCTGTAGACGAAGAGCGGCCTCAGCACGTTGGTACCCGCGGCAGTTTCCAGATCCTCCTCCCGCTGCTCCTTCTCCTCTTGGCTGTTCGATTCGGCGCTGCGTTTGATTAAATTAGCATGGCCACGTCCGATCCGGTCGCTTTCTAATGATCGCCGATCCACCACCACCAACGATTCGGAGAATTCGCGAGCGGAGCTGGCGGCGGACGCGAGAGCGACCAGCGTGAATAGAAGAAAGACGATACCCGTGAATGCCTGTAATTATAATTTTGTTACGGATATTCGCGTTTTAATTAGAGGAATTAAAAGTAGGCAAAAAAAAAAAAAATCGCAAGTCACCATGTTTTTGTTGACGTCCTCTGGCTGAAGACACAGCCAAGTTCAATGCACCCGATCGGTAGCCATCGCGGCCTCACAGTGCCGGCACATAACAATCGCCGAGAACATTTATATATGCAGCCGATCGAGTGCACGCAAATGGGAGTGCGCTAAGTACACTCGGGTGACGACGATTGCCCAATGTGAGATCGCGTCGTACATTATAACCCGCGCCCATTTTTGTTTATGCGCGAGGCACTGATATTGGAAGATGTATTGAAGAAAAAATAGAAAAGAATTTGAAAAATAGTAGCCGCGCGTGCAGGTGGATTTTTGAGTTAATATACCGATTTTTCGCTGCGCAATACCGATACTAAGGTAAACAGATGCAATTCGCGTACGCACTTCGCGGATCATCTCGATATTTTTCATATTTTCTCGGGTAAATAGCGACTTTGAGCTTCCGGAAAAACAAAGTCGGTGTGGAACTACGGTAAGTGATCCTCGATTTACCTAACACGATTTTACCTCGTGATTAGTGTCGAAAATATACAATAATAACAACGACAGTTTTTTTTACAATTTTACGAATGATTTTTTTTTATTCATGTCATGGTAAAAATATAATACAATTTGTTTTACAATTACAACTTATCAGTGAGTACGAAGTTATTACATAAAAAAAGGACTTATAACGAAATGATCTCGCTCGACGATCGGCGAGAAAAATTTTATTATTTACACGCGTCGATTTTTCCAAACGACTCAGCCGAAGAACAGACCGAAGCCGTGGTCGTGATGATGATGATGGCCGTGGAGATGTCCGTAGCCGTAGCCGCCGTAGCCGCCGTAGCCGTGATGATAGTCATCGTAGTGATGATGATGATGATGGCCGTAGTCGCCGTAGTGGCCGTGGCCGTGGCCGTAATGATCGTGAAAGCCGAAGCCCAGAATCGGCGAGCGACTGTACAGAAATCGATATGAAATTCGTTAACGATTTTTCTTTTTTTGTCGCAAAATTTTCAGAGAGAGAAAGAAGTTTGGGTGTACTCACGCTTGACGAGCCGAAGCTTCGCCAGTAACGGCCGCTTGAACGGGCTCGACTTCGACGACCTCGACGGTCGCTGGTCCGCCGATTTTCGTCAGGCTGTCGAGGCTCGGATTCGGCAGGACGCCGGCGTTGACGCACGCCACCACCACGAGCACAATCAGAGCCTTGGAAAAAACAAAATCACACATTTTTTCGATTCGAGATCTCACAAGGGGCACTTAGTAAAAAAAAATTAATCGATCGATACTTGATTCTTGAAAAAAAAATAGCTCAACCCAGCAACGCGTTAGAAAGTATCGGATCAGACACTTACCGAGTATCGCGACATGTTGAGTTATTCTGTCTGGAATCGTGGCGAATCGTGGGCCTTATATATGTGTGGGGCCCATGCGTGGCCTGGACCATTACGACTACTACTACTACTGCCACTTCTCAACCCCACTATTACTTTTACCCACACTTGCTCAATTCTCGCGAATAGTTTTCAGAAAGTAAACTCTTTTTTTTTCCATTATAATACGTATATATATATTCGCGAGTTTGTGTTGTGCATATTATATTAGGCGTCATAGAGTAGGCGGATACTATACAATACGCGAGTTTACGTACACGGGGGGAATCCCTAGCCGGCGCGACGCAATCGTCAAAAGGATTACATTATTCCTGTTTTACTTTTGGCATAATTGATTGATTTTTACGCGCACGTCTCGAGCGCGTCTATTATGCTACATTATACGTTTCAAACAGGTCGCGCCGTGGCGATCCGGATAACGACGCGAAATTTCTATTAATAAAATTAATTATGACGCTCTCTGCGGTTTCGGTTCATCGACGCACGTAGCAGGTACTCAACGAGCCTGACGATCTTCGCCTCTTTTCGCCTTGTTGACTCTATATTTTTTTTTGCATTGTATTTATTTTTTAATTCGAGAGATCCTGATCATCGTTGACGTTGGTAAATACTAATTTCAAGTAGACGCGCAAGGTCGAGGATCGGGATAAAATTTGATCGTGACGCATCTATGTAGACGATTAAAAATAATCAAATCGACTTTGCGCGCGAACATTTTTGTGGTCGATCGAACCTACGAGAAAATATATAATTGATGATCCCGTTGCTCGCGCAAATTTGTAACACGTATAGGTATTGTCGGTTGGAATGGACACAAATAGTTCGCGAGGTTTTATCGATCTTTTTCCGAATGGCAGTTCGAATGGATAAGGAAACTTTTCTGAAGAGCTGAAAACAGATACGGCTTTAGTGAAAAAAAAATAATCAAGAAAAATAATATCTAGTGATTTTTTCTTTTTCCGGCAAGACGTATTTACGATGAATATTTTCTTTAAAAAAATAAATGTATATAAATGAAGATAAATAATATTTTGATAGTTATTTTTGAAAACAGTGCTTTTATTACAAACTTCTGCAAATCATACATAATATTCATAATATTTAACACAATTTTTTTTTTATATTCAAAGAACAATGGAGTCATTTCATAACTCAATATCAAATTCACACATAAACTCAAATGGTTTAAATTTAAAATCAATATTTCAATTTCAGTAGATTTTACTTTTGTTATTGGGGATAATTTTTTCAATCATACTGAAAGTTTTCAGTAAAATAAAAATATATGACAACTATATTTGTGTAAAAAAAGAAAAAAAATAGCTTCTCATACTATAAACGATTAGCTTGGATATTTTTCTTCAAGCTAAAGTGATGATGGCAATACAAATAACTTTGTAAGAACCTCAAATGAAATGGAGTAACATGATTCTACGTTTTAACAGCCAGTAGGAGCTGTTCATCAGAAAAAAGATATTAGAAAAAATATCTATGTATTGGTCTAAAAAAGTACATCTATGAAATATTTCTTTTTTCTCACAGTTAGTTATTAAGGTACTCGATGTAGGACTGTATACATAAATGAGACTAGTTTCACAATGCGCTCACTTTTGACTCAAAAAGTTCACAAGTCTCATCGCAAAAGACAAAAATGATGCTAAATTAATGATATCATTATTTTCCCAGAGAGTCCCCACGTTTAACAGAGTTCTTAGCTATCGCAAAGAACCGAAGTGGATCTGTTGATTGTTGTCTAGCAGGAGGGCCTCCGTCTGTTGATTGTTGTCTAGCAGGAGGGCCTCCGTCTGTTGATTGTTGTCTAGCACCTGGTCCGTTTTTTAGGTAGGAATTGTTGCAGCGAGGACACCGTGCATCCTGAAACACATTATCAATCATCATTTGATTTGAAGATTTGAAAGTTAAATTTTATTAAATAATAAGAATATGTTGAAACTGATCATTCCATAAAAATTCAATTTTACTTTTTGATACATATGCAGTTAAATTATTATCATTAATATTAATTCTATAATTTTTAGATAGAATGAAAAGAAAAACTACATTTTGTAGTAACGCACCGATTTTTCTAATTTGTCCTGTAATTTGCTGATTTCATCGTTCAGAGAATCATTTTCAAAATACACTTTTTCATACTGATCAAGTATCTCTTGGTTATTCAATAACTCTTTTTCCACACGTTCACTTTTAATTTTTAATTGATGCCTTAGATCTTTAACCACTCCTTCATACTTCTCGATCTCCTTTTGTGATGAATGGTGTTCCCTGTTTGTACAAATTTGTAATGACTCTTGAAGTAGAGTCTCAATTAATCTTTTTTCTGTAAATTTCGCAGTTTCCCAAATTTTTGTTGAATCTAATTTGATTTCTGGATAAACAGAATTAATGTATGATATTAAATAATCTTTATCTGCACGATTAATTTTTCCATTATAATTGTGGGCAATGTCTTTCAATTTTAAGATGTCATGAGGAGAGTCCTAGAATTTTTTAAAATTTCAATTTTTGTTCTGTTTTAGAAACCATCTAAATAAAAACGTAGAAAAATGTTTACTCACATTGCTAGCAATACTAGAATGATATAATAAATCTAGCTTTTTCTTCAAAATTCGATCGATTCCTTCGTGGACCATAATCATTTGATTTCTTTCCTTGTAAGACGTTATTTCATTGCTTAAAGATTTTAATTGAATGACCAAAGACTGGTACCGTTCAGAATCTTTTGATATTTTAGTTAATGTATCTTTTAATTCAGAAACAGTTATTTCTGAATTATTAGAATTTTTTTCAGTCTCAGAATTTTTAGGAACCGCAGATGCTTCATATTGATTATTTGAATCAATATTAGTTTCATTATTTTTAGCGACCTTAGTTTGAGACTGAATCTTGTACTAATTTTTGACAAATAAATGATTTGTGACAAATAAAAATATTGTAATTTTTATATTAATTTGAATTTTTTTAAATTATAAAATAAATTATACCTTGTGTGAACTTGGTTTGGAAGTTTCTTCAACTTCAGATTTAATCAAACTTCCTTCCGAGTCTTGTTGCTGGAGTTTTTTGTTGCTTAAGGCTAATTTGTGATAAGCTATTTCATCACTTAACTTACGATTTTGGCGTTCTAAAGATTGCCACTTAGCTTCATGCTCTGCGCTTACTTTTTTCAAACCACTATTTTCTGTACACAGAAGCATGAAAGCCTCTTGCGTCTCGCTCAATGTCATTTTAGATAATAGTGCAGGATCCTGAGTACGAAGAAGTTCTTCAGCCTTAAAACCATGTAATTCATTAATAATAAAATATCACACTATGTAACTATGGACTTACCGTTACAGTTTCGTTTCCATTACTAGCCCTTAACCAATGTTTAGGAGACTGTAGGTCATTTTGCTCTAGGTTTGCAGGCTCTTCAAAATTTTGTTTAGGCTCATCAATTAATTCAAATGAATTTTCAGATTCAGTTTCTGATTCTACATCTTTATCACAATATAGTGATATTATTCTCTCTAGGAACAGATAAGTTAAAAATATAAACTCATTTGACAAATCATTTTCAAACCTTTACATTTTTAGAGAGATATTTTAAGAAATTATGCTTACTTTTGTAATCAACTGAATTTTCATTTGAATTTTCGCAAGGCATCGGTACATCTGACTTTGAAATTTGATGGAACTTGATTGTACTTTCATCTGAAGAGGATTCTGATTCTTCCAAATTGTATAAGAGATGGACGCCCTTATTTGATGCCATTTTATTGATTAGCCAGAATTAAGTAAATGAAGATTTTTGAAAATGCTTAATATCTCTGAAACATAATATAATAAATAATCAAAAAGTATATAAACAATAAAATTAATGTTAAAAGTATGACTTTTAATTTTTACTCTCGATGTAAGAAAAAAAAAAAGGATTAAGTATGCAATTTTAACCCAATATAGTTATTTCTTTAACAAATCCTTTTTGTATTCATGATTCAATATTCTATTAATTAATAAGCTTTATTCATAAGTTTATTCATACTAAATTAATGGATGAGACATAAAAGTTTCTTTTGCTCTTTTATTGATAAATAAGCTGAATCATTATTAATATTACACTATCAGACAATCTATATTTAAATTTCTTATTAAATTAATATAGGAAAGAGTAAACACATCCATAGAATAAAAAACTAATATTAAAAACAACTCAAAATATTCATGTACAGTGTGTTAATAAAGGGCACAATTTTTAACGCACAGAGGTGAAGAAAAATGAAACGACGACGCGCGTGGAAGACAAAATTCCGTAAAAAATCACAGAGCTCCAAATGAGCTCATACACCACAAGTAGAATCCTCAATTTTGTAAGTTAAATATACTTATTACGTTGTGTTACGACGTGACACGCAAGCAAAACAGACAAAAAAAAGTCTACTCTCGCCTAAATTATAACGCTCGTGCGAATCTACAAATTGCGTATTTTTATTTCTCCCAAACTCGAACCGATACATACGTATGGCTGTTTATAAACAAGCTGCCTATATAGAACGTCACTTCTCTTGATCGCACTGCACAATGTATATAAAACTCAGCTAAACGATAACTCAACGATTACGGGATGTAAAAATTTACCTTCTGTTTTGCAGTGTTTATAAAAAGCGAATGACGCGTGTGAGCTCCGTTGGGCGAACTGCGAAAGGGATCCAGCGAATGGAGCCCCGAATGACGGAGTGTTACTGGTTACAGACTATGTGTGTGTGTGTGTGTGTGTGTTAAGCCTACATCATATGTATTACAGCAGTTATTACTCGGTCACGAGCAGTTTACTGTGTTGGACTATCATAGGAGAGAGGGATGACGTGCAAAGTCAGCTGCGATCTGGGGGAAAAAAAATCGATTTCATGCCTGTATCCATAAGATCGTGATGCAACACCATACAGTTCGAAAATGTCGATGTTTCTCTTTTCAAATAAATTTTATAAATTAGGATATTGAATGATATATGTTATCTAGGTATTCCAATTATTTTGATGAACTTTGCAATTTTTAAGCAAAAAAACAATTTGATTTAGTATTGTAGTAAATAAAAATTAGTATAATTCAAAAGAATGCTTACTTTTGCACTTTACTTTTTTTCTGATGAAAAAATTATGAACATTAGTGACTAACTTTTCAAAATCGAGAAGACGTTCAAGTGACAGAAGCTAAGCGCGCTGCGTCGCGAATATAAACTCCGATTGGCGTTTTGGCGCAACCTCAGATTTCAGAAGCTCCAACATTATACACGGTATACACACACACACACGCATTGATTTACACAACTTGAAGTTAGTACGCGAATTGACTGCTGTGCCTACCGGTTGTTCAGCTGCTGCTATTTACGCCACTGCCAGAACAAGTGTTGAAAGTGCAACGACTTATTTACATTCGGCGAGAGAATTTTCGATTGCCCAAAGTTTCGGAGTAACCACGAAAGTTTGTGATAATTTTCCCAGTTTCGCGCAGAGTTTCGGTGCAAAAACAAAGCCGAAATGGTCGATTACAGCAAGTGGAAAGACATCGAGGTAGGTTACTTCTCGCCGCGGAATCTTCTGGAAGCTGGGAGTAAATATTTTCGCCCGTAGAACGTATTGTTTTTGCGAATTAGTTTTATAGTTTTATCGGCGATTCTATTGAATAATAGGCAGCAAATACGTTGAACGTCATGTATGTAACGGGTATTACGATTATGTCTATTTTTTAAAGTTTGAAATTTTTGAAATGTTGATGTACAAGATACAATTGTAGTTTTTTCTTTCAGTTAAGATTTATAGAAAGTTAACTAGAAAAATGATATAATAAGTTACTAAAATCTCAACAAAAAATATCTTTAATCTTTTTACACATTTATTAGCATAATAGAGATTTCAAATAATCCACTGAATAAAAATGTCAACTTTACTTTTCAGATCTCAGATGATGAAGACGATACACATCCTAATATTGACACACCATCTTTATTTCGATGGCGCCATCAAGCTCGAGTTGAACGAATGGAAGAACGAGAAAAGGAGAAGAAAGAACATGAAAGACAAAAACAAGAGTGAGTATCATGTAAATTTATTTTCAAGCATTTCCAAACTATAGTTAACAAATTCTTTCTTTTTTATAGAACTTTGAGAAAACTAAAAGAAACCAAAGAAAAGGTTCAGGAACTAGAAAAAACAAATAAGGACTCGCCTGATTTTGAAACTATGAAAAAAGCTTTGCAAGAATTGGAGAAGCAAGAAGCAGAAATTAAAAAGAAAGAAGAAGAATTAAAGCAAAAAGAGAAACTAACACCTTGGAATGTAGACACTATAGCTCAACCAGGTTTCAGTAAAACTATAGTTAATACAAAAGCACCTAGAAAAGATGAATCTAATCTACCAGATGAAGAAAGGGAAAGACTTATGAAAGAATTTGTTAAAGCAAATGAAAAGCAAATAAAAGAGTTTGGAATGTTAAGACGCTTTGAGGACAGTAAAAAATACTTGACAGATCATCCTCACTTAGTATGTGAGAACACAGCCAATTATCTTGTTATTTGGTGCATAAATCTTGAAATGGAGAAGGTAATGTAACATTTTTCTTACTTTATATAAATATAGAATTTTAAAGATTCGATACTTATTGTTTTTTTTTTAGAAATGTGACCTCATGAAACACGTTGCTCATCAGTGTATTTGCATGCAATATATTTTGGAGCTTTCAAAACAATTAGACGTCGATCCCAGAGCTTGCATTGGATCTTTCTTCAGTCGCATAGTAGTGGCAGAAGTGGAATACAAAAGAGCATTCGAAGATGAATTGAAATCATTCATCACCAGAATTCAGAAACGCGCTGCTGAAAAACTTGAAGAAGCTGAGAGGGAAGCTGAAGAAGAAGAAAGAAAGGCTCGTTTGGGACCAGGAGGACTTGATCCAGTAGAGGTGTTCGAAAGCTTGCCAGAGGTAAATTTTGAAAGAAGCACTTTAATTTCATTCTAAATTAAAGATTCGAAATATTTAATTAATATTTTCATTTTCTCTTAGCCATTGCAAAAATGTTTTGAGGTACAAGATATTCCAATGCTGCAAAAGACAATTGCCGCCATGCCCGAAGAGGAGGCCCGTTATCACATGAAAAGATGCGTCGCCAGTGGATTGTGGCTACCAGAAGCTGATCAGAAAGACTCGAACGACGACGACAATTCGGCCGACACTACGGTGGAAGAAATTGACACCAAATCGGACGGCGAAGAAAAAGCATAAAATTGCATTTTTTTTTTTTTTAACCCATTGAAATTTGCGTCATTGTAAAACTTCGTATACACACACAATTTAATCTTTGTGTAATAATTCATATTGATTGCGAATTTTTCGGAAATTTTGTCCGCATCGATCGGATTCCACATCGTTAACGTTTTGATAGTCAACAATTGAAAATTCTTGAACTATATATTTAAAATAATAATTTTATCTGTGTGTATTATTGTCTCATTGCTGAAAGGAAGAGAGAGAAAAAATCTAATCATAACAGAAACATAACTTTGGAGCCCTTTAATAGAAGCTCGGCAGAAAAAAAAAAACATCTTCGATTGTTGTATGGAAATTATTTAAGGCTGAGCGCTTAATTGTAAATACTTCAAATCATGATATCATTAAAAAGGCATTTTAAATGTAAATAAACTCTTTTTTTTTATAAATATCGTAAACGCTGTGTGTCAAGTTTATTGCTATAACGGATCGAATACTCGATCTTCCAACACGCGAGATTCAAACGTAGCGCCATGTTGCTCCGTCCGTCTCGCGAAAGAAACTCGCGAGTTAAAGCACGAGTGAGCGATGCGAATCGAGCTGCGCACGCAGCTCCGAATTGCAACATGATTTGCAGTGGGCGATTGGCATCGTCGTCGTCGTCAGCAGCAGGCAATCGTCTTCTTGCCGTGTTTTATGCGCTCCAGCGCCTGAAAAATACTTCTCGTTTTTTGAGCATCGCACAGCCACGATATACAGCGCCACCATGGTCTCTTCCGGCGCGGCGGAGGTGTCAGCGCAGCAACCAGCAGCAACTCAGCTCGACTCAGCCGCGTACAGAACGGGACAGCCTCGGTCGACAGGGTATGAATTTTTTTCGTTCTCTAACATGATACAACAGATATTTCGCTTTGTGGCAAGCTTTGTGTAGCAGCAGAGCAGCAGGAGTCGTCGTCGTCACCCGAGGCACCCGCACGCACGACTCACGGGCAGGCCAGTTCACTTTCAGCTCGCAGCTCGTTTAGACCAAACTACTCTCAGTAAGTTTTTATAACGCACATTCAAGAAAGCCATTTTCAAGAGAGTCGTCGTCGTTGTCGTCGATGGGTTACACGTATAGACCTTCCACCGACACGAGAATGGCTGCTGCTGCTACGTTGCTGCTGCCGCTGCTGCTGTTTCCAGATTGGACTCTTCCAGGGCCCCGACAAGCTCACGAGGATAAGTAAAAAAGCGAAAATAACTGCGAGAGAGATCATTGTGTCGATAAAAAGTTGCATTCGTTGACGATACTTTTTTCATTATCATGTTATAATTATAATACACCAGTCGCGCGGACGTGTAGCAACAATGGCTTCCGCCAGCTCGCTGCAAATTCTATGCTCGTATATTGCTTTTCTGTACCGAGCGTGCGAGAGGCGCTGTTGCCACGCGTAAAAATGCGCGAGATAATACATATTTTGCTCGCTGGTACTCGAGAATACTGCTCAATTAGATTTTTTTCACCATCTCTCGTAGAAAATTGTTCTAACCGCATTTCCAGCTTTTCTCTATGGAAAATGTGGTTTTCCATACCCGTATGAGGTATACATGTGGACGATAAGTGATAACAGGCCCCACCCCCAAAAAGTTTGTTTTTGTGTTTATAAAAATATAACGAGTGTTCTGTGTATATATGTGTGTATATATGTGTGAATATATGTGTTGTTTATACAAGTGAAAAAAAGATAAATAATGCAAGTTCTGCATCGCCAAGTGTCTCTACCGAACCAAAACAAAGTTCCGAATCCGTGTCGATGACCCACATCGAGCCCACCGAGTAGTAGTCACGCCTAGGCCTAGCCTAAAAAAAAAAGCTACCGTTCCCAGTAGTAGCCATTTAAATTGCCTTCTGCTGCTGCCGCCGCTGTCCGCGGGTTTTTAATCGATCGAGCCGCAATGGCGGAGGGTTGTGGAATCCATTCGCGTCGTGCATTATAGGCTCTTTAAATCATGCATAAATTGGCAACACCGCCGCCGCCGCTGTGCCGTGCCTAACTCTCCATCTCGCGGATCGGGCCTGTGTGTTTGCGTATGTGTGCGCGTGTTTTTTTTGTTGTTGCAATCTCCACTGTGCGTACGTGACGTATGTCATGATTGTCATCCAACGAAAAACACAAGCGCACACACACACACCTTTGGCAATAATAATTTTTATCGTCTGGCGTTGGAATCCGCCGACGAAGCATATTATTTAACAACGAAATACGAGACGACGTACGCGTGTTGTTTGATCTTGAAAAAAATAAATGCTGTCGCGCTCCGTCCTCTCTACTAATCGACTGCAATTGTGCATGATATCGGCTCTCGTCGCGCGTTGACGTAAAACACCGCCGATGCATCGCGCGGAGAGGCATGACGTATCGCAACGATGTCGCGGAAAAAGCAGCAGCAGCGGGATACGCCTGCACAAATTCAAGCCTATTTACGGATCTCGCGTTGTATAAGTAGATGTTACATTCTCGATTAATTAACGAGGCATTTGCGTTCATTGGATTTGACGTCGACTTCAGGCTGAGAATCAATGTCGTGGAGACTTTCTCTTTTTCTCGACAATGGCAGATTTTGTTTCTAAAAATGACGCCTGTCTGGCCCTGCTGCTCGTGTCACGCGTTCCATTTCCGGATTTTTCATCCGGATATGGGTCCCTCGCGCCGAATAACGGAGCGCGCACGTGTTTTAATCGCATTCGGCGTCTCGATTTCTTCGATACATTCTCCTGTGTCTTCTTCTTCATTAAAAAACAGCATCGAACCGACGTTGAAAAAAAGTCGGATTTCCCTGTTGAAATTCGATCGATTTCTCGCTCGAAAGTTTAGTTACGTCAGACTCGAACGAATCCGCGGGTGCGAGCGCCGATCGACCAGTAGAAGTAGAGAAAAAAAGTCACGCAAGCTCCTCGTATACTCGCGCTTGTGTGCATGTATTGGTATAAAATATAATCAGTCGAGACGTTTCTCAAACTCGGATTCTGTTCTCGAATTTATAAAAAGTCTTTTTTTCACTCTGATGTCTGCCTTGCCTTTAAAATGACGACGACGTCTATAGCAAGGTGCGCGCGCACAGCAGGCACCTCACGCGCACACAACGGCACATTATAAGCGGGCCGCGCGCGAGTGCGAGCGAGACAACCAACAAAGTCCCCTATGTGTGTGTGTCCGTAGTAAAGGCAGGCAACGGAAGAGGGCATAGCTAGCAGCCGCAGCGCAGCACACACGCATACACATAGCTTATATATATACGCGCTGCTTTCGTGGCTGGCGCGACTGTAGTAGTAGTAGTAGTAGCAGTAGTGGTGGTATAGCATAGTACATTATATCGAGAACGAGAGAGGCGACCGACTAGTGGACTGGCACAAAATGGCGGCTTGCCTCAGACCTGTGTACATGTAGTGTGTGTCTCGTCTGAACGTTATCGCGGAATGTCGTGCCTCCCCGTCGTCGCTTTGGACAATTGACCCGAGCCAGCGTGACTTGCGATCATCCCCCGGGCGTGGGACCACCCTTTGCTTGGATCACGAGGCCCCTTCGGCCAGGATTTTTTTTTTTTAAAACTCGAGAGCGAGAGAGACGTCGGTGCACTCCGACGCGCAGACACTTGGCGATGCAGGTAAGTCCACAGACTACCCGTCTGTATTCGCAGCTATCATTATCAACAACCCCTTGCAATCAATTTATCAACTTATCGTCCACTGTTTACCGGGGGTTCGGTTCTCCGTGAGTGTGTGCGTCGACGAGTGGCACGGAAAAAGCACTCGTGATTTTTCACGCTCGCTCGTCGTACGCGAGGAAATATGGCCAAGCTTGGCACTTTAACCGGCCTTTAAACAACATTCAGGGTGAATTTTCTCGTTATTTAGCGACAATAGGGCTTTTCTTTCTTTTGCCACGGCTCGGGCGTTGTCCTGTTCGTCGTCTGGAAACACATGTAGGCCGAACTTCCTCTTGGATTTTTTACAATTTACCCAACAATTTTAAGATAACCAATAACCTACAAGTTTGTTTACGTTTTATTTGAGGGATAATTCACCCTTTTGGAGCTGGTGAACAAATCCAATTTTTCATCCACATGGTTTTCCAATCTCTAACCTATCTTCCCAGGTGACTTATTTGAAAATCCAAGTTGGACCCATTTTCATAAAATAAGCTCAAAGTTTGGCCCATTGACATGTTAGTACACAACAATCTGTCATTCAGCATGATGCTAAATGAATAAACCAAATATTTACAAAAATTATTGCTATTTTTGTAGATTATTTGGCCAAACAGATGTGTTTCTAAAAAGGCTTTTTCCATGATTTCCCCATTTCTTTTCCAATTATTTTATGGAGATTTCATTTTTATAATTTTGTATTATTGCGATTACAAAATAGAGTATCGATACATCTACTATGAGCAGTATTCTTGAGGATGAAACAAACAAAAGTATGCAAATTCTTGTTGAATTAATCTGCATTTACAGTTGAGTTTATTGTTCTATAGAAAATATTGAATTTCAACTTTGTATGACTGTTCGGCATTTATGGCTTATTGAAAATATTTCATTATAGTTGCAAATTTTAGTGACATTTCATATTTTTAAAGTAGAGATTATTTAAACCTTGTATTTTTTTAATAAATTGGTTCAATAGTTTCTTTCAATGAAATATTTTCAAAATATTTTTAAAGCTAATTGTGGAAATTTTAACTTTGTCTTGAAACAGTGTTTAGTTTTATTTTAATTTTAGATTTTTTAAATTTTTTGAATGGTCAGTTAACATTAAAACAAATAATTTGAAACATTGTTGGATAACTTTTTTTAATTCAAAATTCTCACAAGAAATTTTAATTGCGCCGTCCTTATTTGTGGGGAAAAACATTTTTAAATATAATTGAATGAGTGATTTGAGTATTCTAGTCTTTATTTTAATTAAATTAATAGTATTTAATACAATAAGCTACATTTATTTAAACATAAATCATATAATGATATTGTATGATAATGGTAAATTTTTGAATAAATAAAAAAATCAATTGAAAAACTTTTGTATATTTATCTATGTTAATATACACTTCTTTAAAACCTAAATACTTCCGTCTACCTCATTCATCCTTATATAATTGAACAATTAGATGTTTTTATTATAACACATATGGAGAACAGTTCTCAGTAAACAGTGGAAAAAATGATTAATATTAAGAACCCAGTACATTTAAAAAATTTTTTTTTCTTCAATTGATTGCAAAGAGGTACTAGAATCTTTCAAAAATGAATTAAATCTTTATTTCCATCCAAAAATGAAATTGCAGCACGTAGAATCCGAGTCAGGGAAAGAATCATCAGATTCTGAAAATGATAGCAAAAGTGGAAGCAGTTCTTCAAGCAGCAACTCAGGATCCGAGTCTGATTCTGATAGGTATGTATTCCATAATGTAAACATTTGGAACCAGCTGTTGGAATAGTTGATAATTTTTCAAATTTGTACAAAGTTCTTGATTGATTATCTATTCATTAATTATTTCTATATCAACTATTTCAATTGTCTCATCCCAAGTAAAATCATTCCATTGTGGTCACAATCAGGCTTAATATACTAACATCCTGCAACATATTTGTTGATTTTGCAATTTGATAAATACCAATTTTTGCTTTAGCACCTGCTGCTTGAATCCATATTTTATGTATTTAAATTCTATGTTTGCTTGAACCCTTCATTAATCACTTTCAACAATGGTTACATAAATGCACAAAATGCATGTTGTGAATAATATTGAAATTCATACCGGAGCAGTACTGTTTGATTTCTTCAATGATTTCAAGATAACTGATTTAACAAAAACTTCCTCAAATAATAATGAACCAATTTTAATAATCATTGATGTTGGAAGATTTCAATTAAATGTATAATTGAGGATAAACTACTTTTTATTTAATGCCTGCACATTTACATAAGTTTTTTGAAGAAAAATTTGTATATTATCTTTACCCTTACTCAAAACACTCAATTAGTTTCAAAGTTTAATTTATATCCTGATTATATTGATTTGAGGTTAAATGTTAGGTTTTTATTTAGTTCATTTATGAAATATGAAAATATTTGGTCTCTTACTTATTTCAAATTCAAGTAGCGAATTGATACTTACAGCCAATTTGACACAAGGAATGGTAAATACGAGGGTGTAATCAAATACTTTTTTTAATTAATAGATCAATTAGATATTAAAAATGTTATTATTTGGCTGCTACAGCAGCAGTTCTAGCTCGAGTAGTTCTAGTTCGGACTCTGAATCAGAACACTCAAATGAACCTGAACAAAATCTGAACACTGAAAATAATAGTACTTATCAAAGTGCAGAGACAAAAAGTAGGTTTAAAAATGATTCCATTAGAGAATGGGAGGAAAACCCTGATATTTATGGAATCAGAAGGTCAGCCCGTTCTAGAAAAGAACCAGATAGGTTTTTTGTAGCGGCTCAACAAGAAAGCGACAATGATAGCCCAAGGAAAGTTCAAAGAAAAAGGTAAGGTCTTGATAAATTTACAAAAACATTTTTTAATTATCAATATACTATATCAAGGTTAGCTTATTCATAGGTTATAAGAAACATTTATTTGGGGATGAAAGAACAAAATAGAAATTTGGCCTTGGCAAAAGTGTCAGAGGTTTAAATGAAACAAGTTCATAATATTAAATGAATATAATATTGGACTCAAAAGAGTTAATTTTGAAAAATCATTAAAAAACCAGACAAAAAAAATTTTTTTTAGCATCACATTTTAGCAATATCTTTACCCTGAACTTCGTAAGACATGAAATGTACAAACTATGATAAAAGTTTATTGATTTATAAATAGACTTTATTTATAAAATTAAGAACTTTTTCAACATTAATGAATGATCAATATTCAGTGGTTGATGTACATTTTTCTATTAACAATCATTTGAATGTTACATTACAACATATAGATGTTTTTGCACTTGCTATGTACATTAAATTTTTTTATCACCTGCAAATCCATAACAATTATTAAAACTCACATTTAATTGTGAATAACAGCTAGCTTTCATCAATAAATTGATAACTGTGATATCAGCTTATAACATTCCAATATGTTTGGTATTCACTTACTAATTCAAACAAAAAATAATGTCATATTAAATACAAATTTAAAATACATCAATCAAATGTACATTTCTGTGACAACTAATAATTATCAATTAAATTTTAGCAAATCCCATAATGCTTGGAACTCAGATACTTCAGAATCTGAATCAGATAATGAAGTTCACAGACCTCCAAATAAATCCTTTAATCGAAGAGCTGCACAGAAAAAAGAGGCTCCTAAAAGGAAAAAGCAACTTTCTGATTCATCTTACGAATCCTCTGATGGAAGTGATAAACGGTATGTTTTAGTTGATACATATGTAATTTCCTTACTTTTTCTTTGCTTCCATGTTATTATTGTTTAAAATATTACAGACAAGTCACTAGAAGAGGGGCCCAAGTTAGTTACAAAGAAGAAAGTGAAGCTGGTACTGAGAGCGATGACCTTATGGAAGTGGATGAAGCTGCAGTAGAGTCTGTTGAAACTGATAATTCAGAAACTATAGAGCGTATTCTTGGCGAAAGAATAGGCAAAAAAGGAGGTAAATGAATGAACTGACTAATATATTTGATATTTTACTGAGCAACAAGTATTTTAATTTAAAAAAATATTTAATTAATAGTTGTAGGAAACATAACCACTATTTATGCAGTTGAGGAAAATGGTGATCCTAATCCTACAAATTTAGAAGGTGTTGAAACAGAAATGCAGTATCTGATAAAATGGAAAGATTGGTCTCATATCCACAACACTTGGGAATCAAAAGATTCGTTGTTAGCATTGAAGGTAGCTTTTAAAATTTTCCTTAAATATCTATTCTTTAACAACTACAAATTATTTTTAGACGGAATTTTTAATTACACATTTTATTTAATAAAATCAGGTAAAAGGAATGAAAAAATTTGAAAATTATGTGAAGAAAGAACAAGATATTAGGCAGTGGAAAAAGTATGCTGGTCTTGAAGATATTGATTACTTTGAATGTCAAGCAGAATTACAACAGGATCTTGTTAAAAGTTATTACAATGTTGAAAGAATCATTGGTAATTATATTTTAAATATTTAAAACAGTACATATGATTTTGAAATGCAGTTGTTAACAAATTCGTTAATTTTTAGCAAAGAGACAAGATAAAGGAGGCCAACATCCTGATTATTATTGTAAATGGGAAAGTTTACCATACTCTGATTCTACATGGGAAGATGGTGCTTTAATTATTAAGAAATGGCCAGAGAAAATAAAAGAATTTTACGAACGCGAGGAATCAAAAAGGATTCCGAGCAAACACTGTAGAGTTTTAAAATATAGGCCTAAATTCCACCAATTGAAAGAGCAACCAAGCTACATGGGTCGAGATGAGACTTTTATCCTTAGAGATTATCAAATGGATGGTTTAAATTGGATGATACATTCGTGGTGTAAAGAAAATAGGTAATTATCTCTCAAAACTTGCATTTTTGAGTCAAGAAAGTAAAACTGATGTAATGAATGATTTTTATTTACTTTTTAGTGTTATATTAGCTGATGAAATGGGTCTTGGTAAAACCATTCAAACTACATGCTTTATAAATTACCTTTTTCATTCACAACAATTGCATGGTCCCTTCTTATTGGTTGTTCCACTATCGACCATGACATCTTGGCAGCGAGAAATTACGCAATGGGCACCCGACATTAACTTTGTCACATATTTGGGTGATGTTAATTCAAGGAATGTGGTAAGTGATATAACTATATTATTTTCAAAAACACTTTAAATAACATTTATCTTTAAATTTATATTTACTGATTTCAGATTCGAGAATATGAATGGTGCTTTGACTCCAAAAGACTTAAATTCAATGCTATTTTGACAACTTACGAAATAGTACTAAAGGATAAAGCATTTTTAGGATCAATCAATTGGGCGGTTCTTCTAGTTGATGAAGCTCATAGATTGAAAAATGATGATTCACTGTTGTACAAAGCTCTTACAGATTTCCATACAAATTTTCGTCTTCTGATTACTGGTACTCCACTGCAAAACAGCTTAAAAGAACTATGGGCTTTGCTTCATTTTATAATGCCTCAAAAATTCGTCTCTTGGGAAGATTTTGAACAAGAGCATGATAACACTGCTACAAAAGGATATTCCAAATTGCACAAACAGTTGGAGCCTTATATTCTTCGGAGGGTGAAGAAAGATGTTGAAAAATCATTGCCTGCCAAAGTAGAACAAATTTTACGTGTCGAAATGACTTCCCTTCAAAAACAATATTACAAATGGATTCTGACGAAAAACTTTGGTGCTCTGAAAAAGGGTAATAAAGGATCAACCTCGACTTTTTTAAATATAGTTATTGAATTGAAAAAGTGTTGTAATCATGCTTTCCTCACAAAGCCAAATGAAAATGAGAACAGAGAAAGCAATAGTGATTACCTGCAGCAAATAATACGTGGTTCGGGGAAACTAGTTCTTTTAGACAAACTATTAGTTCGTTTGAGGGAAACTGGTCATCGTGTCTTGATTTTCAGTCAAATGGTTAGAATGTTGGATATTTTGAGTGAATATCTGCAGAAGAGGCATTTTCCTTTCCAGCGACTCGATGGTAGCATAAAGGGAGAATTACGAAAGCAAGCTCTGGATCATTTTAATGCTCCTGGCTCTACAGATTTTTGTTTTTTGCTGTCTACAAGAGCAGGAGGTCTAGGTATTAATTTAGCCACGGCGGATACAGTAATCATTTTTGATTCAGACTGGAACCCTCAAAATGACTTACAAGCTCAAGCAAGAGCGCACAGAATAGGTCAAAAAAATCAAGTTAACATTTACAGATTGGTTACTAAAGATTCTGTAGAAGAAGAAATTGTTGAACGTGCTAAAAGAAAAATGGTGCTTGACCATCTTGTCATTCAACGAATGGACACGACTGGCCGAACGGTTTTGAACAAAAAGAATGCCAACACAAATACAAATCCCTTTAATAAGGAAGATTTGACAGCAATTTTGAAATTTGGAGCAGAAGAACTATTTAAAAATTGTGAGGAAGATCAAGGAGACGAAGAGCCAGTGTGCGACATTGATGAAATTTTGAGAAGAGCAGAAACGAGAGATGAGGGTCCTACTACTGCTGGTGATGAATTACTGTCTGCTTTTAAAGTAGCAAGTTTTGCGGCATTTGAAGAAGAACCTGAACCCATACCTAAAACTCAGGAAAATGATGATGAAAGTAAAGACTGGGCCGACATCATACCCGAGAAAGAAAGATCAAAAGTGGAAGAAGAACTAAGGTCCAAAGAAATGGAAGACTTGTACTTACCTCCGAGAAATCGAAAAACTTTACAACAAATCAATGAAGCCGACAGTAGAAGTAAAAAGAAGAAAAAGTCACAATCAGCCGATGATAGTGACGATGACGACGATTACGGAACTGATGAGGAAGGTAGCGACGATGGTCGACCAAAGAAACGAGGCAGACCGAGGACACAGCCCCGTGAAAATGTCAAGAGTTTCACTGACGCTGAGATTCGGCGATTCATCAAAAGCTTTAAAAGGTTCCCCGCGCCGATGAAACGATTGGACGAGATAGCAGCAGACGCGGATCTCAATGAAAAGCCTATGTCGGAATTGCAGTACTTGGCTGAACAGTTGCGAAGCAGATGCGAAGCTTGCATGAACGACTCCGAGTTCCCAGCGGCGAAAGAAAATAAAGCAGAGGATGCCGATGCGGGGGCACCTAAGGCACGGAAGCGTGGACCGACTTTCAAAGTTGGTGGCGTGCAAGTCAATGCCAAGAGCTTCAATGCTGCAGTTAGCGAACTCGAGCCGCTAGAACAAGCTTTACCGTCGGATCCTGAGCAGAGAAATAAGTGGCACATTGATTTCAAGTACGTTACATTATAACTGAACCATATTTCGTGAAAAAAATGATATGGCAAGTTTACTATAAAGTTCGATTAATTTTTATTACAGAGTCAAACCAGGAAACTTTGATTGCGAATGGACCATTGATGACGACACAAGACTGCTAAAAGGTATTTACATCCATGGCATGGGCTCTTGGGAATTGATTAAAATGGATGAAAGTTTGAAATTGGGTGACAAAATTTTACTAAATGGAAGTAAAGCGGAAATGAAGCGAATTCAAACTCGCGGAGAGTATCTCTTGAAAGTTTTGAAGAAAAATATGGATCAGAAGCAAGGAGTTACGGTAAGTTTTTTTATCCCTTTTTTGAAGCATTTTTATTGTTCAGTTTTAATTCACTGCTCGCATTAATTTTAGACACGGCCACGAAAGTATAGAAAAACTAAAGAATTAAAAAGTGCTATAACAAAGGAAATAATAGAAGAACCAGACAGTTCAGGCGACGAAAAGAAAAACAAAGTTAAAACGGAAAAGGCCATTAAAAAAGAAGAAGAAACGACAGAACTTAAAAAAGAAATGAAAGAAGATAACGACACCGTCGCTTCTGAAGATAAGAAAAAATCCAAAAAAGCCAAAAAGGAAAAGAAAGAATCAAAAAAAGATAAAAAATCAAAACAATCTGGACCCATGCATTTTACAGCGAACAACGAACCAAGAGCCCTTGACGTTTTAGGAGATTTAGATCCATCCATATTCAATGAGGTCAGTTGTTTTTTTATCATTAAATACTTTATTTCATTAGCTTGAACATCTCGTGTAAACAAATTTTATTTACAGTGCAAAGAAAAAATGAGACCTGTCAAAAAAGCATTGAAAGCTTTAGATAGACCGGATCAAACGCTAAGCGAAGCAGAACAAGTAGCCCACACCCGAAATTGCCTTATACAAATTGGTAATCAAATTAATACTTGTCTTAGTGAATACAAAGACCAAGAACAAATTAAAGTGTGGAGAAGCAATCTGTGGTACTTCGTATCTAAATTCACGGAATTTGATGCCAAAAAGCTTTACAAGCTGTATAAACACGCAACCAAAAAAGGTGATGGAGGAGACTCGTCTAGTCCAGAAAAGAAAGAAGAAGTTCCAAATAAGGTACGTTAAACTTTTAATAATTTTGATATTCAATAAATTAGAAACTTTATTAATGTATTTATCATTACACATTTATTACAGAAAACTGACGACAAACACAATTTGAAAAACTCATTTGATGGTGGGAATAAAGAGAGCAATCGAAGCCACAAACGACGAAATGAAGATAACGACGACGGCTCGGTTGGGGGTAAAAAATATGTCCTGAATAATTCAACGTCTTCCATTCCCTCCAACGTAGCATCCAATCCACCTCGAGGCTCGGGACTGAATTCTAATTTCAACGCGATAAACAACAGTGAAAATCAACTTGGCAAAGATCCTCGAGAGTCCGGTATCAAATACAAGGATTCTAAACGAGATCGAGACCGCGAAAGAGACAGAGAACGAGATCGCGACAGAGATCGCGAGCGAGACCGAGAGAGGGATCGCGAACGCGACAGAGATCGCGATAGGGACAGAATTCACGGGGACAGAAGTATGGATAGATTAGGGGGTGAAAGGATACGCCGAGACAGCGGTGGCTATCCAAGTGGCCATTACAGCGGTGGGAGAGACGACGAGCATTGGATGGGGCGCGACAGGTTCGTTAACATTTTCATATGATAACTATTCTTTTGTTTAAATATATATGTTGCAAAGTAATACTAACGTATTTTATCATTTTAATATAGATTTATGGAACACAAACGTGATAGGTTCGAACCTTACAATCGAGTGTCCGGCAGTTATCGAGACAGAGATAGGGAGCGCGATCGAGTGCATGCGAATGATAAAAGAGGCGGAGGGTAAGTTTCACAAGTATTATCTAAACACAATGTATTATTTTTTTATCAGAGAAACTAATTCACTATTTATATTTTTTATATTCAGTGACTATTATAGATACTCGGTAGGACCAAGCGGTGGTGGCAATTACAGTTATGGTAATCAAGGAAGTTACAGCGGAAATCCTGGAACTTATCCTGCTGACTTACCACCCAGTCACTTCCGAGGTAGCGGTAGCGGCAGTAGTCGCAATTACATAAATGAAAACTATCAACCAGACTGGCGACCTAGCAGTAAAGAGTACAGGCGGGATTACGACAGACCAAGGCCACCTCCTCCTGCTAACTCGTAGTCCAGCAGCATTGGAACTACACGTCGTATATAGAGTTATATACTTTTCCGAAAAAAGTTAAAATTTATCATTCGAAGCTTTCTACTGTTTCTAGAAAGCGACACCAATTCTCTCGCTGCAATCAAATGTACATGGAACTTTTTTATGTCAATATCGTGGGAGTGTGCAGCGACGCTCAAGTGCAAATGTTATTTTTTTAACAATTTTGGATGTTATCGATCGCGAATGAATGAAAGAGAGAGAGTGAATCTATTGTTAGGGAAAGTTGTTAGATTTTGCTATTAAATAAATCTCTACATTGAGGTTTCTTAAGTTTAATACTGTGACAAAATCATTAACTATCTTCTCTTCTTGAATCAGACTAAATTGTGCAATTTTAATTACGTTACGAGAAAAATTTTCGAAATTATAATTTTTTTTTATCTTTTTGTTTTAATTAGTGAAGCTTCATCTTGAATAAAAGAAATGTAGTTGCTATTCTTATGACGTTAGAATGAATGTAATATTAAGGATTGCATTTCTTACCATAAAAATTTGCACGTTAAATCAATTTTTCACTACTGCAAATTATGTGTACAGATTATAAACGATACCATGTTGTACATGGTACTTGCACAATTACCAGAACCAATTGCTATTTAGCAATTCTACTGAGGCAAATGAAATCAAGAGATTCAGATTTATTTGTAGATAGAAACGACTGATTTGATAATCTTACTTGTTCTTTAACGAACAAATAACTACAATTTATAAGATCAATGGATCTTACTGTTTTTTACAGCTGTGTAATACTTACTTTTATATAATGAAATCATATTTCTTTTTTCGTGTAAAATTTGTAAAACTTAGGCCATCATGATTTCTAATGATTTACGGAAACTATTAGTGTAAGAAAATCTTGTACACCTACTCGAAAAGTTAGGTTTAACAATTATATCATTATTACATCGATACTATTGTGATTCATTATTATAGAGGCTTACGTTCATCTTTTTAAATTGAATGCACTTTTTCGCAACCATGCAATTAGAAATTATTTCATCAATACATACTGAAAATGTCACATTTTGTAAAATTAGTAAAGTTTGACATTCGAATTGAAATAGTAACGAGATGAAACGTATATTTTTTGTAAATGATGTACTTTTAAAAATGTTTACGCGCGATCATGTAAATAATAATAAGAAATGCTGCGAGAAAACGATCATGACGGGTGTGTATGCTACTCCAATAGTAACGCAAAAGTTGAATATATGGAAAAATGAAATATTTATAACGAAAACTTTAAGCCATGCGCAGCCCTATAAATGATTGTGAATGATAAAAAAATATATGTATAGGAACTATAATTTATAAAATTTAGTCAAATATAAACTTGCGATGTATAAATTATGTTGAAGAGTTTAATGTAAATAAAAATTCGAAACACTAAATAAATATGAAATAAGTGAAACCGTATATACGTTCATATCCCTTCATTTTTATCAAGTTTATTTCTTAAAATTTCTATCAATTTAATCTGTACTAAAATGTTTAAAACGATTTTTACAAAACCTGTTATGCTGCACTGACCGCTGATTTTTAAATGTCTTATAACTTGATAACTTTTGAAACAAGCGCGGCGGGCTTACATACATCCGCAAATATAGAACTATATTGGCAGCGGGTTTATTTTATTATATTCAGCTTCTGAAATCAAAACTGTGTTTTTTTGCAAACGACCCATTTGGTTTACACAGAATTCATTCATGGCCTTTTAATGAACTATCAACTCAAAAATACACTGCATACTTTGTTCGATTATTTCATAAATAGTTTTCAATGAATGCAGTTAATTTTTGTATTAATTTAATCATATTTAAGATAACGCCTTTAGCGCGAATGCGATGATAAACACGAAATCTAATTTCTGCATACGCACATGGTTGCAGTACAAAATGATAAATTTAATTGAAGATTTTGATTCAGGAAGTTTGAGAAGCTATTCCCCGAAACTGTTTTCGATGTAAAATTTCACTTCATTATGCCTTATACGTCGGGGTCATTTACTCGTTGCTCTTTTTCTTTATAGTACATCGTGACATCCATATAAACTGTGATTCGAAAATTCGCAGTGGTCGAGCCATACACAAAGAGTCTCGTTTTTCGATCATAGCTATTCGTTGAGGCTGCTCATTGGTCGATGAGCGCGTACGTCTTTTTTTTTTCTTTCTGCATTTCGCTGCGATTCTACGCGTAGTGGTACATACACGAAGTGAGCGTGTACGGCAACGCCGAGTGAAGTTTGAAGAACGACTTCGCAGTTCGCACAGGATTCTCAACTGGACCACTGAACGTTTTACTATAAAAGGCTTAGCTTCATTCGAAAGTAAAAAATGTCATTCGCGGAGAGTAAATTTCAGGATGATACTGATTTTAATAGTATAGAGCGTGATTACTTAACACTGGCTGATAATGATTGCACGCGAAATAGCAAGTTATTGAAAGCGGTAAGTATTCGTTACGATTTTTTTTCAAATATTTTCAAAAGTAATTGTTGGGAAAATTTTTAAATATTTTTAATCTACTGCAATCATTTGTGTGTCGAGATATTAACTGCAATGTTTGAGTGTTTGTACTTTCATTAAGGGGTTGACACTTAAGTATAATAGCAATTTGAACTGCATATTTTTAGATCGTTGAGGAGAAACTAATCCCTCTCATGAAAAGAAATACTCTTTTTGAGGAAATTTTTAATCGTGTCGCCTTTGGAGGAAGCTACTACAAGGGCACCAAATATGGAAGCCCGGATGAATTTGACTTATATTTGGTGCATAAGTTCAATAAGTGCAAAGCTGATTTAAAGGTATTAAGCATATCTTCGAGATCCAAACCCGTTTACATTTTATTTTTATCCTTGCCTCGGCGTCACCTTGAGAACTTCGAAAGCCGATTGAGCGATAGAGTTGATATCTTTGAATAAATTCCATTTTTGCAGATTAATTCAAGTCATAATCATTTTGGATATGTAAAAATCAAAATGAACTATGAGCTATGCGATCGTCAAGTACCGTATGAAGAAGAACTCAAAAAAATAACACATTTCAATGATGAAAATAAATTTTTGGATCAAAATAAATTCCGGGCTTGGTTGGAAGGAGTATTCATAAAGGCTCTTGGAACTCTGAGCAGAGATCCTTACCACGGCTACGGATTACACCATGATGGAAGAACCTATTACGTAATTATCTCATTTATTAAATTACAAAATTATCTGAACTATCGAAAATATTAAAACTTATAAATTTTAAATTATTGACAGATTAGTCATAAAAAATCGGGACCTGCTTTAACCATTATGGTCAGACACCCGAGCGGAAGTAAATTGTTCGACGTCGATCTAGTTCCCGCCATCGAATTCGATGGCATCCACTTGCATTCTGGATACTGGGTACCACCTGCCGCACGTCGGCAAAATACAACACACACTGTGAATGCCAAAAGCACCACGAATTCTACGGAACATAAAAGAAAGAAGAAAAGGAATTTTGGATACAAGAGATATAATGATAATGTAAGAATTTTAACGATTATTGTATAATTTTATATCAAATGTACTAAGATTTCTATTTATTCTGCAGAAACTACCGTTTATGGTGGTTCCAAAACCACTCAACAAAAGTATATCGACGGATAACTTATATTGGCGATTGTGCTTTTTTGAAAACGAAAAAGCCATGTTAAGAGGAGAAGTGAAATCAGTTATAAAAATGATAAAAGTAAGCTTTTTCAATCCAGTAAAATTATCGAAATACTTTTTAATATATAACGCGTGATTTTATTTTAGAAATTCCGTGATACTCAGGAAATGAAGAGTATCAAGAGTTATTTCATAGAAACAATTTTCTACCACGAGCTGGAGAATCACAAAAATAATTTAGAAGAATTTCTAAGACATTCGAAAACGCAGTTACTCATCCATGTGAGTATAGCATGAATTGGCAATAAAAATTATAGAATAAAATTTAAAATGAAAATTAACACGCAGGGACTCAGAAAACTGAGAGAAGCTCTGGAAAATGGGAAACTTCCATATTTTTGGAACGAGCGTCTAGATTTATTTCAAAAGATGTCTTGGAACGAGTTAGATAATCACGCCAATCGTCTGGGTTCCATTCTTAAAGATATCGAGGAAAACATTGAAAACGACCGACTCGTACTTAAGAAACATATTTGTGGGACATCATAATTTTTTTATATACTTTTTTATACATATTTATTTTTATTGAAAAAATTTCTATTCCGCTTGAATTTCAGTAACTGATCGATAGTCTAATCTTTTAACTTTTATTTACTGTATAATTTAAAATCATTCCATTTTGATTTTTATATGTAATAATGAATGTCTTGACAAATGATTTTAATCGCAAACGTTTCCCGATACACTTCCAAATAATAGTAATATTTTAACTATTGTGTATGCGAATGTATTAGTTGTACTTGCAAAAAGTTAAATATATTGAAAATGATTGTGAATGATAGAAACATATTTATAAAAAGAATAATTTAAAAAATTGAATCAAGTATAAACTTACGATGTATATCATACCTCCTTATTTTTATTAAATTTGATTTTTATAAATTTAATTCGTTTAAAAATAATTATTTCAAAATTGAATCCCCTCCAACACCTTTTACGACTTTATAGTATCATGTAAATATTTTACAATTGGTCTTTCGAATAGATGTGGTGGAGCCATCACTGCGCCGAGCGCAAGTTTTTGAAGTTTCCGATAACGCGATTGCTCTTGAAATATGCGCAGCGGGCTAGTTTGAAAGTTTGTGCGCGCGAAGCTCGATGAAGAAACAATTTGGAAATAAAGCGGATTCGATACAATTTTCTGAGACAAGCTGTTATTTTCAGCAGCGAAAATCAATTCATTCATTCGTTGCTTTCTTGTAAAATACGAAATCAAAAATACATTGCATACTTTGTTACAAAAAGATTATTAGAAGGAGAATTTTGTTCTCACGCACGTGATGGCAAACACGTTACAAAGTCGATTTTTACGATATAAATTTAATTTTTGATTCAGGAAGTTTGTTTAACCTTTTTTCGGAAACTTTCACGAGTGTAGGATTTCATCTAGCGGCTTCCCGAACGTTCCTTCATGCAGACGTATAATATCGCTTGTGCGACACGCACAGGCCATAAAACGAAAATTCGCGGAACCAAAACAGTACATAGAGGCTCGCTTTTTGAGATTTAACTCTATATGCGTTGAAGCTGTCGATTGGTCGCTGCAAGTACACGCCGCGTACGTCTTTGTTTCGAAGTGTAGTATAAAACGCCGACTGAAGTTTGGACGACTTCGCAGTTCGCACAGTATTCTCGATCAGTCCGCTGAGCAGAACGTTCGTTTTTTAATATAAACTAAAGCTTCATTCGAGAGTCAAAGATGTCATTCACGGAGAGTAAATTTCAAGATGATTCAGTTTTTCAAGTGATCGAGAGGGATTATTTAACCCTGGATGACGACGAATGTAAAAGAAACAGCGAGCTATTGAAGATGGCAAGTAATCATTACAATTTTTTCAAATATTTTTAAACGTAATTATCTATAAATTACAATGTTTCGCGCTGATTGATCATTCCTAGCTATAATAATCATCCAAGTGCTTTTATAAGAGGAAGCGTACGCCGCAGCTCTCTCTGCTATACTTGCCGGAGGGAGCGCCCTCCTCAATGATTAAATTTAGACATTTTTAATCGGTAGAGATAACAAATCGTTAACACTAACGGGATATGTTTTAAAGTTTGGAAAAACAATTGAGTTCAAAATGACAGAATTTCATTTGCACTGTTTAACAAAACTTATTTTTTTATTGTTTAAAGTTTGACTTAGAATAATTTGTTTTTCATATTTTTAGATTGTCGAGGAAAACTTTATCCATTTGATGAAAAGGGATAAACTTTTTGCAACGATTTTTAATCGAGTTGTCTATGGAGGCAGTTATTACAAGGGTACCAAATATGGGCGACCAAATGAATTCGACTTGTATTTGGTGCATAAATTAGACAACTTCGGCACTGACTTAATGGTAAGCATATTACTAAGGAGAAATTTAAAAGCTGTTGGTGCAACGTAGTTGATATTTAAATAAATTTTATTCTTTTAGATTGATTCAGATTACTATCATCCTGGATATGTAAAAATAATGGCCAATTATAGAAATTCTGGTTTTCTAAGGTTTAAAGAAGAACTTGAAAAGATGACAGATTTCAATAATTATTTGGATCATGAAAAATTCCGAGCTTGGTTGGAAGGAGTATTTACAAAGGCTTTCGAAACTTTACCCAGCGCATCTTCCGCATCTTCTAATAGTCGAAATATGTATCGTGTAATAACTTATTTATTTTTATTAAATTACAAAATTATCAGCAACAAACGATAAAAATATAAACTAATGTACTTTAAATTATTTACAGTTTAGCCTCAAAAAAACGGGACCTGCATTTACTTTAACGGTTAAAGCGCCGAACGATACTAATGTATTTGATGTCGATCTTGTTCCAGCGATCGAGTTCAATAGTATCCACTTGAGTACTGAATACAAAAATTATAACAAATATGTAAATGCAATTTAAATGTTAACTTTAATTTTATATCGAATATGCTAAGACTTATTCAATTTTGCAGAAAAGACCGTGTTTCGTGATTTCAAAGCCCCTCTACAAAAGTATACCAAATGATAACTTATTTTGGCGGTTATCGTTTTCCGAAAATGAAAAAAACATTTTAAGTGGAGAGCTTAAGCCAGTTATAAAAATGATGAAAGTAAGCTTTTTCAATCCAGTAATATTATCGAACTATTTTTTATTATATAACACGTGATTTTATTTTAGAAATTCCGTGATACTCAGGAAATGAAGAGTATCAAAAGTTATTTCATTGAGACCATATTCTACCACGAGTTGGAGAACCACAAATACCATTTAGGACAATTTGAAAGAAGTTCAAAAACGCAGTTATTTATCCATGTGAGTATGGCATGAATTGACAATAAAAAATGTAGAATATAATTCAAAATAAAAATTAACTCGCAGGGACTCAGAAAATTGAGAGAAGCTCTGAAAAATGGGAAACTTCCATATTTTTGGCACGAGCGTCTAGATTTATTTCAAAAGATGTCTCGGAACGAGTTAGAGAATCACGCCAATCGTCTGGGCTCCATTCTTGATGATATCGAGAGGCAAATTGGTTACAACAAACTCATACTAAAGAAATATATTTGTGGGACATCATAATTTTTTTATATACTTTTTTATACATTTTTTTATCTTAACTTTAATGATTTATTTTTATTAAAAAAATTTCTATTCCCTTTGAATTTCAGTAACTGATCGTTAGTCTAAACACTTAACTTTTACAATGTATAATGTAAAGTCGTTTCATTTTGACTTTAATATGTAATAATAAATGTTTTGACGAATCGTTTTTTACTCAAACGTTTTTCCAAGTAATACCGAATTTATTTTAACCATTGTATATGCAAACGGACAAGTTATGTTCTTAAAAAAAGTTAAATGTATTGAGAAAAATATTTAGAATGGAAACTTGCAGCCATGTGCAGCCATGAAAATGATTTTGAACAATAGAAACATATTTATAACAACTATAATATGTAAAATTTAGTCAAATAAAAAGTTATGATGTATATATCGCACCTCCTCATGTTATTTCTATTAATTTATTCATTTAAAAATCATTATCCAAAATCCTCTGTAATAAATGTGACGACTTGATTGTACCACAGAAACATCTTACAATTTGTCATTCGAATAGATGCGGTAAAGCCATCACTGCACCGAGCGCCAAGTTTTTAAAATTTCGATGATGTGATTGCATTTGAAATAACGCGCAGTGGGCTAGCTTGAAAATTTATTGCCGCTATAAAGAAAAGTATAGAATTAAATTTTTCGGAAAAGAGGTATTCGACAATGAATTTAATAAAAAGCTCGTTAAAATTGTTATTATTCCATTTAAGTTTATTTATAAAAAATTTTTCGTGTCACTACATATTACACAACTCTTTTCGTACCGTACAATTTCCTAAAGCATATAACTGCCAAAATATTTACATTTTTTATAGAAACTATTCTAAATTTTCTTCGTTTGTATGCTCACATAGATGAAGGATATCTTCGTCACTCATGTTTTCGGCAATTGTCCGGCAGACAAGGTACGGAAGATTCAATGTGTAATAATCAGTCATAAAAAGATCAGCTGCGAATAATTCCAAATGTGGTCTTATCAAAATGTTTGCAATGTGTCTTTTTACCATGAGATTTATTGGATTATGCTTCAAGCTATTCAATGACGATAAATTCAAATTCTTTATTTTTTTCAAAATTGAGTAACCTTTACTGTAGTTCATTTGGCAAATTTGGTAAAGCGATATATCGTTGTTTAGCTTAACGGCTTTTAGCTCTGTAATATCTTTCTCCCAATCGTCCCTACAAAGAATGAAAATGCAGCCTACCTCTTGAATAATTCTCCATTGTAAATCATCCTTTTGTTGACGCAAATAATCTATGGATTCTTGTTTAAAAAATAAACCATGTTTTTCGTGCATATAAATATGATAAAAAATTGCGTAATATGTCGCATATTCTTTAGGATCTTCTATTTCGTAAAAAGGAATTATATGTTCAGTACCGTTCCCTCTTACTCTCATCCAACATTTGAGCATCAAAAATCTAGTTTTGAAGTCCAGTATATAGCCAGCTGACTGCAATAATTGTATCACCTCGATAATGTTAAAAGTCAAAGGATAGTTTTTCAACTCAATTGATTCAAAATTCTGACTAAATATTTTTTCTTCATTCAAACTGTCCAGACTCGCCCCGTGTTTCAAGAGCGACTTAACGAGCTGCTTATCATAACGGCAAACCGCCAACTGCAGCGGGGAATCTCCGTACTCATTTCGTGCTTCGATGTTCGCTTTTTTCTTAACGAGCATTTCAACGATCTTCTCTACTGGTTTTCTATAATCACAAAAAGATTCATAAGAGCCGCAATCGCACAGACACATCCACGCGAGGGCGTGCAGAGGAGTCGACTTTAGGTGGTCCTCCTGATTTGGGTTGGCTGCATTCTCCAATAAAAGTTGTACGATGCATTCTTGTCGATATTGGGCGGCGATGTGCAAGGGTGAACATTTCCACGAGTCGAAATTAACGTCGATACCTTCATTTATGAATCGGCGTACTGTTACTAGGTCGCCAGCCATGCAAGCTGCGTGAAAGCCCGAGTAGCCATGCTCGTCGATGTGGTTTTTCTGTAAATCCTTTACAAAAAATCGAACAACTTTTATGGTCCCTGCACGGGTCATATAATTTCTATGACTGGATTCGTTTAATTCGGCTAAGTAATGAAACACAGAATATCCGTCTTCGAGAAGAAGCTCGAGAATATTTACATTGTTTTCTTGAAGCAGTTGTATGATTCTTAAGGAGCGACATTTTAATGCGTATTTTAAGAAGTAGAACGTATCTTTGGAACAGGGAAATAAGCTTTTACAATTCAATACCTCTAATATAACCTCACGTATGATATTGTTTTCTTCATAAAACTCCATAAAGTGGCAAAATTTTCTGCGCCTGGCGTCAACATTTTTAATCCTTCGAAGTTCACGTTTTAGATCACACAGTTGTGAATAATATTGTGTATAATTATAGTGATTGTCTTCTAATGCCATAATGGAAAAAAACACTTGGTGAATTAATTTTTTGAATCCAACACTAAGCACGTGGACGACACACTGCACTAACCGTTCAGAGAGATAGAGCAAAAAAGAACGATTATTGGATGACGCACTGAGATTTATAGGCTGACTTCTGAAACCATGTGGTCTAGTATATTTTTTCTGGTATTAGAAAGTACATTTACATATATGGGGCGAATCATGACAGATGCCCCAGCGGTGTGCGCGAGTGCGCAAAACAGCCAAATCACGCAGTTTTTGACTCACTGTACGGATCGAGTCCTGCGTGCCAGTACCTTGATATACAGGCCTGGAAACCTCGACACCGCGACTTGCCGGACTCTCAGGACTTGCGCCAGGCACCTGGCCGAGAAAATGACGAGAGGATTTTTCCGGGCTTGGGCTTTGGAACCTTTTATGCAGTTGAGGAACGTGGATCTGTACAATATTTGCTCGGCGGCCAGCCCGTAAATCGTGATCGAGGACAGTACAAATTATGCATAGTAAAAAATGTAAGAAAAATATTGCGTATGCGTAGAAAAGTTTTGTTTTATTCTTTTTGTCAAATTAATAAAAAGTTAATAAAAAATTAATTAAAGAACCTCTGAAGAAGTATTTTTTTTAAAATCATTATCTAAAATCCTCTGTAATAAATTTGACGACTTGATTGTATCAACCACATAAACATCTTACAATTTGTCATTCGAATAGATGCGGTAAAGTCATCACTGCACCGAGCGCCAAGTTTTTAAAATTTCGATGATGTAATTGCATTTGAAATACGCGCAGTGGGCTAGCTTGAAAATTTATTGGCGCGATAAAGAAAAGTATGGAATTAAATATAATTTTTTTAAAAAGAGGTATTCGACAATGCATCGTTAGCGTTATTGTTTTTGTTATTTTCAGTAGTGAAAATAAAAACTGGTATTTTTTGCAAATGTATCGTACAAATATATGTGATTATTTGATTATTTAATTTGTTTATTATTGGGACCGTTGGGTATAAACCCCATACGGCCCCGATGGGGTAACGTAATGACTGTAACGTCATTCGAGTTTTTTATTTGTTTTGCAGAGATTTCATTCATTTGTTGCTTTCTTGTAAATTGACTAAAAAATGCTGTTGATAATTCTAAAAAAATGCGAATTGCCCGTTTTTCGACCACCTCACTGAGCTCTCTAATGACCCTGCACTTAGGACTCGGTTAAATTTTTAGTTTTGAAGTCTGAAAGCATAATAAATAAACATACGTTTTTGCGTGTTTGAATGTAACATTTTTGAATAAAAATTATTTAGGATTATGGCAGACACAATTTTATTGCCTAGTTCATTTTCGCGACCAGGTCAAAATTAAAATTTGAGTGACGAAACAGATTTAATAATTTCCAAGGGTACCATAAATTTTCTTTGAAAGTATAAAATATATATAGAATTGAAAAACTATTTTACTTTGTCAAAATTGCATGTATATTTCTGTTTATTTAAATAATGTCTCAAGGTGACCGGTATTATAGGCAAATTCACCCTACTTTGTTACGAATCTATCATTTTTAGTTAAAAAAAGGCGTCAATAGAAAGAATTTTTTTCTCACGCATGACAAAGCCGTTACAGAGTCAATTCCATTTTTACATAAGCGCACATCGGTTACAATACGAAACGATCCATACATAAAATTTTTGTCCGAGGAAGTTTGTATGACTAATTTCTGCAACTGCCATCAGGGTAGGATTTCATCTATATAGCTGCTGCTTCTCGAACGTTCGTTCGTTTCCCTTTTTTTTTTTAATGTAAGCTCATATCGCTACAGGGCAAAATAACACGCACAGTCAGCTTCGTGGAATCCAAGTGGCATATGAAGAGACTCGCACTGTTCGATCGACCAATCGGCGGCTTCAACGCTGCCGGTTAGTCGATAAACGTACTCCGGTCTTTGTTTCGCGAAGTTTTAATCATCCTAAAACGTAGACTGAAGTTTGAACGACTTCACAGTTCGCACAGTCTACTCAACTGGTCCACTCAGTTGAACGTTTGTTTCCCTATGAAGTTGCATCTATCGAGAGTGAAAAATGTCTTTTTATCCCGAGTGTCCAATGTTTAACCAGAAGAAGTATCAAAACGATGAGGCTTTTAAACAAATGGAAGTTGCTTTAGCCGTAGATGACCAAGATCGCAAAGAAACCACCGATCTGTTGAAAGAAGTAAATATTCATTACAATCTTTTTTTTTATATTATCAAAAATTGTTTGAGGAATATTAATATACTTGCAATCGATTTTATTGGTTTCTATAATATTAAAATCTAAGATGTTTGCGCGAATAGAAAAGCTGAATTATATGTGTTAACTTATGCAGTTTGATCAGTAAGACCGGTACAATTTATTGACAATTAAACTATAAAATTAACTGAACAAATATTATAACTTGGTAAGCTCGTTACGCTACATACATGTATAAATATTACCGCGATCGATCGGCAATCAACAACCAACAACTGCCTCGCACTACGTGTTTATATGAGCAATAATTTAAAAAAATCCTATTTTTGGAGATAAAATCGCGACATTTTTTTTTCACTCGACTCGGGTACCAACCAATGGGAAATATTTTTGAGGATCCCAGGAACATATAAAAATACAGAAACAGTCAAAATTTTGATAGCGAATTTTTTCATAGTTACTTTGGTGTTTTAGAGAACGAAAAAGCATGTTTTCTCGTAAATACGACTAATTAATCAATTTATAATTCACTGAAAAAATATCAAAACTCATCTAAAAAAAGTATCTAACTACTCTACTCGATATCAAAGTTCCTCGGCTTTCCGATGGTGATATCAGATTTTTTGAAATATTAATTTTCACTGAGAAAGTCCCCTTCAAACATGCCGAGCTAAATATCTCGAAAAACTGAATAAGAAAAAGTGAACTTTATGGTTTATTTTTGATTTTCTGTTATGAAAATGAAAATTATTCAAAAATCTGACTGCACCACGAGAAAGCTGAGAAAATGTCCTATCGAACCCTCATAGCTATAAAATAAAGCAATAGCTATAAAAAAATTCACAATCAAAATTTTGAACGTTTCTGCGTTCTTACATTTGCATAAATGCGTCCATAAATTCGTTTTTTTTTTTTTTAAAGAATTGCCCATATTATACGCGAGTTTGCGGGCGAAAACTCTCGATGAGCGCTTACACTATTAAAATATTACGTGCAAATGAAATATTATCCAAAATATGAAACATTTTTGAAGTTCTTAAAAACAACTCGGTACCAAATGACGTAGTAACTGCCTGATCTATTCTTTAACTGTCCTTTTTTTCGTTGATCAAAACTTGAGCTAAAATAAGAATTTCTTGAACATCTTTTTAGGTCATTGAGAAGAAACTCATTTCATTAATGAAAAGGGACCAACTTTTTCAATTAATTTTTGATCGAATTGACATCGGAGGGAGCGATTATAAGGGCACGAATTATGGTAAACCAAACGAAGTTGAACTGCATTTGGTGCATAAACTAGGCGAGATTAATTCGACGGTAAGCAAATGGAAAATATCCTTTTCAATCTTCACTTTATCTTTATTCTTCCTTTGGCATCGCTTTGAGAATTTTCAAAGTTAATATCAACATAGATAATATCTTTGAATAAATCCCATTTATACAGATTGATTCAAGTCATTACAAAAACGGATACGTAAAAATCAAGCTCAATTACAGCAAAGCCAGAGATCCCAATTATTTAAAGTATAGAGATATACTACCAATAATAACAGATCACGATAATTATTTGGATCAAACAAAATTCCAACATTGGTTGGATGGAGTATTTTCGATGGCTATTGAAACCTTCTTTACTTCGAAACCTGGTCTTTCAAACCACGAATTTGAATACAATGGAATTACATTTCAGGTAACTACTCATTTATTACATTATAAAATTATGCTGAACAAAAGAAACTTTTAAAACTGATGAACTCTGAACTATTCCCAGATGAATCACAAAAAACCGGGGCCAAGATTCACAATGTCATTTACAAGTTCGGGCCCTACATCACGGACACTCGACGTGAAACTTGTTTCCGCCTTTGAATTTAATGGTGTCCAGTTGAGTTCTTCGTACGAAAGATACAACGATGATGTAAAAATGATAATTTGCAATTGTTGATATTTTTATACGAAATGTACTGAGGCTTTTATTAATTTTGCAGAGACTACCGTTCAGAGTGACTCTTAAACCTTTCGACGGTTGTGGATCGAACAGCGATCTACATTGGCGTTTATCCTTTCTCGAAAATGAGAAAGACATGCTAAGAGACGAATTAAAGCCAGTGATAAAGTTGATTAAGGTAATGCTCTTTCAATTTACTAACGATATTTAACACTTTTTGAATGATACGTAATTTTGCTTTAGAAATTGCGAGATGTACACGATCTCAAGAGATTCACAGGTTATCAAATAGAGACAATTTTCTACCACGAAATGTTCAAGTATAGAAGTTATTTGCCTCAATTTTTGGGAGCATCAAAAACATTTCTGTTTATACACGTACGTATAACTTCTATTCCATCTTTTTTTTATTGTTATCATTCATGTAAATTACAATAAAAATTGATACGCAGGGACTAAAAGAATTGTTAGCTGCTTTGGAAAAAGGCTATCTGGCTTCTTTCTGGAATTCGAATTACAGATTGATTGACAGCTTCGATATGGTTTACTATGATCAAGGCAGACGTCTGCGTAAAATTCTCTATGAACTCGATAGTAACATCGAAGGAGATCCAGTCTACAGTCTATTATGCTCAGTGGAGTATTATTCTTGGACGTCAAATTCTCATTGGTGGAATCGATAGTAAATTCGAAGAAGATCCAGACAGACCATTAAATATGTTTTAATTTTTATGAAAAAGTATCGTTACGCATAATCGGATGATAGTGGCTTTCAGAATCGAATGACGATATTATATTTTAACTATTTTACGGGAAAATGAATCATTTTTGTATGTACTTCTTATGATGCACATGTAATGTTGTAGCCAACCATTCAATAAATATTATCAATGCAGAGTCACAAACTCAGATTTAAATATTTATTATTATTATGCTTTCCATGCTTCCACAGCAGTAAGCGAAGATTTTAATTTTAAAATATCGGGTTAATGTCACGTAAAATACAAAAAGACGCGGCTCTTAATTCAAATTTAAAAGCCTCCCCCCTCTTCATACCGGGTCGCACATTGACAAAACTGCAGTACACGCGCATGCACTATACATCTGCGTCGCAGCTATCGAATCCCCCCTCCCTTCCTCGCAACACAATACATTTCGCATAGTAGTGCGCCTGTATCATTGAATGGAGAATTGATGCAGTCTTGGCCGTGTCTACCAACTGTCTACGTCAGTATTATTCAGTCCTCTTCTGTCTGCACGCAGGCCCGAGCGCGTGCTGCGAACGCCACCACATCGACACACGCACGCACACGAGTCACACTTTTTACTACAGTTATAACATACATTGGGCGACTTCTCGCGCGGTGACGAAAACATTTCCGCATCTTCTGATAATTTTGGCATCGACGCACGGCGCCCATCGACGTCTGACTCGACGAGCCCAGGGACTGATTTGATTTTTTATAGGCGAGGCACTTGTCTGCAAAGCTATCGTCATCATGAATACACTGCTGAAGAACTACGGCAGCGATGGCGAGGACAGCGACGAATCCATCGACAACAAAGTAAGTCGTTTTGACAAATTTGCACTTTTTTATCGTCGCAAGTCGCTGTCGTGCTTGATTCTCATCTTTGATCGAAGCGTAGTATACGTATCGCGTTATGATAACATTGATGCTTCGAGATTCTATGATGTATCGGCCGCCATCTTGAATGTCTCTTGGGTTTAAAAGACATGCTTACAGTGCAGTAGGTGTGTTCTGCCAGGAGTATATATAGATTGGTTTAACCAACTTATGCATGCGCTAAGCTTCTGGATGAAATTGATTTTCTACTGAACAAGCGAATAATCAGTGCATAACTTGGCTCTCGCTGTCAGGTAAATTATACTATGCTGCATTGAAAACAGTGTCACGCTGCACCATTATTGATTTATTGCATCTATAAAGTCTAGCGAGCTTCGAGTGTATCATAGATATAATGGCACATGACTATTTTTCATTTAATCTATGAATATTTCTATGATATATTTGTATTATAAATTGTACTTATTGTTTATGCAATTTACAATTATTAATTAAACATTTTCAATGCTTTAGGTGTCGACTACACCTCCAAGGACCATGTTACCAACACAAAAGTCTAACGATGCTATTTATGACACAGTGCCAATGGATATGAGTGATGAGGTACTAAAAATGACATTATTTATTTAGAACTTTTTGTAAGATTTATGAATGTTTTGATTGAAATCCACTGAAAACTTTCAAATCCCCCTTGAAATCCGAATGATCTTACTCATTTGAGATTTTTTACACGCACAAAACAATTTTTTACAATTACAACATAATTTGAAGTTTATCTTCATTAATTTATGTTGCTGCAAGGTACATTACATTATAATCATTAAACACATTGCCCTAACAAAGTATTTTTATTGAATTAAAATACATTAAAATAAATGGGATGAGTACTATTTCGTGAGATTATTAACACGTAGCTCTGTTCGTAATTCATGATACTATATCTACGCACCTTGGAAAGGTCAATGCTGTGTGAGGGTCTTTCAAGTCTACCCCCAAGTCCTATTCTGAAGACTTAGGTGAGTAGAAGGAGCTGCCTGAAGGTAACAAAAATCGCAATGATCGACTCAGAAATCAATGCTAAAGAAGGATTTGGTATTCGAAAAATCAGAAAATCACTCAAATTCAATATGGTTTGAAACAGGAGAAATTTAAGTTTATGATTTTTTTTGAGCCCTCATGGTTCTACCAATTTATTTATTTCATACATCATTATCCAGTTTTTTTCAATTCTTTTTGTTGATTTTCTACATTTAAGTTTTGTAAGACAAGATTAAATTTTGATTAAAAATTTTGACTAACTGTAATTTGAAAGTTACCCTTTTCTGTTAAAACTGGATTATAAGGAAATTTAGGAACTATATTGGTTTTGGATATTAATTAATTCATAAATCTATAGTTCACTTTTTATTGAATTTGTAAATAAAAATCATATTTTTAATAGGGAAGCAATAACAATCACTCTTCTGATGATGGTGCTAGGACCCCAGAGATACTTCATGGATCCAACACAAGGAAAACTGAATCTTCCAAGGATAAGAGGTAGTACATCTGTTTTTTCTGAAATATATCAACTGATTCTTTTTATAATGGTATTTGATGGATTTAATTTTTACATAGTACGAGTACTTTCTGGTTTCACAAGCAAAAAGCTTTTCTTTTTTTCTTATCAATTATAGTGAAATTTTCTATTAAATTTATTTTTAAATTATGATAACATTGAAATTTTCGTACTATGTTAAAATTGATTATTGCATGTTAACACTATATTTAATATTATGGTGAGTATATATTAGCTGATGACTGAGCTAAAATTTATTCAAGGGATTACACAGATCACTTGAAAATAAATTTTTACATTCACATCAAATTAAAAGCAGTCTTAAGACTAATCAAAAAATCAAAGTACATATTTGGCTTGCACTTTCAAAGTGGAATAAAAAATGAAAATGGTGATTTATCTGGTCATCTCTTCGATTCAAGGCTACATTTACTTTTTATTTGTATGAAAATATATAATGGAAAGAAAATGTAGCCCGTTCGTTTAGGCCAAAATGTTTTTAGAATCCACTTTCTAAGTTAGGATTGCCTAAAAATGCATTGATCCATCGCACGATTTTCGTATTTAAAATACGTAATAATTCGAAACTGTGTGGTATGCCCTCCAGACGTTAATTTTTTTTCAGGGGAACGTATAGCGAAGATTCTAATGATAATGATCAAAAGTTAAAAGAGAAATCTGATAATTACAAAGTTGATAAAAATGAAAAGAGCAGCTATTCGAGTGATAAAAAATCGTCGGACAAGAAGCATGGACACGATTACAGAGAAAGCGATTCTAAAAGATCCAAATACGACGAGAAAAGATCTAGAGATTCGGATAGAAAGTCTCGAGACGACGATAGGCGAAAGGACAGAATAAGCAGAGACGACGATAGAAATGATAGAGACCGTTACAGAAGCGACGACAAAAAAGAAAGGTGAATATTTAAATGTAAAAATTGATGCTTCACAGCCAAGCCTCTCGTTGCTAATAATTATACTTTACTTCGTTCAGGGAAAAAAGAAGAGAGAAAGAACGCGACAGAGAGTACGAAAGGGAGCGAGGCAGAGATCGCGACAGGGACAGACGATACTCGAAGGATGACAAATCGAGCGATCGTCGAAGCGATAAGTACAGCAGCAGCGGCCGAGAGAAGGAGCGCCGACGATCGAGATCTAGATCGCGCTCCAGAGAGCGCAGCTCGACCCACAAACCATTCAATTATCGCGAGGAGAGGCACAAGAACAAATTGGCTCAATTAGAAAAATTAGGAATTGACATAAAAATACCGGACAACGTTGCGTCAGCGGGCGCCGAGCCGACGTTCTACAATCCCTTGGCAACGGCCACCCAAGGAAAGTACGCCGAACAGATTCAAAAGCGAAAACTATTGTGGGCAAATAAGGTAAATTTTACGTTCGATTCAATTTGTATCATCCGCCCTCTATCGTACTTTTATTGACAATATTTTATGAAATATTTTAGAAACAAGAGGTCGTGAAACCCAGCGCCACCACCACGGCGAGCACATGGGTAGGGACCACATTTTCTCAGGACGAGGACGGAAAACAAACGGCGAAGTTCAAACGATTGATGGGAATCAAGGAGGACATGCCGGTGGCGGGTTCCGTGAAGCCGGATCTGCTGAAGAAGCAGGAAGAGATGTTCAGCAACATGGAGCAACAGTACGAGGTGGCGCGAGCGACCACCCACACGCAACGCGGCGTGGGCCTCGGCTACGCGAGCGGCGGCTTTCCCTTTCCAAGATAATCTAGTTTTACTCACTTACCCCCCTCTAGCTGTATGGCTTGTACAAAGAAAACAATATCGTATTAGATTTTCAATTTTTACATTAAAAAAACGGTTGTCGTATGAAAATAGAGCTTAATCGCGCGCCCCCCCGATACGTTACTTATTGCGGTGGTTACAAATGGAGCTACTTTTCAGAAAATTTGTTTTTGCTTAAAAGCGAATGGATATTATGTGATTCTGTAAAGTAAATTTTACTTTAATCTTTAAATGCAGTGTATTTCAAAGTTGCGAGAAAAATGAGTCTCTTTATTTATAGTTGATGCAAGAGTGAATAATTACTATGTATAGTTTAAAACCTTTTTTTTTAATAATAAAACGAGTTATCGAAAAAGAATTCCTCGAGAATAATTTATTACTCTAAAATTTATCCTACTACCTAAATTCCAATTATCAAACAAACAATATTGAAAAAAGCTTTGTATTTTTTTTAAATAAACTATTACTTGTAGTTGTCGAATGTAAATGAAATAAAATTTCAACGAAGCCGCGCGAATCGTGCGCGAGGCAAAAGCAGCAGCAGTTGGCACAACCTACGGTAGCAACGAGAATCGTTTTGGCAGCAGTGCGAAGTCCGTCGCGGATTGGCCGTATCGCATTGGCGCGCTCTGGCCTCGCGGCATCATGGCGTCGATGTATATATTTGAATTCGGCCGTTTGCTGCTGCTGCTGCTGCTGCTGTGTGTTGTTTGCGTGCCGCCCGGTGTGCGTTGCGTTCTCCAACCGAAGCGGCGCTAATAAACCCGCGCACAAAACACAGTTCGTGTCATCTGCATCGCCCGCGCTTATATCGCCCGTTAAAAATACAAGCCTGCACCTGCCCCGATGAATGGGAGAGATCTCGCAGTCTTAGATTGATCCAGAAGAAGTAACGTCTAACGTCCGTGTGTCCGTTGTCCGCGTGTCCGGTCGCAGCAGCAGCAGCAGATTTCGCATCGCGTGTTCCAGAAGAAGACTCGCCCTCTCGTCGTCATGGAGAACTTCATCAGAATTGAAAAGATTGGAGAAGGTCAGGATTACGATACACGTTCGATCTGTTGTTTCACTTTTTTTTTTCTCCGCGTAACCGTTACTATACGTCGGAAACTTCCCTTTATCTCTTCCCATTGTTCGTAACGGTAGACTCGTGGGTTCTTTAAATCCTTTATCTAATCTTGTTGGAATATGCTTGGATTATGTATTTGTTTACGGTTGAGGGCCATCGTGAAATTTTTAACTACGGTCCTGCGAGAAAATCATAATAGTTATCATGTGATGTAATTTTCTTTAGGTACGTATGGAGTTGTTTACAAAGGTAAACATAAGAAGACTGGGGAAATTGTGGCCATGAAAAAGATTCGACTAGAAAGTGAGGATGAAGGTGTTCCTTCGACTGCAATTAGAGAGATATCTCTTTTGAAGGAACTCAAGCATCCTAACATTGTTAGTCTTATGGATGTACTTATGGAAGAATCCAAGTTGTATCTCATTTTTGAGTATCTTACTATGGATCTTAAAAAGTACATGGACCAATTGGGTAATGGCAAACTCATGGAACCAAGTCTTGTTAAATCTTATTTATACCAGGTAGGTCTACTTTCATTTTTAAATAACGCAAACAAACGTCAAACTTGACTATTTTGAATCGGTATAATACAGTTTTTTAAATTCGTGCCAATTCTTTTTTTTTACATTCGTGCCATTTCTGCATTATTGCCAAATCGATATTAAATTATGACTAAATCTTTCCTTTGTAGATCACAAGAGCTATTCTTTTTTGTCATCAACGCAGAGTCTTACACAGAGATTTGAAACCTCAAAATCTGTTGATTGACAATAAAGGTGTCATAAAAGTAGCAGATTTTGGATTGGGCAGAGCATTTGGCATCCCAGTACGTGTTTACACTCATGAAGTAGTAACCTTATGGTACAGAGCTCCAGAAATTCTTTTGGGTGCCAACCGATACACCTGCAGTATTGATATGTGGAGTGTTGGTTGCATTTTTGCTGAAATGGCAACAAAGAAAGCATTATTCCAAGGTGATAGTGAAATCGATCAACTTTTCAGAATATTCCGGTAAATTATTTATATTTTTCTATATTTATAATCTGTGCTTATTGAATTTAATTAATTAATTAATTAATTATTTTTATCCCTTTTCAGTGTATTAAAGACACCCACTGAAGAAATCTGGCCTGGAGTTACTCAACTGACCGATTATAAAGCAACATTCCCTAATTGGAAATCAAATAATTTGCAGGCTCAAGTGAAAACATTGGACAATCAAGGACTGGATTTGTTGGAAGCCATGTTGATCTACGATCCAGCAGCTAGAATAACTGCTAGAGACGCTTTACTCCATCCGTACTTTGAGGATTTGGACAAGAGGAAACTGCCACCAGTATAAAGATGTATTATTGCTTTTTTCAGTTCTGTTTTTAAGTGTTCAACTCTTAGTTATAATTCGGTACTTCAAATACCACCAATTATTGTACTAGGTTTTTTTTAGTATATTTATGATTTTTAATCTTAGATTTTACCAGCTAGTTCATTTCAATTAAGTTTATTTGTATTTTTAGTTTTATGGAATTTTAGCAAATTTTTTTTTAACTCTGACAGTAATTATTGTGTCACTAGGTTTAAATTGTGTGAAAATTGATGATTCTTCGTTGTCTAAAATTTTCAATGTGTCCGTCGTTAACAGGCTTTAGCGGTTGGCACATTCTTAAACTTGAATACTGCATGAAAAAACTTGAAATGAGCCACGATATTATCAAAGAAGTTGAATTGTCGATGATGTCGCCATTGGCAAAACTCTCTTTTGTAATATAATGAAGTTTTTTTTAATGAATGCGAATTATTGAGAAAAGCCAAAATCATAAATGAATGTGTAAATACGGTGTGTTGATGAGTTTCATTGTATTTGCAATAAATGAATATTATTCAACGCTCGGAAGTTTTCATTTGATTAATTAATAATAAATAATTTCTTATAACGATCGTGTGTATCGATTGGGAAATCGATCGCGCACTGTATTACAAGAGTTGTTACACGGATAGCCTGGAAAATACGATGTACCGGTAAATTCGCTATGTGCAAGGCACACGACGATGTTATAAACAAATGCGTCATCGCGTCATTACGTACACTCGCTGTATATTGTGTATACGGGGGTATAACCTTCACGACTTCATTGCGGTACACAGTTTACACGCCTGGCTAATTTAAAGTTCGATGGCCTCAAAAAAAAATTATACCATAATTGTTAACTGTTTCTCCTTCTTATTTTTGCATAGATGATAAACATGTCAAAATCGATCGATACAACGTCGCCAATCGACCAAATATATATATTTGGATCGCGTTTCGAAATTTCGCATTTTGAAATCCAACGATTGTAATAGAGAGCCCAGCCGTGGGAATCTTCAAGTTCCCTCTGATTGAAATCAATTCTTTAATTCACATGAATTATTAAATCGCCGCTTCAAACCGCTAAAAACACTAAATGCAATTCTAAGCCGCAGTGCAGCAGCAGGCAGATGATAATGAAAAAATGACTCATCTAATGGATCTTTATTTTATCTTATTTTTTGCGATTTTATGATAAGAGCCATCAACATTAATTTTGTTTACTGCACTCGTGCGTATATATGTACGAAGCAGCAGCAGCACGCGCCGCGCTGTATATATAGGAAAGAGCTCGTAAAGTCCGCTGCTGTCATAAATAACGCGTGCGGAAAAACCTTTGTACTTAATAAATCACACGTCGCGCAGTCAAGTACAGAATAATTTGAGAATGATGCTGCTGCTACTGCCGAGAGTACGAAGAGCCACGCAACGTAAGTACATCAAATGCAGCCATTTGAGAGCGAGAGAGAGCAAAACCCGCGCGTTTAATGATCTCTCTCTCTCTCTCTTCTACTACTACTACTATATAGAAAACTCTGGACATGCGTGTATGAAACTCCGCTATGCCGCGCCGCACTTTTTTTTTATAATACGCGATCGGGAGAGGGAGAAGACGTATAAAAGCTTCGCCGCTCCGAAAGAAGTGTTTATACAGTGCTTACCGTAGTCTCGTAACGCGCGCAAAGGCTCATCGTTCTCTCGTCTTCTTCTCGACTTGCAGAAATCGGCTTCGACCTGCCCCCGGCACAATCCTACTATACAGAGTGAGTTTTTCAAATTTTATCATTACGATTAAAAGCAGGACGACTCGAACCCATGTGCAACTGGTTAGAAAAACGATCGTTTTCAGCCGTTCGTCGTCGTCATCGGCATCTTTTCTTTTCTCGATCGAAATCGGAATCTGTAATATCTCTAGTTCTCGCTTGATTAAATAATAATTCGCAAACCCGACACATATAGATTACAATAAAGAAAGTTTTCAAACGAGCCTCTTATATACCAATAACGTATAGTTTTCTGATTGGCGAACGAAGGATTAGCACTCTAGCGGTCCTCAAGAAAACTAATTATACATTTTCCAAGTGAAAAATCATTATTACAATTATTACCGTTGTTATCGGAAAGGTCGCGATCGTCGCTCGATTCGAGAAAACACATCTCGTACTTAAACGAAGATCAAATCCTAAAAAAAGTTCGAGACAAAAGCCACAGAAGCGGATTTTTCTCGATTTATCCACGCGATGGCAGATGGCCCTCTCGAAGAAAGAGAAGAAAAAAGAAAGATTTACCAAGCTCGTATATAGTAACTAAATTGTATATACGCGTGCAACTCTAGCCAGTCGGACGCCCCCCGCATCTGCGCCTCATTATTATTATCATCCGAATGGGAAAGTACGCGCGGGTGCGACGTTCGCGTGCCGTGTATCTCTTTCTTTGTTGTCTATGTGTACTAAATGTACGTAATATACATAGAACAGACGGTAAATTGCAGCTGGAAAGATCATGCCTTAATAGTGGCTCTATGGTAATTAGCGCGTGTTTCGAGCTACGAGAAACAGTCAGAGAGAGATGGGTTTTAAGAATATAGATAATAAAACGAAACGATTTCCGACTCGCGCAGGCCAGGCGTTTGTTTACTCCTCAGCTCCTTCTTTTTTCTCTCAAGGCGAACGAGAATATTAACCACGCGAGAGAGAACAAAACCCAGAGGCGCCCGTTTCGAGTAAGAAAATCGGCATTTAATTACATTGGCAATATATTCATATAGGCTTTGCGGTTCCACGACGAGCATCGAAACTTCGTCATAGTATCGGGTCAGCGGAGACACGGTCAATCGATCTTTCGCAGCTGCATTATACACGAGGAGGGCAAGAGAGAGAGAGAGAGAGAGAAGAATTCGAGCGATAACGATCTGTCGGGCGTGTAATTTTTCAATTCGTCTCAATCAAGGGAGAGAATATTGAGCTTTGTCCGATGTATCTCAATGGACGCGATCGTGTATTTTTCGCGCACAGTTCGTTTCAATATCATTCGTAACTATATATATATGCTCGGGCAGTTTCCTATTGAAGCGATCGGTTATATATACAAACGATTTTTACGTATACGATGACGTCACGTATAAGCTCTCGCGATACAATGTTTTTCTGCTGCGCCTTTGAACATATATAATAGTTACTTTATATACACATTGTAAATGTTTGTAATTTAGATGAGGAAACTGACGCTGTGCCTGTTACTGGCGGGCTGCGTCGCCCTGGCGACGTCGCACTCGTACCACCTGAACGCCTGCCCGGTCGTCGAGCCCATGCCGGGCTTCCAGATGAGCAGAGTAAGCCGCAACGTTTATTACGATATATACGATTACGCGGATTGCCCAACTTTCTCACGCTAATAACAATGTGTTTTTTTTTCTTTTGTTTCTATGTATAGTTCCTGGGGATCTGGTACGTGATTCAGAAGACGTCGACGGCCAGCAAGTGCATCACGTACAATTACACGCGCGGCGAGGAGCCGGGAGAGTACATCATCACCCAAGACTCCGACATACCGATTTTGGGTGAGTTTATAATATAAACGCTATATCGAGCGGAATCAAAGTTCAAGACCTTCGTTCAAAGTATCGTGTATTTGTATACACTTGCCACTTTGAACTTGCACTCGGCGTCGAGTCAGTCGACGAGTAAGAGGCCAGTGAAAAGAAAAAGGAGCAACGTATAAAGCTTGAAACGATAAACTAATCGGAGACTCGCATCATTTGCTTTTGTGCATTATAAGTGCGATTGAAGGGGGAGCTCTATTTGTCACGATCAATCGAAGTGTCGAGAATCGCAATTCAGCATCGTTTCTCTCTAGCTAACAAAGATGAAAAACAAAATTACTTCTTGACATTTTTCTTTTCTTTTCTCGTTCGCAGGTCTGACGTCGCTGAAGCACGAGTATCACTACACCGGTAGACTGAGCGTGCCCGAGCCCAGCGTGTCCGCTCGCATGACGGTTCGCTTCCCTCTGAGTGAGTACACTTATTCATAATATAAATTATATAGGATATAAATATTTTGTTCTCACACGCGGGCGGCGGGTATCATAAAGTCGAAGAGTGCAAAATATTTTGCACCGCTTTATTTTTCGTCTGGTGTTTATAAATATCTCTCACGACGAGAGCCGAAAAAAGGAAGTCGCTCATCTCGCGCTCGAAGCTCTGTGAGCAGAGCTTGATTGGGCTCAATTGAGAAAGATATAGTATAGCCTGATGTATGATATGGACAACGAGCGCACGTATAGCAATTTAAAATTTCGTCTTACGTGTACCGATCGTTGAAAAAAAAAAAACGTACAACTTTATTCATCTGTTTTTTTCTCTCCTCTTTCTCAGGCGTGGCGGGTAGCGCGTCGCACGTGGTCTTCGCCACCGACTACGAGAACTACGCCGGCATCTTCACCTGTCAAAAACTCGCCTTCGCCCATCGTCGCTCTGCCACCATACTGTCGCGTCATCGCGACCTCGACAAGGCCTACGTGGACAAGGTCAGGGCCAAGTTGGCCAGCTTCGGCGTCGACCCGTTCGATCTGAGCATCATCGTGCAGACGGGCTGCCCGCGCGGCAACAACAGCCTCGACGTCAACGTCGATCCGCACACCTTCACCGCGGACAATCTCGGCCAGGTGGTGCGCAAAGCCGGTGAGAAGATCGGCGACGGTGTCGAGTGGATCGGCCAGCAGAGCAGCAAGGTCTATCACAAGATCACGGGCAAGGAGTCCAAGCCGGATTTCGAGCCGGTGCAGCAGGGTGGCACTTCGAGGGCCGCGGCGATAGAGCCGATTCCCGGCTCACCCAGCAACATACCCCAGCTGCCCAAGGCCAACAAGGACAACGAGGACAACGAGGTCGAGTGGATACCTTAAGCGATGAAAAAAAACAAAAATAATTGACGAGGCGACGACGACACGTTTTGTCTAGACGTTGGCGCATGTACAATCGATCGTGGCTATCTATAATTTTTTCGCTCAGTTTAACTTTAACATTGCGCACACACACGCACACATACACACACTGACACACACTTTGTAAACTTCATAACTCGAGTTTTTTAATTGTCTTTGATATTTGTAGAAATGACAAATCGGTTTGTATCGCTGAACCGATCGATGAATCTCTCTGTCTCTTTGCTGTAGTTTGAGCATTTAACCTTTTATAACACGCGTAACAACAGAATTTAATGTGTAAGCGACGTTGATCTTTGTTTCTTAATACTCATCCCGGCGAATAACCATCGAGTAGTTTTTTATTTTAATTACTAAAACGTTGTATCGCAGAATTGGCTTGACTATAATATTTTACTGCGTATAAGCTGTAGTTTGACAAAAACAAAACAAAAAAAATGTTTTGGTAGTTTGTGCTTAAATCGAACCCGGAAGATATGATATAAAAATGTTGTTTTTATTTTCGTTTTTCAGGTTGAATTCGGGCCGTGGAGCGATTTGAAAAAATCTAATACTCAGTACATGACATAATTTTCTCTATGTATCTCTCTTTTTTTTGTAATGTTGCTTGGTTAAGCTTGTGATAATTGTAATCGACTCTCTTGTAAAAATGAATCATATTTTTTTGTACACGTCTTATGTAATGTGGTAAATAATTATTATTATATTACTATTATTTGTTGTAGCTGACTGTAAGTTGAATTTGTTGGCGCAGGAACAATAAATTTTTCGTACGATCAAGAACGTGTTCTATATTACTCGAGCTAACATAAGTAATTCGTAAATAAGTAAACGAATCGAATGTATTAAAAATTATTTACATGTGATTATAATAATTAAATTTGATTACTTTCGTTCGAAAACATTTGAAAAATTATTACAAACATAAACTGTAATCATCGGATGCGCTAAAGTGTATTTAAAAATTAAAATAAAATTGGAGCACGATAGAATTACTCTCAGTTATGAAAATAGTCAATTTTTAGTCCGTACTTAATCGATCGATGAATTTGGAACTTTCACTTTCTAAGATATTGACTCCGCCCACTAATGATACTCGCTTGCTCGCACAGACACATCTGTCGTCCTATTCAAAATAGATAGCTCTTACAGATTCATATTCTCCTAATGAAGAGTTCACACATTGAGGCAAGCAAAGGAAGATTTTCTTTTCACGCGATCCGATTTACAATTAATCACAGTATTTCTATTATCTTCTAAGACAATGACCGCGACCACTAATGATGCTTTCACACTTATGTGGTCTCATTAAAAATAAACTGTGAAAATAGTCAGCTCTTCGCATCTCATATTCTCCTAGTAAGGTGTGAATCAAAAGCAACAGGTGAGCAAACAAGGAACTTTCTTTTGACACTGTCGTGCGACAATTTACCCGAACATCAAAGGAAAAGCCGGAAAAGCCGACATTCGATTAGGAGAATATGAGTTTGGAGGAACTAAATATTTTCTAGTATTAGAAATTATGTTGACACTTGTGAGCCCACGCGTCCGTGTGTGTTTACTGTGTTTATACATGTGTCTAAAAGGGGCGGGGTCATAGTCGCTCTAATTCTAATTAAAGGAATTCGAAATTCATCAATGTGGCCGATGAATTTCTCACATCGCGTTGACACGCTTTGAGACTATTATACCCATTAGGTTTTTTTTGCGATCAACAATTCTCTTCGTCAAAATTGCATTAGTTTCATTTTATGTTATGTATATTACATCGATGCGACAAGCAGGAGAAAAGGATGACGGCGCGAACATCGCGTAATACTTTCCAGTCGATCGATACTTTTTTTCTCTCTCATTATCGACACGCGAATACCTCGTTACAGTTCATTCGTGCAAGTAAAAAGTTGAAAAGTATCTTCAAGTAATGTCTTCAAAATTATAAATGTAATCATGTTCTTATTTTCCCACATGTACGTACGTACGTTTGCGTGTGTACTCTGCGCGCACCTCTCTCGACCTCAGGTGCGCCAAAAAAAGCCGTATACGTACGGGGGGGTGTCGCAAGCTCGCGAATATCGGAGCGAAAAGTACGCAGTGCGGAAGCGATAGGTCGTCGTCGCGTGGCACGAAGCTGTGTTGTTGTTGTGTACTTGTGCAGTAGTTGCGATTGCGTTACAACCGGCTGATTTCGTCACTCCGCCGCGGCGGATGATAATTGACATTTAAACGCCTCGGACAAAAGAGAGTACAATAATAATAATAATGTATACAGGGAAAAGTATAATATAAATGACCATGTGCTCGGCCGAAGACGTACTTGACCTTAAGAAATTTTTTTTCTTTTAAAAACTTCTCTCTCTCGCGCGCGAGAGCACTTGTTATTATTTTAATATACCGATGTGCGTGAGTGCAATTGGAAATTCTCGAGTGCGCGCATCTCTTCTGCAGCAGCAGCAGCAGCATCTCGACCTTGTCGTCGCTTCGAAGAGGTATTATATACAATATATACTCGTCGCGCAAATAAGTGTGCTTGTGTGGTCGGTCGGCGGTTGCCAGACAGTCATTGATTGGACTTGAAAATTGAATGGTAACATCGCTATACACAATAGAGCGTGGCAAAAAAATAAACTCGTTTCATATTATTACTTTTGCTCGCTGCGACTGAAACGATTGAAAAAAAATATGAGCTCTAAAGAGATGCGTATTGCCTAATTACGTATGCATCCGACGAACTATAGCTGTGCGAATCGGTTTGCGGCTCGAGGAAGTCGAAGTAGTATTAAACGCAACGATTTTTCATCGTCCTGATTGAAGAGACTTTGGATATACATATAGTAAAACGCACAAAGAAAAGCCCAAAACGCGTGTGTGCAGTGCGCGCCTTTTTTCATTCTGTCGAGTCGAATCACGTTTTTACGCTCCCGCGCCGAGTAGTGAGAGAGGATTAATTCTTCGACCTGTCGTCGCTGCTGATCTGCTGTTATGCTCGCGAATTCCGCATTTGCTTTTGTGTTTTATTATTATCGTGCTCGTGAGAAAAAGTAACAAAAGTAGGCATTTGTGTTCCTGCGTGCACGTGAGCGGTTTTCGAAAAATACCTGACGACGAATACATATACGCATGTAAATCGAAGCACGATCGGACGATGTGCCACCGTCTTTTTCACGGTCTCTCTTCGTAGTTTTTTTGTTTACTTTTCGCGATATCGTTGAAAAATCGATACTTGTATGCATATGATTGGTATAGTTTGAAAGGCTACGCATTTAGAACCGTGCTTTATACAAATATTTTGACTTTATCACTTGCAGATTTACATTCATAAAGTACTCGCCATCTAGCGGCGAAAGAGGTTCATCCTATACAGTATATCCCTTGGACTCGATGATTCGCACTCGTGATAATTCCCATGACCGAAAAGAAAAAAAAATTACAATAATAAAGAGTGGCACGACAAATTAATGAGATACACTTATTATTTACATGTGATAATAAGAATTAAATTTGATTACTTTCGTTCAAAAACACTTGAAAAATTATTACAAACATGAACTGTAATCATCGGATGCGCTAAAGTGTATTTAAAAATCAAAATAAAATTGCAGCACGATAGAATTGCTCTCAGTTATGAGAATAGTCAATTTTTAGGCCGTCGATCGATGAATTTGGAACTTTCACTTTCTAAGATATTGACTCCGCCCACTAATGATAATCGCTTGCTCGCATCTGTCGTCCCATTCAAAATAGATAGCTCTTCCAGACTCATATTCTCCTAATGAAGAGTTCACACTTCGAGGCAAACAACGGCAGATGTTCTTTTCACGCGATCCGATTTACAATTAATCAGAGTATTTCTATTATCTTCTGAGACAATGACCGCGACCACTAATGATGCTCACTTGCTCGCACAGACACATTTGTCGTCCCGTTCAAAATAGATAGCTCTTCCAGATTCATATTCTCCTAATGAAGAGTTCACACTTCGAGGCAAACGAAGGAAGATTTTCTTTTCACGCGATCCGATTTACAATTAATCAGAGTAAAAATGGGTATTTATCGGCTCTAGACGCCAGAGTCCCCTCTGAAAAAATCTGAAAAACTTTAAGGTTGTGTATTTTGATACCAAAAATAAGTGAAAAAAAGATCGTGCTTTGTATTGCATGATCGTGCTTTGTATTGCAGCCCCTTACATGAATTTTTGAAATTTTCAATGATTTTATCTGAAGGCTTGAAGCACTCAAAAAACCTTAAAAAATTCAAGGTTGTTTATATTGATGAAAAGTATTTTTATGAATTTTTTCAGATTTTTTGATTACGTCAGGGCTTTCGAAAAAATATAGATCATGTACTATAACATACCAAAAGCGCGTCGAGATCGGTGACATACATGCACACGATTATTTAAAAAATTCTGAGCCTTGCCCATGTATTCGTATTGTACGAGAGGAGAACGCGAGGGACTATACGTACGAAGTGTATTTCATTAATTTCTCGCATCACTCGTTATTATTGTAATTTTTTTTCTTTTCGACCATGGGAATTATCACGAGTGCGAATTATCGAGTCCAAGGGATACTGTATAGGATGAACCACTTTCGCCGCTAGATGGCGAGTACTTTATGAATGTAAATATGCAAGTGATAAAGTCAAAATATTTGTATAAAGCACGGTTCATGGGTAATTGAATAGGTCTCTGGGTAATATTTAGGTTCAACACAGCGTGCGGGAAGTGCTATGTCCCGCACGCTGCACCGCGGGGGAAAATCTTCAAATCGACTTCCTGCACTCCATGATGAAAAAAACTTTACGTAACTGAGGCGGTTATCAATCTCGCAAGAGTGTCAGTTTGCAAGATAGACAACCCCCCGCCTCAGTTACGTAATGTACTATTTTTTAATCGTTCTTTTTAGTATGTAAAAGTTGCCTTTTAATGTTTAAATACATTTGCCAAGACACTCCAAATGTGATGTAGTACTCAGATGCTAATGTATAAAAAGTGTAAAATTATTAAAATTATATAAATTATAATTTTTATCCGATAGAAAAAAAAAACAAGATCGACTGTTCAAAGGAAAATCGATCCAAGAACGTGAAGAATCCAGAGCCACAGTGTTTGATGGCTCGTACACACAAAGTGCAACCGGGAGTTTAGGCTTCCAAGTTGTCGAAACTGATATATTTTAATTTGGCTTACAGCATTTTTTTGACTTTGCCACTTGCAGATTTACGGGTATCGTTACTCAAAGTGGTATTGTCGAATTGAAAACTAGTCGAAATTTTCAACACAATCATAGCAGAAAAATCATTAAAAAAAACAAGCGAATGAATGCTAATTTATTTTAAACCGTTTTAAATGTTAATACTTTGGTTATTAGGCATCATTGCCCATGTTGAGCATTTCTATCAGGGTGTCTGGAAAGCCTTTATACATATGACAGTCGGTTGAAACGTCGCGCGCTCCTCACATTGAGCTTATAATATAACATACACAGCATAATAGCGTCGGTATCGTACAGCCAATGCATATTATTAACTCGGTCAGGTTCATGTAGCAAGGTTCATTGGCTATATTGCATTCGATTAAGCCGTGCGCGCGCACACACACACACACACACGCACACACACATGCATTCACCCACGCTGCAATGACGCGTCCACCTCGGGCATATACATGTGATAATGGCGCAACGCAAAAAAGGGTCCTGCGCGGGGCAAAATCTACACGACTCGAGTTAAAAATAGGTCGATCGTAATGACGATCCGTACCTATTATAACGTGTATATCCACCTGTGTGTGCGTGTGCAGCATAGTGTGCCCCTCTATGTCGCGCGTATGTCCCAATTATTCGTCCGACTGATACGATATTCGCTTGTACAAAACCTTTTGTCTTTGGCACTCGAGTTACGATATAGGCTTGATAAATAATAAAATGATATTTTCTACGACTGTATATCGTCTTCGTCCTCGTAAACAATTATTAAAACGCATCAAGAATATATGTGTGCTATACGGCCGATCGTGAACCTCGTTGCGCGCAGCTCCGTAATAAATCAGCAATTACAAAAGTACGACGGCTGTGTATGATATGCGCCGAAAGCTGTAATTACATACGATTCTCTCGATAATTATCCTCGCGCCGAGCTATGCGGTATATTGCGATTATTCCGCATAAATCGGAAAAAGATTCTTTGCGAGAAAAGAAAAGAAAAGAACAACAATTTCTGCGCAATCGGAAATTTGACCGTGTGCCACACTCTCCGTATAAAAAATGCATTACAAGCGCCGGACGCAGCCTCTCGATTTTTTATATTAAATAAATACACACGTACACACAAGAGCTCGAGGCGCGCTGAAGCGTACGTATTATAATAATATGTAAACGTTCGCGACAGGGTAAACAGTTGTGGCGATTTAAAATGTGCAAAAAGGCATATATCGCGAAGAATCGGTTGTAATGTTTGCCGAATGACGGTGCCGACACGCTATTTCTCACTTTGCGCCTTGGGTCGTATTGCGTAAGATAATCTTGGCCCAGCAGCGGCGGCAGCTAAGAGCTATACATTTATTATGCGTGTCCTTCGTCGTCGTCTTCGTCTTCGGTGCGTATATATAAGCCGCGCATCCATCGTATCCGCAGATTCGTACTAAAAATGTGAAAAAAAAAGAATAATAATAAAAGAAAACGAAACAGTCAATCGTTAAACGGCGTCAGGGATAATGACAATGGTTTTGCGCGCTGCTAAACGAGTGTATACGAGCCGTAAAAATATAGGTGTAATGTTACAAGTCGTTAGCACATTGGCAAAACTTCCACCGAGCCGCGGCGGCTATCCTCGTTTCCCATTTGCCGCGTTTCCGATGTGCCTATAGCGCGAGGAAAAAAAAAGGATAAGCACGAGTGCCCGTCGCACACCGACGTATATATACAATGGAGTGATTCGCTGGTAAAAAAAAGTGTATACGAGCTGTAAATCTAATCGCGTCGCGAAGGTGTGAAAGAGGAAGATCGATATATGTATATTTTTCTCGCGATCTTTGCCAACCCCGCGACGCGTTATCGGGCGCCCGGGACACACATGTGCGTAATCGCGGAATGTCACGGGGATTCTTCGACGGAAGTCATGTATATATAGCTGCGGGGACCGCCGCGTGTATTTTTTTATTATTACGGCGCGATGCTGCTGCGATGCTGCGCGCATCGTCACGTACGTACATGCACACGGTATCGGCAGCACTTCAGTTTAACCGGTACTCTCGATCGCGCAGGTTCCGACTCGCGGGACGTGTACATTATTTTTTCAAATTGGCTTCGATCGATTTATAAGATCGGTGTTTGATATAAAGCAGTGCGTCGTGTGTGCGCGTGTGTGTTTTCATTTTTGGACTGTAAAGTCGAGACTTTTTTCAAGAAAGGTAAGTGATTTTTTTGTCATCGATGGGTGAATTTTTTTTATGTCTCACCGATACCGCAGTAACATTTTTTACTCGAGGACTGCTGGTTTTATTTCATTGCGCGTAATTTTGTGGTGGAGAGGCAAAACGGCTTGAGTGCATTTTTTTGGAATTCGATATTATGATAAAAAAAACACCAATATTACAGTGTCTATTTTGAGGTACGATGGTCAGAAGTCATTTTTCTCATCCACCGTATAATTGTAATCAAAATTTATCGGTAAATTGTTGCAATATTAAAAATTGTCATTGAATGGAATTTGCTTACGATCGAGCAAGTCATATGCACAAGGAAGTAATCGAAAGCGCAGTATTATAAATCCAAAGATCATTTCGCGACATTGAACTATCAATTATCAATAATTAAACTTGATATTTTTTTGCTCGCGAGCAATACATTAGCATAATGGATCGGGTTTTCACCGATCGATAGTTTTTGTTGTCTCTCTACACTCGAAAAATAAATGTCAAGATCGTACGGCTCAATTTTGTATCCAGTGTCCGACTTTTCTTTGTGCGCATCGTAACAAAAAAATAAAAATCGATATCGCATACCGATTAAATAATTCTTATACTCGTTGTCAATAAGCAAAAATTCCTCAAGATTCTTCGGTACAATCGCCATTGCGCAAAAAAAGACGAAGAAAAGTGGAAATAGCTTCGAACATCTATCGATTAGCGCGCGCGGAAAAAGCGTCGTCGTCGTCGCAATCGCAACACCATAAATCTGGAAAATTTCGCAAGTCTCCTTTTATTCCTCGCCTAATAGGCCGGTAGTAACAGGTGTGTGTATATGTGTGTATATGTGCGCTTTAAACGTCGATACTTCGGAGTCTATTGCTTCGAGTCTCTGCGCGAGTAAATCAAGAGAGAGAGAGAGAGAGAGAGAGAAGCGCAGCACATCGCGAGTCACCTTCGTCACGTTAGAGTACACACACACATAGACGACGGCGGCGGCGTAGTTAGTAGTATAGTTCGACGTGAATTTATTTCAATTTAAAGCTCCTTTGTGTGTCTTCTGTGCTTGGGACGATCGAAGCTCACTGCCCGAACGAAGCGATACTATACACGTACGTCGTTTAATTCGACTGTGTGTGTGTGAAGTCTATACCGATCTTTGACGTAGCACGAGTTTCTTTTATCAATTTTTTTTTTTCGTTCGATTTTGAACGCACGCAAATCGATCCATCAAAAAACACACGATGCACCACAAAAATATCGCATGGCTTGTTGTTCGGATTCGAAATAGAAACAAAAAAAAAGATCACGCCGTACGTCATAACCGATCGTTATAATACACGCATACTAATTCGCGTACCGCAGGATAATAAGCGGAATGGATATTTTAATCGTTGCACCTTTTATTTTTTTATTAATACATCTCGAGTTTTCAGCCATGATATTGTTGTTGTCTTTTAATGACCGGACATTATTTCACGTTTGCGTTATATACAGAGACCTTAATATTATTTTCCATGGCTGTCGAGGCCTATTATTTTTAAACGAATTAATATACTCGTAAAGACTAATTTAGAAAAGAATTAATCCGAATTACGCTCAAATATTGGAAATTAATATACATTATAACGCGCGTGAAAGGTCACACATCCATCATAATAGCCTATTGTGTCGCGCCGCGGACTGCTGCAAGTGATCTGTCAAAATTTCATATATAGGATTCTTTGAAGCGCGAAGTGATATTTCACCTGCTGGAAGATGAATAACAATAATTATAATAATAACAATTGTTTTGAGAAGGACACTCTCAGAATCTAAGGGGGAAACTTAACTCGTTGAATAAAAAACGCATTCTAGATTTGAGACACGCTCGTGGCGTCGAGCATCTCGCGCACAGTTCGAATCGAGCCTCCGTTGCGACTGGAGCACACGTGTCGATTCTTCTTACAATTAAATACGCATTAGAAAAATAATTGTTATCGTGCACAGTGACACACCGACTCGTCTTAACAAGTCATCATCATCGGATATGGTTGAGAATCGTCGGCTCGGGGTGATGACGCGCGGCCACCGTCTCCTGCTCTTGGTGGCCGCCGCTTCCTGCCTGGTGGGTACGGCACGGTCCAGCGTCCTGGTGGCCGATCTCGCGATGACGCGCATGGTCGAGCTCAACGCCGGCGCCCCGTTCTGCGAGCTGTATCACGATCGCGGCGTCATACAGCGCATGGTGCTGGGCTCGGATCCGAAAAAGGTCCGCCAGATATCGGGCAATCTCGTGGCCGATCTCGAGGAGACCTGCAAGGCGTCGCGCAGCAAAGGAAAGGTACGAATACATCTTCGCGTAATATCTCGATGGAAATTTTTCTTGTGAGAAAGTTTTATAAAGGCCTTAAAAAGTCTCATTTAAAACTATTAAAAGCTTTTATTAACACTTGATAAATCTTAATAACTCATTAAAACAATTAATTAAAATTAACTTATTAACTTATTAAGAGTTAATTAAACTTTATAAGAATTGTAATTGATATAAATAAATTTAAAAAATTCATGTGGTCAATCACTTATTAAATTTAAAAAGAAATTTACGAATGACTAACTCTTAAAAATCTTTGTACGAAATCCTAACATTTATAAGACCTTTTAAAATTCATTTGGTCTTTTAAAGAGTTATTAAGAATTCGTCTGATATTTTTTTTAATATACTTGCTCTTGTTGTACAGAATCAATCGGCATCGGCCGGCATCATGTATCCGGGCACGAACTGGTGCGGCCCGGGCAATCGCGCCAAGAGCTACGACGATCTGGGGCCGCACGCCCTGGAGGACGCCTGCTGCCGCGAGCACGACCACTGCCCGCAGACGATCGAGCCCCAGCAGTGCATCCACGGCATCTGCAACAAGTCGCCGTTCACGCGCTCCCACTGCGACTGCGACGCCAAGTTCAGGCGCTGCCTGCAGACCATCAACACCGAGGTGGCCAACACCCTCGGCGCTCTGTTCTTCAACGTGATACAGGTGACGTGCTTCAAGGAGCGACGTCCCTGCTCCCAGTGGCAGAGGTAAGCCTTATTTATTTTATTTATTTTTTTTTTTTTGGTTTTGAATAAAAACGAACGAAAAAATATTTATTTTATGTTCAAATTTAAACGATTTGATTGAAAAAAAATCAAAATTAAAGACAGTCACCACCGCTAGATGGCGAGTCCCCCCTTTAACTTGAAATCCGCTAGTGAACAATTCAAAATAATTGTATAAGTTATATATTAGTTAGCTACGATTTTATTGTTGTTGATTTTTCGAAAATTTTTATTATCTTTCGCTATGAATCATTATCGTAATTATTCTATTGCTTGGAGATTTTGATTTGAAAATAAATGTTTCAATACCGATTTTGTATTTGTATCAATTGTACAAATAATTTATAAAAATTATATCATCAGTAAATATAGCCTCTGCCGCGAGATGGCGAACACCAAAATCTTTAAATCTACATGTGGCAAAGTAAAAATATTCATATAATTACAAAGGCAATTTATAACAAACATTGAGTAAATTTGGATATTGTTCTTTTTCTGTCTAAATTACCCACTTTACATTATTTCCTCCTTTGAAAATTATTACCATTATTATTATTGAATTTTTATTGTATACCGATCGTCGTATAATCGAAAATTTATGGCCGAAATCTCATTAGCGCCTCGCTGCAGTGGCGAAGATCGCCGAAATTCATCCGAAGCGACAGCTGGACGCCGAGATCGCTGATATCGCGGCCGATTAAGGCTTTGAATACGGTTTTTCAGAGCTTCAAGGGTTGGGTCCAGCAGATAGGAAACAAGCTGATCCAAATAGGCCAGGCGCACCATCGTAACATGCTGCTGTGAATTTCTCCTCGAGCGTTGGTATTGTTTTTTTTTTAAATTTTTTTTTCTCGGTGGAGGTGTATTAATTTTACAAGATAACATGGAGTAACATGGAGTTATCCTGGTGGAGGTGCTTCTTTTTTCTACGAAATTTACTGAAAAAAGCATTTTATGAATAATTTCAGCTCATTGGATCTTATATCTACAGATTTTGGTGCTGGATACTTTATGTCATGCTTTCAAATATTAATTGAAACTTAAATTTGATAAAAAATTCTTCTATAGCTTAATGAATTTTTTTTGTTTTCAGAAATGGCTACACAGAATCCGAATGGGCAAAAATATGCTCCCAGTTCAAATTCCAGCCAAGTGACAAATACGTGCCATTGATGCCTCTCAATATCTAGTGATTGTCTGAATAATGATAATTTATTCAATAATTTAGGCGTGCTTTTGCTTTCGAAAGTGCAAATAAACACTTGTTAGTTCTTAGAATTTTTATGCATTGTGATAGATTACGAATTTTTTCTTCTATATAGTTGTACAGCTTGCAATTTTTTAATTTAAGGTGATGAAAACAATCAAATGTTGTTATCCTATGACGTGATACTAGTCTTATTTTCCTATCTGCTGATGTAAAACGCTATATTGATGTTGCAATAAAGACTTCAGTATTACATGTTATTATTTACTTGTGCGCACAGAAAAGGCACTGGAATATTATCATGAATAATAATCTATTTTTTCAATGAAATCTCTTTGTTGCATGAAGCAAACTGCATTATTAAAATGTTTATAGCCTACTAATAATAATTAATGTAATTTAAAGATGGTTTGAATTCAACAAAACACATAAGTGTGCGTTAACAAAAATATATTGTTTGTCAAAATAGTGATCAAATATTTGTATGTACAAGCAGTTTAGATAAACATTCATATTATAACATTTAATACTTATATATTACAATTATCCCAAATAATTTAGTCTGAATACTTTGGTTTTAACTATCTATTGCAAAATATCGATCGGCAAGAGCTTTATAGTTTATTTCCTATTGATTCGAGAATCTCACCACACCTGCCACGAATTTTCAATTGTGCATGTGAGTCTCCTCTGGTATCTCCTATATTTACTATGGCTATAGGCTTCACAGCCTCAGTTGCTTGTAAAATTATTCTGTAGCCTGAGAATGTCGTCAAAGATGTGCCAAGAACTAATAAGGAGTCTGCGTCTTCCACTTCATTTTTTACTTGTTCAACGACATTTCTGGCAACATTATCACCAAAGAACACAATGTTGGGTTTTAAAATACCTCCACAACTAGAGCAAGGAGGTACAACAAATCCATCGGCTTGTTCCTTGTAAATAAAAGATTTTTATCAAATAATGAAACTTTAACCTTTTTTATCATATCATAATAAAATAAAATAAAATACATACTTGCGTCAATTCAACATCTCCATCGGGTCTTATTTCTGTGGACGTAACTTTTAAACTAGGGTTTAACTCATCAAGAATTTTTTGAAACTCAAATCTATCAACTTGTCTTTCACACCTCATGCACTTTACATTGTAACCAGTACCATGTAATTCAATGACATTTTTACTACCCGCTTTCCTATGGAGATAATCAACATTTTGAGTAATGACGCAGTTCACTTTTCCAATGTCTTCCATACTTTTCAACCATTTATGAGTGTAGTTGGGTTGAAACAGCGAGAAACTGAGGGAATAAAAGAAATAATGATATAACAATGTAAATGATCACTTTATACCCATTTGTCTATACTCTACCTTGGCCAAGCGGCATAATTCCTTGCCCAGTAACGCTTTCTATTCTTTTCACTCTTGCAAAAGTCTTGGTACGACATGGGTCGGCGATTGCTCGTGGCATACAACCCGACACCCTCTGATCTGTAATCAGGTATTCCACTCTCCGTGGATATTCCAGCACCAGTGACGACGCATATTTTGCCGCAATCTCGAAGAAACTGCTTGAGTAGCTCTACCTCCTCCGACTTGACGGGCTCGCATTTAGGCACGAAGGCGAGATTCGACTGGGACACGCAGTATCCAAGGCGATCTGACAATGAATTAGAAACATTTTACTCAACGTTCGACCAGAAGGTAAACCGAACGTTCATTCAGCTCGTTCGAGAAGTCACGTATATTTACCTGCCAAGTTCAAGGAAAGCGAGCGATTTTTCCTATTTATAGCCCTGATAGTCGTAACGACCAACGCCATGTTATGAAAAAACTGAGTTCACCAGGGACGATAATTGCTCCAAACGAATCGAACCAACGTTTTCTTTCCGATTTTACATCTGTCACGAGAAACTTCTCGCGTTATTTGGCGATATTGCGCAAAACGAGCTAAGCTGTGGAGGCCACTGCTGACAACGAGTTGACATGATGTTTTGTGCCTGAAAAGCGTCTGCACGTGTGTACTGGCAAAAACCAATGCAGATGATTTGTCGTCTGCTCTCGGCGCGGATTTTGCGCAGTGCAAAAAGAGGCGGGAGATATCAAAAAATTGCAATCGAATTGAAAATTGAGCCGAGTAAGGCCTTTTTTTGTCATTTTTGATAGTATGAGAATTATTTCGTCGTCACATGACTGATTATCATTATATCCATTAGCAAACGACTCGTATTCCCACAAAATTTTGGAAATTCGTTTGACTTTTTGTCTACGTATCTCGGTGTTGACCCCCCGGCGAATGACGAAATTTCCATTCTATCTCTACTTACTCATCAAATTTCTAACGTGGCCTACGTGACAGAAAAGTGGGCTCGTCTCGTGTTTACAATTACAATTAAATAGAAAGGCCCCCGTATAATTTGACTGTACACGGCGTGGGCTGATGCAATATCGATCGAACGATTCGTACCCAAAATGTAAATCAGCACTTGTGGAAATTTCGTGCGTGTGTTTGTACATTCGATAGTAACCCGATTTTAAACCGATATATGATATTCGCAGTCGAACGAACGAATGAAGCGTCAATAATAGACGTCGCGACGCGGAATCGGGTTTATCTCGCGGCCGAAAACCTCGATAGATAACGCTCTATAATATAGGCTCGTTTTTCGGGCGTGTACACACACACAATAATTAAAGAGCTGCATCATCGTTACTTGTGTACGTGTAAAATAGACGAATATAATATAATGTATACAAGAGGGGCACGACGTTCTGAGCGTAAAAACACGGAAAACAACCGTGTGTGCGTGTGTGTATACGCGATCGAACGACTTTTATCTTTTTCTCTCTCTCTCTTCGCTCGCGCGAACTCCCTATATATAAGCTCACCTCCAGTCGGCCCCTAGAACCAGTTCGTCTCGAGTTGCGCATACAGACAGACGCCGCCCGGTGCTTATATACTTCGCAAAAGTTTGTATTGTAGACGAGTGCAGTTGCATCATATATATATCAGAGACGCAAACACACACGCGAGATCGTAAAATATGGCTGCGAGGAACGAAAAAATTGGCATCGTCGGCAGGTAAATAACTCTAGCAATTGCTACTTTAGTATTTTTTATTGTTGTTAAAACAAATATACGCGTAGTACGGTGAATCATTGCTGATGGAGTTTAGAGCTTGGTACAAATAAAAATCAATCAGTCGTTGAATAATTGACGGACGCGGAGTATATTGTAGTTTCCACGTGTTTATTGAATTGAATTGAAATATTTTTTAACAACTAAAAAAGTATGTAAATTATACGACCAAACAACTAATATAATTTTTTTCTATTATAATTAGTCTATATCTAATACATTTTTAACTTTTTTTAAATTATGTTCTTAATTTGGTCAAATTTTTTGAATCCCTACAAATTATTGCATATTTTTATCAACATTTAATTAATTCAGCAAGTTGTAATTAAATACAAGCTGAACATGAAGAAAAAAGTAAATTCACTCGCGACTAAAATTAACCGTACAATACTTGAAATAAGAAACTCTTTGCTGACTCCGATAATTAAACAGAAAAACGTCTGCAAAACATGAGATTGACTGAAAATAGATATACAAAAAAAAAAAAAAAAAAAACTCGGAGAAGTAAGTAGTAAGCCGTTCGGAACTCAAATATTTACTCTTGACAATTTAATATCTTTCAACTGCACATTATTAAACGTCGTTTCGCCAATTTCCGCGTACAAAACGGGTTTTATCTCCGCGCGGCAATGATATTTCACAATGAATTCATAATAATTTCGTTGCATAACTCTATACACGCATGTAATACCACGCTTGCAATTTCTAATCTCTAAATATATTTTTCTCTCTCTCTCTCCCGCCACAGTGGTCTGATCGGCCGCAGCTGGGCCATGCTGTTCGCCGGCGTCGGCTACCAGGTGACGATCTACGACATCGTCCAGCAGCAGATCGACAATGCCCTGGCCGACATCAAGCAGCAGCTGCAGCGGCTCGAGGCCGGCGGCCTGCTCCGAGGCAAGCTCAACGCCGAGCAGCAGTATCAGCTCATTCAGGGTGTGTATCGTATAGGCGTTTGTGTATACATAAACTCGATTAGATTATAGCGTCTCTTAGCACAAACAGCGCGAATATTAGGCAACGTCGGAAATATTTTCGAACTTATCTTGTCGATCGAGCCCATTGGAGAATTATTTGTATTAGAAAATTACTTGTAGCTTCGCGTGACGATATTTTTTTATCTTTCGTTTTACAGGCAGCTCGAACCTCGCTGAAATGGCCAAAGGCGCCAAGCTCATCCAAGAGTGCATCCCAGAGAGGATAGAGATGAAAACGAAGCTGTTCGAGGAATTGGACAAAATCGTCGACGATCAAGTGATTTTGTCGTCGTCCACGTCGACCTTCAAGCCGTCGCTGTTCAGTGAAAAATTGAAGCATCGCGATCAGGTCATCGTGTCGCATCCCGTAAGTTCTTGTCGTTTTATTTTATTACGAATCTCGTTGACGTTCCATCTCATAATTTTTTTTATCCGATTATCTGCTGTTGCGTGAATTCAAAGAAATCAAATGGAAATATTTTCAAGCAGGATCTTACCAATGTATATGATGTAAAAAAATCTATTGTAGAAAAACGATATCTCTGAAATTGCGTGATCGTAATCGACCAATCGCGGATAAATTCAAAAAAATGATAAAAAGATACTTGTCTTGAAAAAAATGTAGAGTACAAGTGTATTTATTTTTATGCTCTTGGTAGTAAACACTTGATAACGTTACTTCGATGATGTTATTATGAGATATATTTCCAGTGGTTATTGTGGTGTAAACTTTAATCAATCGAATTCGATCGATAATTATCAATTAGAAGCTTCAAATGCTGAATGTTAAACGTCTCAATTTTTATCCAGGTAAACCCACCCTACTACGTGCCCCTCGTCGAGATCGTCCCAGCCCCGTGGACTCGTGCCGACATCCCCGCCAAGACCAAGGAGATCATGACGGAGATCGGCCAGGCGCCCGTCGTCCTCAATCGCGAGATCGACGGCTTCGCCCTCAACAGAATCCAGTACGCCATCCTCAACGAGGCCTGGCGCCTCGTCTCGGACGGCGTGCTCGACGTCAAGGACATCGACACGGTGATGAGCGAGGGACTGGGCATGCGCTACGCCTTCCTCGGGCCCTTCGAGACGGCCCACCTCAACGCCGAGGGCATGAAGAAGTACTGCGAGTCCTACAGCAACAGCATCTACAACACCAGCATGACCTTCGGGCCGACGCCCCGCTTCGAGGGCCCCGCAGCCGAGGAGATCAGCAATCAGCTGAACGGCATCTGCCCGCTCGACAAGCTGCAGGAGAGACGCGCCTGGCGCGATCTCGCTCTCACGAAACTTTCCGTACTCAAGAAAGAGATGAGCGGCGACAAGAAGTGAGAGGGACTCGTCGACTCGATTTGGAGCTCGAATGAATGATTTTCATCGGTAATCTAGAAAAAACCGATGGCAAGTGTAAATATATCTTTGTACAGTGATGTTACTTTGATTGTAAATATAATAATCAAATAAAATAAAATTTTTTCTGACGTCTATAAATTCTCGAGTTCATTCACTTTATACAAAATTGATAAAAAAATACGATCGATAACGATTTGAACGATGGGTTTTGCAGTAGCTATGAAAATAAAAGAGGTACAAATCAACTACAGGTGGTCGAAGAGAATATTTATAAATAAAACGCTCGTGTCATTAAAATAGTATTTTAATTATCAATAAGTCATTTTATCTCTGATAGATTCACCCTATTTGTATTTGTTTTTATATACAGATCAACCGTCGAATTCGTCTCCAGTATTTGAATTATCAAAAAATTGTTTAATCTTTAACTTAAATCGCAAAAATGCTTGAATGGCGTAATGATAATAATAATAATGGAAACGCGTTAATGAAATAGATCGGCGATACAAAGTTGCTAGTAAACTCTAAATAATTACACTGAGAACTGATGTTTCAAAATTCCATGAAAATGTTAACTCTTCAACTACAGTTTTTGTAATTCATAACAATGGCTATTACAGTTGACGAGTTTCTCCCAGCCTTTGTAAAAAATTTCTGAGATGTATTTTCATGAAATACCAATCGTGGAACAACAATTGAACAATTAAAGATGAATAATTTCTAAAATCATCACTTTTATGAAACTTTTATACAAAAAATGTAGGTATAAAATTATTCTACTTACAATAATACTACTTTATAAATATATCAAATTTTGGCAATGCTCCGATGCTTCAGACAATTTTGAGTAATTTTTATTTTTAGAGTAAAAAAAGATAACGTTCGACTACTGAAAAAAATTAAATTGTATAAAATCAGTTACATACAATGTTTTTGAATTGTTAATTAAAAATTAATGAGTGTAGTCGAAGAGTCTTTTGAAATACAATTGAAATATTCATTTACACGCATTTTCAGTGCATGTACAATTGTGCATGAGTACGAAAATTAATTACACGGGAAACCATCATCCTGCATACAGAGATTATTATAGGTTCAAAAGCACAAAAGCAGCTATACATCATATATCAATGCAGTAATATTTTTGAGAAAATCCAAAATCTCATAGTCTCTTTCTTTCAGTCGAGATAAAATACAGTCACGAACAAAAGTCGACCGTAAATATATATAAATGATTGAAATAAGTTTAATCTCAAAAAAGAGTACCATAAAAATAATACATATTTTACAATAATCTATGTGTAACGAGATATAACATTGTTTACTATTATAATTATTTACTTTTTTTTATAAACATGCATTATTTGGCAATTTGCAGTAGTCATTTATATGTACAAACATATTAAGATCCATCCTGATAGCCTAATTCTAAACCGTTTGCCGCTATAAAATCTTAACAGTTTGATATGTGCACATTCATAAACTAATGAGTATTCGAGTTACATTACGTCGTCGTCGTGCGGCAAAGGGGCAATAATCCGCGATATGTCAATTATCGTCGAAGACTCGCTGGAATTACGTAGCTATCGAGAACGATGCGAAACACAATATTAATAATAATAATAATAATAATAATAATAAACGACCAGAAATAGTATGGTTTATAAGTCAATAAAATTAAATACAATAGACAATACAATGAAAACCATCGAGATAGCCGCGGTTTCGACTCCCGCCGAGAGGGCTTACAACTATACAAAAATTTCGTTCGCACACTTAAAGCCATTTTACGACAATTGAAAGCTAATAGATCGATACACACCGAGACAATTGATGATATAGAGGATTACACAGGGTTTTTTTTCTTACTTGTCTAAAGAATAAGAAAAAGAGGGGGAGATATCCCGTTGGACAACGAAGTAATAAAAGCTTAATATAGACAGAGAGCTAAAGGGATAAAATAAAAGACTTGTATCTCTCTCTTTTTTTCCCCGCTCGCCGGTTCGACGAAGCTCACGGCGATTGGGCAATACGTTACACACTATTTTTTATATATAAAATGTCTATATGCACGTACAATATATATATCATATATTTGATATGTATAATCTAGTATATACAAGTTGCTACAGTGGACCCGTGGGTGGTGGCGTAATAACGATCGAACGCCGTGACGCTGCTGCGTTGGAAGCTAGTACAACTATTATCATCATTATTATTATAATAAACGTAACGACGAGCCGTCGATCAGGACACGACGCACTTCTCCGCGTCCTTGCCACCGGCGGCGGGCTGGGCCGCGGTGGGCGAGGCCGGTCCCTGGCGACGACGCGCCACCGCCATCGCGTCGTTGGGCACGTAGGCCGCCCTGACGCCGCCGTAGGCACGACGCGGCGGCAGCACGTAAGCGTCGGCCTCGTCGGAAGAGCTCGAAGAGCTGCAGGTCGAGCAGCAGCTGTCCTCGTCGTCGTCGCGCAGTTTCGGCACCGCACCTGGTATATATAAATCAAGCATTAGAAAATCTTATGAAAATGCGCTTGTATAATGAGAAAAGTTATTAGCTAACTTACCGGTCCAAGAGGAGCAGCCGGGCACCTCCTCGGGCTGCAGACTCCTCGATCTCGGCACGTACTGAGGTCGCCTCGGCACGGGCGGGGAACGTCTACTGCCGCCGTGCGACCGACTGCCGTTGCTGTAATTCGAGGCGGCGTCGTCCACGAGATCGGCCTCCTGGAATCTCACTCGTCTGGCGCTGGGATGATGCGTCGGTGGCGGTGTCTGCTGCTGCTGTTGTTGTTGCTGTTGCAGCTGCATCTGTTGACTACCCGTGGGGCTGGCTATGACCGACGGCTCCAGAGGATAGTGATTGTTCGCCGAGGCCGACTGCGAATTGCTCGGGGTCGACGGGGCTGGAGGCGGCGGCGGCGACGAGGCCTTGTCCTCGGGCGGCGTCGAGGGCGAGACCGAGCTCGACGACGACGATATCAGCATGCCCCGGCCGCTGTCCTCCGCGGCGGTCATGGTCGGCGAGTCCGGCGGCGGAGGCGGCGGCGGCAGACAGTCCGGTGGCGAGTTGAGATTCATCATCATCATGGGGCCGGGAAGCTCCGGCATGCTCGAGGCGTGCGACGGACTGTCCGAGCCCGGAATGCAGCGCAGCGGCTCTCGATCGCGCGCGTGCATCAGCCTGGAGAGAGAGAGAGAAAAAAAATACATTCAATTTCTAGAATAAATATCGTTCTCGGATACGCAATCAAAAAAGCAGAGTAAAAAAAACATACCTTCCAAGCTCAGCCGTGGACTCGTCCGATTGCGAGCCTCGTTCCTGCAGCAGTCGCTCGAGATTGCGCTCGAGCAGCACCCGATCGAGAGCACCCGGCCTCTCTGTACCACCGTTGCTCAGATTCAAATCCAGCCCATTGGTCGTCGTCGTACCCGGCGGCACCAGACTCGGCGGTGGCGTACTGGCCAACGAGCCCGCGGCCGACGTCTGCTTCGACGATTGATGCCTGTACGGCGACGACGACGAGGCCTGCTGCTGCTGATGCTGCTGCGTCAGCTGAGTGATGTTGCTCTGCTGCTGGGAATTGCTGTGATGGCTGCCGTTGTGTTTCCTGGCCATTCGCGGCGAGTTCCTGGGCGAACCAAAACCGTGCCTCGGCGATCCATGCCTACCGGGCGACGCCGTGCCATCGGCGCCGCCGTTGTTCTTCGTGCCTCCGTAACGCTTGGACATGCGCGGAAACGAGGGCGGCGGCGCCGGATTCGGTCCCGCGGACGAGTCGCTCGGCGTCGTGGGCAGCTCGCCCTTGCTGCAGGCGATGCTGCAGTAGATCGCTCCGCGTCGCGGCAGAAACGGCCTCCCGAGGAGGGAGGTGCGACAGGTGGCGCAGCAGAAGCAGCACTCGTTGGCGTGCCAGTGCTGGCCCTCGTGCGACATCTGGCCCTGGTCGACGCCGATCGGCTCGGTGCAGCTGTCGCAGTACTCGGCGAACGACGCGTCGAAGCAGTGCAGACAGTACGGGCGGCCGTCGCGCATCACGTAGCGCTGACCACCCAGCTGACACAAAAATAATAATTCGGAGATTAGTAATTTTATATACTTAAGCGAGGATTAAGGAATCGGTTAGTTAAGCTCCCGATACTAATAAGAAAGAAAAGAAAAAAATTTACGAAGCCCGAGAGAATTATAACCGTCCGCATCGTCGTCGAATTCGGTCTATATACAGTATAGGCCCGGTATTCGTGCTGCACCACTGCAGCGCGTTTGATTATGCATTGCTTGTTTGCAATCGGCTCTGCGGCACACACACACACATACAGACACACAGACACACACGTACAGCTCGAAACCGTCGGAATTTCGAATCGCGCGTGCGACCGCAATAGCTGCAACAGCAGCAGCAGCATCACAATCGTTTTGATTCTCCTCTCTTCGTAACTCGGCAGAAATAAAGCCAAACGAGGCCCTATTGTTTTCATTGTTTCGTCGGGGGGGCTCGCTCTACCTGCTTCTGCGGCACGTCGCGTCCATCAGCAGCGCGCGAGAGAGAGGCAGAGGCAGAATCGAAAAATCCGCTCTTCTCGGTAGGGTTTTCTTTTTATTTTTCCTTTTGCGCGTGGAAAAATCCTCATCGGTATTCGACGCACGAGTAGGTATAATATGTATGTATGCGTGTGTGTATACGCTCGCTCGATTCGTCACTCTCTTTCTTCTTTCTCTCTCTCTTGAAGATACGCTGTACCTGCCACACTATATGCTAGAGCCGCGGAGGTCTATTTGGAAAAACAATCGATCGTTGTAAAAGAAAGCGCGTGCCTATAGAGGCTCAAGCGGCCCGTGAAACGAGTTATCGATCGCCGCGGTTCGCTTATGCGCTCGCTCGCGAGTTCGAGCGCTGTTATACGTACCTACGATAAATCGTGTTTGGAACCGTAAGGGCTCTTCTCTTTCAATGAAATCATTTGTCCTGCACGGCTGGACCCGGTGCGGGCCCTGACGCGCTCGCGCGGCCATCCATCGTTTTTGTGTACGTTTATGTGTACTAATAATACGAGGGATCTAGCTGCAGATACCAAGTTGACGAGGAGCTTGGATGGACAATTTTTTGAAGTGAAACTTCTTTAGTAGCGTAAGGTATGAGGTAATGGGTAAACCTATAAAAAGCGAGCGTACGTTGTTTCGGACACCGCTGCAATTAGCTGTAGGGAATCTTATGCCGAATACAGTCGATATACTCGTATATGTGGTCAATTACATTGAGACTAGGATCGGTCACTTCGGCGGCCGTTGAGAGCCTTATATAAAAAAGAAGATACAATTTGAGCCGAAGCGATAATTTGCCAACTGTTCGCTAATTTTTTTTATGAGTACAGCACACACCGGGCTCGAACTTCTACTATTGAACTTCTGATTTTTGATGATAATACATGTGTACCGGTTCCATTTTTGTACAATGCTCATTTGCTTACAGCAATAAAACCTATAACATTTTTTTTCGAGAAATACTTTTACTACTTTTTACTTTTTACTTTTGAAAGTGTAACGAGAGAAAAACAGAAAAATTAGCAAAATAACAATCATTAATATAATTAGCTGTCTTAAGACGACCATCAGAAGTGAAACTTCTGTCAACTGAATTTAAACACCAAAATATGTACAATGAAAATTGTACAAAAGTTCAAAAATTCAAAACAGAGAAAAAAATCGAAAACTTGAAAGGTAAACATGAGCAAAGTAAAATAAAAAAAAATACAATTAAAAAAAATTTATTTTAAATTAAAATGATTGCAAATATAATTATTGTGATCATAGCGAGCTTCGACCCGCAGCCGCCAGACAAATATTAAACAAATCCTTGTTCCTCAGAGTACGGATGATCCTTTCACAGCACTCGGTAGGCAGTCGGTAATGTATCAATTCCATGAAAGGATCCAGGGCCCAGTCGCGGAAAAATTTCGTCGATACTTTCTCGCACAGGCGCACAGAACAAGCTATCATAGTATAGCGGGGAATATTAAGCAATTTGTACGAGATCGCGTACTTGTAGTAGCCCGAGTACGTGTCGCATTTCGTCATCTCTTCGAATAATGTATCGACCAAATCATCGACATCCTTGCTCGTCGAAAAATCCATACGTTCGTATAATAAGTACTCGTCGAAGAATCCCATGAGCTTCAGGGCTGCGTCTCGGTCCAGTCTGTAGTCTCTCGTCTCGAGCAGCTCGACGATGGCCAGCAGTCCGGTCGCCGTGGCTAGTTTAATCGCGGCTGAACGGTTTTTAAGGTATCCAGTATTACGTCTATCGATGTTGGCCCATCTGTCGGAGTCGCGCGGGGTCGGAAAAACGAAGCCGGACACGTCGGCGCCTCGATCCAGCAGCATCTCGACGTTGCGCGGACAGCATCTCGCCACGGCCCACTCCAGCGCTGTTCGGCCCGAATTGTCCCGGGCGTCGATATCCACCGTCGTCGTCAGCCTTTCCTCGTCTAGAATACCGAAGAACAGCTCCATTAAGAAGCCGTCGTGGGAGTCACTCCTGGGAATGCGATGCAGAGGCGTCGTTCCTTCCTCGTTGGCCAGACTCGGATCGGCACCTCGCATCAGCAGCGTCTTGATCATCTTCGCGTTTCTGCACGCAATGGCCAAGTGCAACGCTGTGTTGCCCTCGTTGTCTCGAGCATCGATTCGCAACGTCTTCCCCTTCTCGTCACAAATCTCGAAGAATTCCTTTAACGAGATCCCACCATCGTATCTCTGACAAACGAAGTGCAGAGCAGTCTGTCCTTTCGCGTTGGTGAAACTCGGATCGGCCCCTCTTCTCAGCAGCTCTCGTATATGTTGCGGATTATTACATCCGTAAGTATTTGGCTTCAGAGCCAACAGCAACGGCGTGTCGCCCCATTTATCTTGGGCCTCGATCAGCACCGTCCGCTGGAGTTCGTCGACGTTTTCAAGTAGCATCGAGATCACGGAGCCAGCAATAGGGCGGCGTTTTTGACAAATAACGTGCAAAGGAGTCCGTCCGTCCTTGTCGGCCAAACGCGGATCGGCGCCATGTTGCAGCAGCAATTGCATAATCGGTTCTCTAGGATGCCTCGAATTTGCAGCTGCAACAACAAAGTACAGCATCGAATCACCTGTTTCAGGCACGAGGTAATTGGGATCCTGCCCGAGCTCGAGAAATTTCTCCACCACGTCGTCCAGGCCATACTTGCAGGCTATGTAGAAATGTGTGTAGCCTGACTCGTCGGTATAATTTACGTGGAATTTGTCGTATATTTCGAATAGTTTTCTCAACACTTCGACTTCACTTTCACAATAACTCGGGTGGCATTCAGCTATCTGGTGTACTGCTGTTGTGCGACGTAAAATTGGCTTACCGTCTTCGTCTAAGTCGGGTTCGTCTTTGTAGCCGCTGCGAATGACGAACTCGACGATTTCCTTATTCCAACTAGACGACTTGATGCTCGCCATGAGAATCCAATCCATCTCTTGCTTTGTAAAAATGTCGTGCAGATTTGGAAGTTGTTCCTTCCAATCTTTTATTATGGGTCTAAATTCATTGAGAAATCGGTATCGATGATGTTCAAACTTCGAAATGAAATCTATACGTAACCTCTTCAATTTTTCTAATTTCCGATACTCTACGTGTTCGTCGACAGCGTTACCTTCACCTTGGCACCTTTCGCCGGATATGCTATTTGACGAAGACATTATATATTTCGAACACCAATACACGACACACAAACACTGATTATTTCTTTTAAAGATCAATCGATACAGTAGATGAGACTTTGCTGCTCGCACTGCGACGTTATAATTTGTACTGACTACAAAACTCAACAAACTCGCTGGACTTTCACTCGTACGCGCTTGCGTGGAACAAGAGAGACAGAGATTTGTGACGGTACAGAAACATTTGAATTGAAGAAAAGTTAAAATTTCAGAGAGAAAATTCAACCACGGAAGAGGACTCTGAAATTTCAACTTTTCTTGATTTTAAATGTTGGTCATCAATTAAATTAATGACTTGCTTGAACTACAATTTTCTTAGATTTTTAAAGATCTTTCTTCATTCATATTTTTTTTACAAATTGCAGCGTATATAAACAGGGGTTTCTGAGAAGTGTTTTTAAGAAAGATATGGATGGTTAGATTTGAGAAATCGTTTTGAATGATTCGTATTTTTATGCAGTAATTATAGGTATCGAGAAAGATTCAACATCAACGTCGATTATGAACATTATATTGTAGCGTAAACCGTACCTAGACTTAACCAATTATATTCACTTTACCACTTGCAGATTTACAAATAATGATACTCGCCCCCTAGCGGCGAAGACTGGTTTCATTTACGATTACATTTTCTAATTTTTTTTTTTTTTTGAGTAATCAAGTCAGACAAAGTTTTAAGAAACCGTATTGAGAGCCGTTGTCGATTGGGCGATACCAGTGATCTCGGTGTTCGCAGCATGTCGCTTGGGAATGCGGTATCAGTCAAATTTTTGATTATACCAAGATCATAATACATTAAGAAGGCAAAACTAATAATAAAAAAACCTTGCATTGTACAATCATGTAAAGCATGCTTCTATTTATACAATTATTTTGACTCTGTCACTTGCAGTTTCACAGATAAAGTTACTCCGACATCTAGCGGCGGAAGCTGGCTTTAATTACGATCGAATTTTCATATTCTCATTTAACAGCTAACGCGTGAAATAATAAATCGGCACTTGTGAATTGATTTTAAACGAAGATTTCGCGTAAAATTATCTCCAATAAAATTCAGTATCGTTTACTTTAATTTTAACGTCAGATAATACATTAGATCTGCATCAAATGCAAGGTTTTCTTCAACGGCGTACATATAGTTTTTCATCGTTCCCCGGGTTACGCGGCAACATTATACTCGGATGCTGCCGCCGACGTGCACGCGAATCGCCCTTCGGCGGTATACACACGATGGACGGAGCGATTTTCAAGATTTCTCGCCGCGTTTCTTTTTGCATGCATTATATACCTCATGTACAATAACGTCCTGCACGAGCGAGGCATATGCGGCAATGATTGATTAAGCTATAATGCTCCTTTTTTGCGCAAAGGCGCGTCGCGTTCAACGTCTCTCTCATTCTCGTCCACGTCCTCCGTACGATAGATTGAATCCGTATCGTACAGTTAAAAACCGACCTCGATAGTGCACTCGTAATTCGGTGTCCTTTAAAATTATATTTTCGCGTCGAGCGAATCGCTCGTGTCGCGCGTGTATTACTTTTTACCCCGTGGACGTGAAACGCGCACGCGTGATCCATCAAGTGCATCGCACGCAGCCGTGTCTTCATCGCGCGCGACGTTATAGTGGTCACACACACGAGAGAGATCCTGTATATATATACTCTTTCTAAAAAAAAAGTCACACACAGCTCGCACTAAGAGAGGTAAAAGGGAAGGCTGCTGCTGCTGCAGCTGCGAGCCACCGCACCCGAGATAAGAATCAAAGCGCGCGGAGAATAAGAAGAAGCAAAGGCGAGTAAATGCTCCGCTGCGGGTTCGCGCGCGCTCAAGAGAGAGCTGCAGAGATGCCATGCACTGCTGCAGCAGCACGCCAGGCGTAAATGCCGCTTTAGCGATGCGATCCACGTCAGCTTTATCCATTAGCGCGCGAGTGCAGGTATACGCGCAAGTATACTTTAACACAAAGTAATGCAGCAGCAGCAGCAGCAACCGAGAAAGCTCGCCTGGCGCGCGCAAGTTGATAATAACTGATTTTCAAGGTCGTCGCATCGGCTCGCACGCCTGGGCGACCGGATCCCTGATTTATTTATTTATTTTTATTTTTCACCCTGAGTTTAAAAGGGTCTTATATGTATGCCGATAAGAGAAATAACTTTCCCATAGGAATGATAATCTCTCTACCTCCGTGGCATTTAGCGGATCAACGTCTCCGATATATAATAATGTATACGTCGTGCCACGAGACATATAATATAATGGCCAATGACGCGCGTGACGTGTCTATTGTCTTCTGGTCACCGATGAAATGACAGATCGAAGTATATATAGAGCCAGTAGTGGTTTAAAGTTACGTGTCACACGCGTATACGTTATGTATAATAGTAGAAGCTCATAACTCGCCTATTTAACGAGGCAGCAGCTATACATATCTCCAAGTGCATAAATAACCCCATCACGGTCGTCGTAGTCGTCGTCGTCACCACGTGTGTGTAGGTATAGGAGGAGTGTGCGGAATCTGCGGTTGGCGTTTTTCCGCGACTTAAAATGCGACACGACTGTCTATCGAAGAGACAGAGAGAGATTCCATCGCTGCCAATCGTATAATATATAAAAGACTCGGTATAGATTGACCGATCGAAATATATTCCGACCACGAGCTATACGCGCGATAAATTTCCACGGATCATTTTTTCGCTTTCTTCGCTGCTGCTGCTGCTGCTGTCTATATATAATATGCAGTAAGGAGCGTCCCACAACCCGACTACATAGAGTAGTATATAGGTATATATAAGGACTAATCAATCTCGTGGCTTCGCCTTTATTTACTTCATTCGTTTTTTCTTTCCTCTCCTTTCGTTCTGCCTTCGTCCTCCTCTGTACTGACTTCTCAAGGCGCGCGCAGCTGTGTGCACTGCACTGCACAGTGCACAGTGCAACATTGGCAAAAAGGAGCAATTGAAACGTTCTATACGGCCACGCCATCGCCGAGTAAAAGAGGGAATAGTTGCCGGGACGAGTCGCGCGCGCTGCACGTTTGCGAAGAAAAACAACAAAATAACGAGAGAGAGAGAGAGAGAGAGAGAAAGACGAGCATCGCCGATAATAGCTTCGACACGATTTCTCGCCTGCGCGCTATATATGGCGTATATATAGGAGAAGAGCTCTTATTTGCGCGCGACAATTTGACAAATAGTTTTATATATATAAAAGTACAACTCTACCAACTAAATAACAACATAAAAAAAATACAATAAAATCTCAGTCTCACCTGTCTGTCGCACTGCAGACACGCGAAGTGCCTCATGTGCCAGGCCTTGCCCTCGGCCTCGGTGCACTCGTCCGCCAGTATGATCTCGTCGCAGGCGCAACACCTCGGCTTCAGCGTCTCGGCGTGATGCCGGCCGCAGTAGAGCCTGCCGTCCCGCCAGAAGTAGATGAGATCGACGAGGAGCTGTCGGCAGACGCAGCAGACGAAGCAGGCCGGATGCCAGAGCGACGCCGGGCCGGAGCGCGACGCGCCGACCGCGATCTCGCCCTGGTTTATGCCGCGGCCGCACTCCCGACAGCCGCCGACGTGGGCTCGTTCCAGCTGTGTGCAACACACGAGTATAACGGGTCAATGAGAGAGAGAGAGAGAGATGCGTGCATTATTTTATTGCTTACGTGGATAGATCTAATTTAATATTATATATATATACGGTGCGCGAGTCGTTTTCTCACGGCCTGCCCGCGCGAGAAGTGCAATGGTCATCTACGTAGCGGCAATCTTATGTACGATACAGTACGCGGGCAAAAACTCGTGTACGATCTTTTTTTTCCGCACCCAAGCACGAACACCGCACGCACGTGTATACGTAGATATCTCGATTAAACGCGTGTGTACACCAACTGGACGTTATATGCATCCCAAGGATCGATCCGCGTTGTGTGTACCAGGTAGCGCGATTCGCGTCATTATGCGCATGATACGCAAAAAACCTATATAATCTCGGCTCTATATGCGCCGTTACGGAATCGACTTTTTTTCTATATATTATAATCTTCCCTGCAGCAGCATGGGCAGGAGCTTTTCTTCGGTACACTCGATGCTTCGCAAGGATTATAATATACCGAACGTAGTATATACGATAAAGTATGGATAGATGGCTCTCGACCTTACGGTCATCGGTGTTATTCGTATATTATGTATGCAGCTGGGTTTTTTGCTGCCGCGCCAAGGGAGCCATTTGTATTCCATTCGCGGCCGAAAATGTACACTCTTCTCTCTCTCTCTCTCTTTCCACTTTCCTGGAATCTTTGTAGTTCAACGTAACGGCCGGCTGCAGCTCGTTATACGCCATCATCGGTAGTATAGTGCACTGCGCTACGGCGACATTGGATTTTTTTCATGCTCGCCTGCTTATGCTGTAGATACACACGCGACAACGCACATATTCGCGCGCGGCCCATAATGGCGTTTTAACGTCGTTGTTTTTTTTTTCTCTGCCTTCGCTCACTTCTCCTTCGGATCCTTAATGAACCTTTAGATCGACTGCTACTGCTACTATTACTGCTGCTGCTGCGCGCGCGCGCGTAAAACGGTTTTACACTCGTTATATTCGGATATAAACGATGACTTTCCAATCGGCGACGTATACGACGAGTTATATGTGTGCGCGTTTATATGTAGTTCGCGCGCACAGTCTGCGAGATCGTTACTTTTGACGAAACGTTATGAACTTTATCTCGACTATACGCGAGCGGTAGTAGTATAGTACCGCTACGCGACTCTATATATAAACCTATACTACGGAATATCCATAAGCTCGAAAGTTTACAATTTTCCAATCTTTTTTTTTTATCGATTCGCCGCAGGCACCACCAGACCGATAACATAGATTTTCACAATGAAATCTCTCGCGCGCCCGAGCTTGCATATAGCGTGTATAATCGGCTTGGCAGTCGGAGCGCGGCGCGGGCGATTTTCCCGCAAAGTCGCGAGAATATTCAGCCGCTACTGCAACGCCAACCATGTCCAATCGTTTTAAATGTTTCATTCTGCCGAATTTCATTTTCGGGACACGGCGACGAAAGCTCGATTATATATATCGCGTTATTTCAACTGTATATATAGCTCGCGATCGCAGCCACGGGTACGGGATAGTGGATTACGCATCAATAATTGATTCGTCCGCGCGCGCGCGACGAGTAACGATTAATAATTTCACTGAAAAGCTCTAGACTCGATTTTCGTGCGGAGTAATGTATACTCGCGCGAGGGCCGGGTTGAATAATTTCTCAGCCAGAAGAAAATCAGCCGATGATAATTTGGGAGAGAGAGAGAGAAAGAGAAATAGAGTTAGAGAGATAGATGGAGCGCCGTATAAAACGTTGAAGAAGTTTAAACAGAGAGTGAGAGAGAGAGAAGAGCTGCTGCACTGCACCTCGGCTAAGCAAAACTTCTATCCGAGTGTTACGCGCCGAGGCGATAGTTTACAGTTCGTGCGCGTATATATCTATTTATAAAAGCTCGCGCAAGAGGTAGAGAGAGAGAGAGAGAGAGAGAGAGAGAGAGAGCTCATGTAAAATTCAGAGGGTGTATCGCGCTCGCGCATCAGCAGCGCACTCGGGAGAGCTTTTTCCTCTCTCGAAAAAGCTAAAAAAGCTAAAATACAAAAAATACAAAAAGGAACAATCGCACCAGCGAGGAAAAATTCAATTCAACTCGTGTACATGCGTCGGTACGGAAAATTTCTCGATTCTATACCATATACTATAAAGCAGCAACGAATCTCGTGTAAATATATACCTGACTGGCCTGTCCGCGTCCCAGGGCCTCTCGCTTCCTCTGGGCGGCGAAGACGCGCAGCTCGCGCTTCTCCTCGTCGCCGAGGCCGCTGCAGTAGCGCGCCTCGTTGTCGTGCGGCGGCAGCTGCTGCAGTAGCTGCCTGACGCGCTCGCGCTCACCGGCCGAGCCCACGTACGGTATCTTGTCCTCGGGCAGGCCGCTGAAGTACAGGTGTACCTGTGGAAAATGAAAAATAATAATAAAAATATTGTTGCATTAAACAAAGATAAAGCTCGTTATGTAATAAAAAAAAAGAAAAAAATTTACGCGATACGAATACGAAATGTGATGTAATACCAGGGCTTGCGATCGATGCATACGCACACACGCACACAGAGCAATAAGAGCTTTAATGCGCCTTGCGGTGCACAAATTGAAGCTTTGCAGAATGTAGAGAGAGAGAATGGGGATGAATGGCGTAAAAATAGGTCACGCGCCGGCAATTTCAACTACGTATTCACGCGTCATCGTCGTCGTCGTTGTTGCTGTTGTTGTGTATACACGCGACCGCCATAGAAATATATCATAATAGCAGAAGTATCGAACGAGCTCGCGGATAATAATGAATATCGTTGCATATATATACAGCCACTCGGGGTGGTCGTGTGCTAAAGGGTCGCGCGATTCGCGTTCATATAACATACGTATATCCACCGTATGGCATTAGCACAATGTTTACCTTCATTAACACGTCGCGCCTATATCGAGCGGCGCGGCGCAGGTATATTATACTGTAGATAGGATACAGGTCGCGAATGCTCGCGCAACACTCCTTCGGCGATCCTCTCCTTCGGCCTCTCGAGCCTCGGAGCTATACCATTCGATCAACGACGTCGTTATCGGCTTGTTCGCTCGCAGCTCCTTATACTGCTTATAATACAGGCAGCTATAGATATATCGAATGACGAAGAGACAGAGGGCGAAGGAGAAAGGAGGAGACAATTCATCAAGCAAATCTATCCTCTCTCTCGCTGCTATCCTGCGTTGTGTTGTGTTATAAGCACGCCGAGATCGTGTCGGTGCGTCAGTGTCTACATCCCATAGTACATATCCTATATAGTATATACGCATGGCGTGCGGAAGCAATAGACCGAGGCATTGAGCCGAGCCGAGTCAGAGAGAGTACTATGCATTATATTCTAGACGCACGAGTATATATGCATCTCTCGCTGCACATGTATACTATATATAACGCAGATGAAGAAAAGGGCCGTGAATCAGTACGCAACAGCATGAGCAGCAGCAGCTCCGACAGGCGCAAATCACTCCTATTCTTACGCTCGCTGCGCGGGGAGAGAGCGACATAAATTATATTATCTAATAAGCCTCTGCGACATGCTCTTCCGGCTCGTACGTATATATACTGCACTATATTAGATACATACATACACTCTGTGTATGTGCGTGCGTTACGAGGTGCTGTTTCGCTCACGTTCGTTCATATATATAATAAACGAGCGTGTGCAGGTGCCGCCACCGACGTGGCTGCTGCAACGACTGCACTCCGAAATTGAATTTTTCTCTCTCTCTCTCTCTCTGGCTCGTATTTATATTTTTTTTATTTTCATTTTCATTTTTTTTTCGTTCGTTCGTTCGTTCCGTTATCATTTTTTTAAAACCCAATTTCATCCCGCCTACGTTTATTTTTCTCCACGCGTAATACACACACACACACACGTATATACCGTGGAACGTGGCGTGTCGCGAGAGTGTGTATATATGTTCTCATGTGCTCAAGCGCGAATTCACTCTGGCGAATCGATGTTTTTTTTTCGCTCCCTCCCCGTACCCGTCTACACATCCATATATATACGCATTCATCGCCCGTTTGAGATGCGTACGTGTGTGTGAGTATGCAGCACGCGAACGCACATACTGCACGTTAGTTGATGTGTATGTATATTAAAAAACATCGCCACGTCTCGTTCCAATTTTCTTTTTTTGCTGTTTTTTTTTTGCGAAACGCACCATTGGAAAACCCGTTGGTCTTGCTTATTCGACGTCTGCGAAATTTTTATTTCCCACCGCCATTACCAAGCCGCCCGCGCCTCGTTCATTATAACCGCGAGAAGAAGGAACGAGAAAACAAAAAAATAAATAAAAAGAAGAGGTAATAATAATGTATGGCTTCGTGACCGGGCACAAAATATACATGCATAAATAGAGAAACGTACTTCGACAGAGAGAGAGGGAGAGATGAAAGATGCAGAAAATGAGCGTTTAAGTAGTTTTTTAATGCGCTCGCAATATTTGCCGGGCGATCATTTTCCGCGAGGCTGCGTTATTGCGATCGCGAGCGGCAGTACTATATATATAACGACGTTTTTATTGGTTTGATAAAATGGCTCTCGCTCGCGGGATAAAAATTCCCAAGACCCTTTTTCCTTTGGGCTCTTAATGTATGTGTGCGTGGACGCAGTAAGTACAGTAACAACCCGATCGACCCGGATACTCTCTCTCTCTCTCTCTCTCTGTCTACGTCTCTCGCATGCCTTCCTTTTTTTTCTGTACAAAAGGTTAAAATCTACATTCAATCATAAAATTAATCGTAAATCCGAGAGAGAGAGAGAGAGAGAGAGAGAGAGCGCAATGAAAGGCCCATTAGTGCGGTGCGTCCACGCGCGCGCGCGAGTATAACGCTGACGAGTATATAATCTTTTACGGACTTTTATACTCATTAAAAATCGCTTAGTTTCTCTCTCTCACTCACTCACTCGGCGAGCGATCGTAAGGAGGTGCAGAGAGAGAAAAAAATTAAAGGAAGTATAGAGAGAGAGGGAGGGCGAAGAAGTAAGCAAAAAAATAAAAGAGGAAAGAACTGCCAATGAGAGATATTCGCTCGAGATGTTTCCATTGGCGTTTCTGTCGAAGTGCAGCAGCAGCACACGCAGTAGTACTACTGCGCAAGGGACTTTCATGTAAATTCGACGTTCACTTCGTAGCGCGCGCGAGCTGCGTATAGGAATGCGGGCCCCGTGGGCGCTGCTGCTGCTGCAGCCTGCAACTGACAGGTGTTGCGCGCAGGTATATATGTAAACGTATGGATGTGTATAATATAAGTCCTGCGCCCGCGTCCGTCGCGTCCTTCACTCACGCACGAGGCAGCGAGCAGCGAGTCCCTTTTACACATACACACACCTCTGTATAAGATATATGTATGTTTTTTCAAGCGCTACCGTATCGCAAGGCTGCAGTCCTTTTATACGTACGCTACACGCGTTCGTCTTCTTTTACTTTACTACTCGTTCTTTTCGCTAGAGTCCATATCGCGGCGCAATTCGCCTTTTCGTGTTTGCTCGTGTAATGTACTTTTACGTATTATAATGCACACACATAGCCAGAGGTATGTACGTATGTAGCCGCGTCTGAACTGCTGCTGCTGCTGCCGCTGCCGCTGAGTGCATCGTCATTAGAGCCTGGCACGTTATATTATAGGAGCCCGCCGAGAGCTTTATCGAGCTTTTTTTTATTATTATTATTCCATCGCCAAGTATGTGTATAAGTGAGCGCGAGAGGCCTTAATTGTGATTATCAGCGTGTGTCTCGATCATTACGCGCATTATATATTTTATACATACATTGCATTGGACGCGAGTCGCGCATCGTGCGAACGATTTCTCTCGCGGATTTTCCGAAATTCTCTCTCTCTGTCTCTCTCCTTTTACAACGAAATCGTTACAAGACACGCTTTATTTTGCAGGGATATATAACGAGAGACCTCGAGCGGCCGCGATATATATAATTATATAATGAGTATCGTCTCGCGCGCGAGGCTGCGCGCAGAGCAACCGACCCCATTATCCTTATAAAACTACGGTCAAAGTGTGCGTATACCACACATAATATATATAAGTGTATTCGGTCGTGGTTGATCGTATACGAGGCCCGAGTTATATTGGCGGTGGCTATTCGAAGTACTATAAATAATAACGATTGCATACCTCTCGCGATCTCTTCGATGGTTTATTACGATCGCTGCAGCGAGCACGTGTGGAATGCTCGGTTATGTATACGCTAAGTTTAAATTTCGAGTGATTTGTAAGAACTTACAAAAATAAGTCCATTGAAAGGTCGAGAAAAGAGAAACGAATTTCCGTGTCAGCTTGGTGGCCTTTTAAGGTGGCTCTATAGCAATCATAACAATAGTACAGCGAGGCGTCTGTCTGTCTCTTTCTCGCATTAGGCAGACAACCGCTCGCACTATTCGAAATCAATGATTTTGTTTAATTACTCATTAGTTAGTTCGTTAAAGGGTAATTTTTAACGTACCAATCGGAAGCTTGGAAGTTTCTCTTTCAGAAAATATATTTTTTATTAAGATGGTTGATCTTTTAAATTAGTTATAAACAATAAAAGACCGCGTCCCGTAAGAGCCCGTGTTAAAATCGTCATTTTCAAACTTGTTTATCTCGAAAGTCAACCACATGTTTTTTTTTGGAATTTCATTTTGAAGATCTAACAAATCGATTGATATAAGTTTTATCTTGATCGATGATCTTTTGTATTATGTGTAGAGACTCCATAATACGAGATAGGAGAGAGTACACGCCTACTCGCTGCCACCAGTATACATACGATACACCATTAGTTACAATTCGGAGCCGTTAAACTCGGAAAAAGATTTAATTAGAAAGTGCCACATGTATGCGCGAGCCGCCTATGCACGCATACCGACACGGCACTCGCGCATCTCTCGTATAGATTTCGTCTCCATGTGCTCGTCTCTCCTGTTTCACGTAACTAAGTCAGTATAAATTCGGTCGCTGCAGCGTGAGTAGTACAGTGGACGCGCATCTCTCGTACATAGATTTCTTCTCCATGTGCTCGTCTCTCTTGTTTCACGTAAGTAAGTCAGTATAAATTCGGTCGCTGCAGCGTGAGTAGTACAGTGGATTCTTGCGAACGAAGTAAAGAGTGTGTCAATTTATAAGTGATTTTGTGCCGTGTTCAAACAAAATGTATCTCGCCAAAAAGCGTCGGCTGAACGCCGATTATCTTCAAGCCACGTTTAAAACTAACCAAGAAAAACTAGATAAATTGAAGAGCTTACTGGAAAATGCCAATTTGACGAACAAACTAGGCCGAGAGGAATTTTTTTCGCAACTCGGCCCCGTGATTAACGATAGTTCGATGAAATCCGTCAATCTACGGGCTCTCGTCGGTGCCGAAAAAATCGAGCGTCTTCTCTTCGACGTCGTTGATTACTTAAACCAACGGCCAGCTTTTTGCCCAGGAGAACGATTCATCGAATACGTGGCTGAAAGCGGCTACAAAGACAAGCCCGATGTGAACGAGAGCGGCAACGAGGCATCGTCGTTGCGTCGCACCACACCGGTGCATCGAGCGGCCAAACTCCAACGATCAATCGAGGTTATGCGTAATTTATTTAAAATTTACAACAATTTCGAGGCGAATTACGTCGACGAGGACGGATTGACGCACTTTCACGCGGCCTGCATGTACGATTGCTATTTCGAAGTCGAGACATTTCTCCAGCTCGACCAGCAGAATAAGCTGCTCCGTCTGTTGACGAAAATGGGCGATGCACCGCTTCACTTGGCCATCGAGAATCAATGGATCGGGGTAATGGAGCTGCTGCTGAGGTGCGGAGCCGAACCAAATTTGGGCAACGCCGAGGGCTCGACCGCTCTGCACCTGATCTGCAAGATAAACCGGCTGGACGAGCGGGACGGATTGGTGGAGAGGCTGTTCGAGGTCTGCGGCGACAGGGTGCGAGTCGACGCCCGTGACAACGCGGGCCGTACGCCGCTGCACTGCGCCATGCGTAGCGGCAGCGCGAAGAAGGTCCGACTGCTGCTGAGCCGAGGCGCCGATCCGAACTCGATCGACGACGAGGGATCGACTCCTCTGCACCTGTGCTTCGAGAATCACGCCGAGATGTTGACGGACACGTTCTTCTTGTGCGGCAAAGACGTGCGAGTCGACGCGAGGGACAAGCGGGGCCGGACCCCGCTGCAATTGGCCGTGGCGCATCTGCTGCCGGACGCGCTCTACGCGCTCTTGAACAACGGCGCCGACATGTCCGGCTTCGTTTTCCCCAGCGAGGCCGACTTCGAGGAGACCGTCGAATGGCGCAAATCGTACAGATCGGAGTCGGACAACTATCCACCGGAGGTGAAAGTAATATTCGACGGTCTCGGCGTCGTGCGCCACCTGGAGAACAGAAAATACGAACTGGCCCCGTCCGACGCCATGAAGATCATGAAGGCGTTCGCCGAGCACGGCGCGTTGGAGAAATCGGCCCGCGTTACCTGCCCGAACGACGAACACGATCGTATTGATGTTGCTGTGTACTCGAGCCTGAAAAAAATCAAGCTGAGCCATGGTCTGACGTTTCACGACGTGATTCTAATGCCGATCGCGGAGGCGGCGAAACTATTCACCTACACGAACTTCATGATCACGACTCGGATGTTTGGTGGTAGTGATTCACCGATTAGCCAGGCGATCGATATCAGGATGGCTGCGATACTGTTGCGGGGATTTCTCTGGCCCTGGGCGGTAGCTGCTCACGCGGGTCTGACCCGCAACCGCCTTCCACTCGAGTGCTATGAAATGATCATCGACGAATCGTTCACGAATCAGGAATTGTACAATGTTTGCGTGGCGGCTACACTTCCAGAGTGATCGAGGATGGTAAAGAAATGCAATAGCAAGTGTAATAATATGTAAAAGTTCTAAAAAAGGCTAAAAAATTATGTATGAAAAGAAAAAGATTTATTCTCGTTTTAAAATTAATAAAAAAATATCAATCGTAAACCAACAGAGCTTCGTTTATTATGTTACCCTTATGCCTTTTGACCACCAACGATTCAGTCAATAACATCTTGATGGAGATGTTTAGTGTTTATTAATGTTGCACTTTTTCTAGATCATTCAATTGCTGGTGTGGGATACAGGATTATATTTTTGATAAATGTATGGGATTTAAGTTTAAAAATTGTTCAAGTTTAAGAAGTTTAAAAATAAATTGTTTGAATTTTTGGAGTAAAATGAAGCATATTATTAATTATGAAGCTAATAAAATGTTGAGCCTCTGGCTTTTATTTCGCAGCTTACTTAAATCCATTATCGCTATTTACGTTATTATGTACTTTTGAAATCATTAAAAACTACGTATAACAATTTTTTTAGCTAACACGTTCATTACCCGCGTTAGTGACAAAAAAATTTCGAATTTTAAGAATTTTTTTCATACACGGAGAGAAATACTATATCAAATATCAACACACTCGCAAGAAAAAATTACTATTGCAAGTGCCTCAGAGTCGGATTATGGGCATTTTCTACTATGCCTGTGTGGCACACAGATACGCCGACTCCTGACGCCGAGGCCCCAGCATACTCGACTGTACGTCGTGCGCGCGCAGTGTTACTCGGGCGCAGTACGCGATACAACTTTTGACTCCGATTGCACATAGCCGACCATCAGTCAGTAAAGTAAAAGCAACGAGTTCGTTTCTCTTGTTCCACAGTCAGTGTATAAGTTACGCATTCTGCAGTGTGATTAGCTGAGAAGTTAGCAAGTGATTTTTGGGAACAAAATAAAAATATATTCATTTATAAGCGATTTTGTATTGTGTTGAAAAAAAATGACATTTAGATGCGTTGGAAGATACCTTGGCTTCGAAGGAGACGACGATGATTTCAAACACGTGGGTGATCCTAACCAAGAAAAACTAGCTACATTAAAGAGATTACAAGAAAATGTCGATTGGACGATCGAAGGAGATCGAATGGAGTTTCTTCGTAATCTTGAACCCGTAATTACCGATTGGAAAGTCGATCTTCCTAATCTACGGGATATTTTTACTCGCGAAAAAATCGAGTGCCTTCTCTTCGATTCCGTAAAGTATGCGAATGAAAACAATAGTTATAATCTAGGAGCGCGTTTCATTAGATTCGTGTCTGGCAGCGGCTACAGAGACGAGCCCGATCCAAATAAATACGGCGAACCATCGCCGCGTCGTACCACGCCACTGCATCGTTTGATCGGTCGAGTTTGCAATTACGTTGCGACAGAGCTTTTTGAAATTTACAATAGGTTCGACGTGAATTACACCGACGAATCCGGACTTTCGCATTACCACGTGGCCTGCGAGCGCGGCTGCGCCGAGGCCGTCGAGAAATTTCTCGAGCACGGCCAGGATCCCAATTGCCTCGTGGCAAGAACAGGCGACCGGCCGCTGAACCTATCTCTGGCACATGACAACGAGAAATTGGTCGAATCGCTGCTGAGAGCAGGCGCGGATCCGAATCTGGCCAATACGGAAGGATCGACTGCTCTGCACGTCGTTTGCAAGATGGATACCTGTGCTTATGTCCTGGCAAGGACGTTGCTGAAGATCTGCGACGAAGTTCGGCGGACGGTGCGGGTCGACGCCCGAGACAATCGGGGCCGTACACCGCTGCATTGGGCGATGCAGCGCGGTAGCAGGAAAAAAGTCGCGTTGCTGCTGAGGCGAGGCGCCAGTCCGAATTCGGCCGACGCGGAGGGCTCGACTCCTCTGCACGTTTGCCTGGAGAATCACGAGGGCGGTTTAACGGAGACGTTCTTCGAAGAAGTCAATCAGCCGGTGCGAGTCGACGCCAGGGACAATCGCGGCCGAACGACGCTGCAATTGGCCGTGGCGCATCTTTTGCCGAACGTCGTTTACGTACTCTTGAATAACGGCGCTGATCTGTCTAGCTTCGTTTTTCCCGCCGAGAGCGACTTCGAGGAGCACGTTAAAGCGCATAAATCATATAAATCGGATGTATCGTATGAAAGATATATAGGAAGGATGAATGACGCAGCTTCGATTGAATCGAACGAAAATTTATTAAAATTAAAATTAAAAGTAACATTCAACGGTCTTGGCGTTATCCAACACCTGGAGAATAGAGGATACCATCTGGACCGTTGCGATGCCATAAAGATCATGAACGTATTCATGAAGCACGGATTGTTCGAGACACCGGCGAACGTCGACGGTGGTTGGAACAACGACGAGAATTTCGCGACCCGAGCCAAGGATATAGTGATCATGACGAATCGAAGTCTGTCGCTTTACGACGTGATGCGGTTGCCGACCGAGCGGGCGGCGAAAAAATTCACGTACTTGGACTTCACGATCGTAAGCCGATTATTGGGGTTTTTTGAAAATGTTCGCCTGGCGATCGATACCAAGATGGCCGCGATACTGTTGAGAGGATTTTTCTGGGTCTGGGCGGTGCACTCTTTCATGGAGCTGACGCGCAACCTCCTGCCAATCGGTTGCTGCGAAATGATAATCGACGAATCGTTCACGAATCAAGAGTTGTACAATATTTGCGTGGCGGCCACGCTTCGAGAGTGATCGAAGATGGTAAAAAAATGCTACAAAATTATGTATGATAAGAAGAAGATTTAATCTCGTTATGAAATTTATAATAAATTGTTAATCATTAACTCACTTTTCGTTTATCATGCTACCCTACTACTTTTGACCACCAATAATTCAATCAACATGAACTTTGAAATATTCAAATTTAAAAAATATAATTGATAAATTTTTTGAGAATAGTGGAGCATATTTTTAATTGTAAAGCTAATAAAAGTCCCTCGCTTCGCTTAGCCTGTAGATCTTGCAAGCTCTGTTTCGATGCAACGTAACTGTTTATGTGTAGTTTGGAAATCGTTAAATATTATACCATTCAAAAGTCATTTATTTAATATCTCAAAGTCAATCAAAATAGAGACAGAAAAAGTTTCCAATTAATTTATTCCACTGTTAAACATTGCGATTTTTCTAACTCTCGAATACCGAAATAACTACAGGTAAAATACCTATCGAAAGTTTGGTCATTCGCGCATGTCTCCATATGTTCCGAGACCTCGAAGAACAATCGTCAACTTTTTTTCACAGCATTGCGATTGATTTTCGTGCGATATATAATAAAAAATAATAACCAATACCTGATCCGGCCTGAGACCGGGCGGCACCCAGGTGTACTCCTCGAGGGCGCAGCCGCTGTCGTCGTCGCTCTGCGAGTGTCGCTGATGATGGTGCTGCTGTATGAGGGCGTCCTGCACGACGGGCGGCATGCCGCCTATGCCGGCCGGCAGCTGATTCACCGGCGACTCGGCGGCGCTACTGCCACCGGCCAGCAGATAGCCACCGCCGCCGTTCTGATGATGATGATGTTGATTGTCACCGCCGCCGCTGCCGCGCGACAACGACAGCGACGAGGGCGCCGGCGAATTACTGCCCGGACTGCCGGGGAAGCCCATCGAGGCGGCGGCGGCGGCGGCGGCCAACCGCGTGGACCCGAGGACGACCGGGCTGCTGTTGCCGTTGTTGAGGCCGCCGCCACCGCCGACGACGACGATGCCGTGTTGCGACGAGTCGACCGAGGGGCTGCGTTGCTGCAGCTGTTGCTGCTGCTGCTGCTGCTCTTCGCGCGGACAACGGCAGCTCTTGCACACTTTTCTGTACAGACAGAAAAAATCATACATTTTAGTTTATTTTTATTATTTCTCTTAATCGTAATAAATAAAGTTTTCAGTTCAATTATAAAAGATTTACACGGATCGTTAGTTCGCGAAGGATTTATCGTATAGAATTCGACCATCACCGGTTAATTAAATACTTTGCAATTGTCTTCTTCCTTTTTTTTTTTTACAAGAATAAAAGAATTCGCCAATTGCATTTAGCCTACATTCCGATGCTAGGCATCGAATTAACGAGTATACATATAAATAAATAACAATATACGCCTCTCGGCTTTTGACTCGAGTCCGCGTGCGCGCGCGCGTATCATCCGTCAAAGCAAATTCGCTGCGCAGCAGTCGAAGAATTTCGCCGCTCCATACTACTACCAGATCTCCGACAATAAAGGCACGCGCGCGCGCAACGATCGTTTTAATGACAATTAATTTCCTGTATAGGAGAAGCTTCTCTCCTCTTCCTTCTCCTTCTCGTTTATACGTATTACACAGCAGTCGAGAGAGTATATATACACTCGAGAGCGATAAAGGATTGTGTATCCTTTTGCATTGTGTCATTTTGCACTACTGCTATAAACATGATCTCATAGATAGATATATATGTTGTTTGACTATGAAATGGGAACTCGCGATATCTCAAAGGGCATTGAAGCGTATAGCGTTGAAGTCCGACGAGAGAAATTAAAAAGTCTCGTGTTCCGGATTAATCAGAGGCGCTCGCGAGCTGCAGCAGCGACAGCAGCGAAAGAAGTAGAGTTGGATGCTGCTGCTACGTGCAGATCGGAGCTTAAACCCCAGAACCGTATAAAATCGCTCGCTTTATGGCTCGTATATATAATACATCTCACGCGCTTGGATGTGCTTATAGTATATATGATGTACAGTAAAAGACGCGCGCGCGAGCTCTCAAGACGTTTGCCCATTAAATCAGAGCATGCACGGGGAGGGAGAGGAAAAAAATGCAGCTGCAGCTCTCGGAGCAGTACTACCTACTGCAATCATATATGAAAATGAACTATACACACACTCGCGCGCGCTTCGCCATAAAGAATAGAGACGCGAATTACCTCGCGAGACTCGACGAACGACCGCTGGAATCTTAAATCACTTTAGGGACTTTTGTTCGCTGCTGCTGCTGCTGCTGCCGCTGCTACCGCTGATGCATACATGCATATACGTTTATAATGACGCGCTCGCATGCGCGCCACGATATCAACCATTGCATCGCATGGCACGTTGGACACATATCTATGCGAAAGGTCGCGAATAATTACCGTTTCACTTTGCCACACGAGGGAGTCGCATTAGCCTGGATACGCGGCGAAAGAAAAAAAAATAATAATAATCAACGTTGATTATTAAATTGAGCATCGGCCAGCAAAAATGGTGCATCATAAGCTACGCAGTACTGCCCGCGTAGGTCGGCTGAACGTGTGTATAAGGACGGCCTCGCGGTATAGTGACACACCTGCAGCACTGCACCGAGCTCACTCCGTGCGCATGCATAATCAAGTATCGTAATCGCGGTGCCTCGATGCACTCGAATCTCATGGCGTACGTGTACGTATGCATGATGCATCAGCTGCGACTTGTTTCTTTCTCAGCGACTCACTTGTCTTGGTGTATTTTTGGAGAAAAATTTTATACCCAAATTTTATGTCAAAATTAGCAATGTTAACGGAGTAAAAAATTATGTACAATTTGAAATGTTTTCGAATTGAATTACCAATTCATTGACGTGTTATTATGGCGATTATTTAACCATAAATATTGATAGCTTTCAGTGTTAAAATAATTCAATTCAAGTGTTTCAAAAGATTAAGGCCAGATTTCGGTTACTTTCATCCTCCGCCACTAGATGGCGAGTATCTTCATCTGATAATCTGCAAGTGGCGAAGTAAACATAATTGTATAAGTCGACGTTTTGAAATCTCAATTCAGTGTAATGCTCAATCATCGCAAAGCCAATATCGATTAATGAAGCATAGTTATATAGTAACCCAAGACTCAATCTGCTTTACCAAAATTTTCGTTTCTCGTCCCGAACGATGAATTTTCACGAAGAAATAATAAGATCCTAAACGATCGGCATTTTTCTATTAACTCGCGTGCTTATATGCATGTGCAGTAACGCACGTTTCTCACGACGGCGTCGGCGTCGGACCATAACGGCTGCGCGCATAATTCAAAGGTAAATAGCATAGAATCGCGCAGCTTTTCTTTATTCTCTTGCGACTGCGTGTACGCGGCTCTCTGTGCGATGTGCTTTTTTTTATAATAGGCGTGCGCGTTTTGTATGTAATCATAGCGATGCAGACACCGCACACCACACCACCACCACCACACGTCGCAGCGCGGTATTTACTTACGACACGTTTGTCTCGTCTTCTTTGTCGCGGAAAACGAGAAGAAGGAAAAAAGGAAAACCGTAGAAAATTTTCACGCCTGTATGTACACCCCCCGTTATTTATTTTTCTATCGAATTTTTTTATGAACAAAGAGCCCCGCGCATCTATAGGCGCGAAGATAAGCTCGAGTATTTTCCGTAAAGGCGCGCGAGCGCGTATTGGGATTGCCACCGCGCTTCGAATTCCCATTAGAGAGCCTGTAAATCAAAGGATTTCCGACGCAGCTATGTGCACCCCGCTTCTGCTGCTGTATTATATACGCACGCGGCGCGTCGATTTCATGATTATTTGCAGCCTCTTAAGTGACAATTTGCTCTCTCTCTCTCTCTCTCTCTCTCTCGACGGCGTGTGTAAGTGCGAGCGCACAATGCCACGTTCGCTGCTGCTGCTGCGAGATGTTCCGCCGGGATAACGAGGATAATTCCCAACTTTTCGCGCGAAAAACTTTATTATCCCCACGCAGCATAGCTTCGTGACAGAAGAAGAAGAAAGACTTTTTACAGTGAAAAACGTCATCGGTCTAAACGGCGGCTCGCCTCGAGACATCGGTGTCACGCAGCTACTATACGCTAATAAAAGTACGCTACTTACACCGAGCGCGCGCGAAAAATTGAAAAGTGCGTACACGGTGTAGTACTCGGTGATTCGTTTCCACGAAACGAACGGGGCTGCGTCTTTGTCGCGCGTATCATAACGTTTTTTTGAAAAAAAGAAATGCCGTTCGGCCGAGGCTTGGCAAGTGTACTTATGACGATGACGACGAGAGCACACAAGAGAATATACAAGCGCGAACAAAATATAATGATATGCGTCGAGCAATTTGGTGCATATTAATTATCATAATGATTATCGAATGTATGCGAACTACGTGATTAGCTGCGAGCCGTGGCATGTCGGCTCGTGTTTATGTTAATCAGTTTTGATTCGTTTGTGTAAATATATTTAGTTGCTTGAAACTCGAAGCTCAAATCGGCTATCCGCGAATGTTGTGTCGAACGATTATTATGCGAATTTATCGAATGTATAAAAGGGATTTTATTGCGCGTGTTGATTTTGCTTGGGAAAACGAGCATTAGAATTCTAGAAACAACAGTATAATGGCATTAATAACTTGATTCGTGCATCATTCATACATTTTATTACACTATAATGCAACTATATGATCTTTTATTTTTCTATAATGAGCTCGGAACAACGATGATGATGATGATGATGATGAGCGGTATATATACCTTTCAAAAAATCGGGTCTCCTAGATGAAAGAAAGGAGGTGTATCAATTCTCGGGAAGTTTCTTTCATATGATATTTATCCAGCAACTTCTTTGAAACCCGCTCGCGTTATGAGATATGATTTATTCTCGCGCTCGGCCTGGCCCTGCTCGAAAACACACCCACTGTTTTAGTGACGAAGCCCGGCACCGAAACAATATACATACACGTTGAAATGTGTGTATAGTATTATGCATAGGCTCGAGGTGTGTATCAAAAAATATATTCCACCGATGATCTCGCAACGGCCTTAAATTATACGTTTGAAAAAAAATCTCCGATTTCAAAATTATACCCACTGAGCTTATAAAATAATATAAAAACAATGCAGTTCTCGTTTACGTATACGCGCATAATCAGAGGAAAAAATCCATATATTTTATATACAGTTTCGTGCGTATATATACCCATAAGTACGCGTGCATCGACATTAAGATAATGCAGAGAGAGAGAGAGAGCGCCGCGCCGCCTGGAGTTTTGCCATGGCCGGGTATAGTAGCGTAAACAAGCGCATTAAAGAGCCGAGAGAGCGAGAGAACGGAGAAAAAGAGCGAGAGTCCGCATTAAATGAATTGATAGCGACAATTAATCGAGCGCGCGGACACGCCGGGGTCAATTTGAAGAAAAATTTCCTCCGCAAATGTGTAGGTAGGATATATAGTATATATAGCCGCCACTGCAGCACTTCGATGCTTGATTGGAATCGCCCGGCGCGCAAGGTTAACGCGCATTACGTGCATTATGTGCACGATGTTATATATATATAGGCAGCGGCGCAGGAATACACGGCGTAGTTGAAATAGCTCGAGCCATTCGGACCCGTGTGCATCGCCGTATACACACACAGAGCTTTATATACTCTCGAGGCTCGGCTGCGCACAGTTGAAAATAAAAATAAAAAAAAAAAAGAAGAAGGAAGGAAGAAAAAAAAGAGCGCCGTGCTAATAAATCGCTAGAATACCCTTCAAACGAACATACATACATACACACAGATATACAATATA